TTGTCGGGAAATATTTGGTGGTAGGCCTAGATACTTGTTGTTGTGCCCTCAGATTCCCTTGCTCCTTCTCCTTCTCCTTCTCCGTCTCCTTCTCCTTCTCCTTCTCCTTCTCCCTTGCACTACATCCTGACTTATGGATCCTGCTGAGTATCGTCGTATATTCAAAAAAAAAAATCAGTTCTTAATAGTGTTACACACCCACACACACTTTCATTAAACATGCATTTTTGTTTCTTGTCTTGCCTATATCAAGTCCTGCAAAATCACTTAAAATCACTTTGCTGATAAGAGTCTGTGGGGATATCATTTTTGTTGTTATTCTACAACTTCATGAAATGTTTAATTTAAGTTCATCAGTTTCTCGATGGATTGAAGATGACTTAATAAATGAAGAGATAGATTGGTGAATAGATGAATTGATCACTGGGTAAATGGATTGATTAGATGTATATAGCATGTGGATAGATAGGTCAACCAAATGTTTAGATAGATACATGAACAATGATTGGTAGATTGAGAGAGCTTATTGATGGATCAAATAGTTGATTGATTGAGTCAATCAAGAAGTAAATCAGTGCATTGGTACATGTATATGGAATTATCTATGGATTGTAAAGTGGATAGATGACACTTGTCTACTGAAAGCTTTCATATTCATTTTGAGATAAATAGATAGGATGTGAATTAATTGGATGACGGATGGATGACAGATGGAGTGATGAGTGGATGGAAGGTTTGATGGATGGAAGGTTCGACGGATGGAAGGTTTGATGGATGGAAGGTTCGATGGATGGAAGGATTGATGGATGGAGGGTTTGATGGATGGAAGGTTTGATGGATGGAAGGTTTGATGGATGGAAGGATTGATGGATGGAAGGATTGATGGATGGAAGGGTTGATGGATGGATGGATGGATGGATGGAAGGTTTGATGGATGAAAGATCCGATGGATGGATGGTTTGATGGATGGAAGGATTGATGGATGGATGGAAGGATTGATGGATGGATGAGTCAGTCAATCAAATAACACATACAGAGTTGGGGAAAGATAAATTAATAACAAAAATTAAAGAATTTATATGTCAAGATGATGGACATGTTATAAACTAAAATGTGAATATTTTCATCTTGGTGTAAACTTTGATTGAAGTTGAAAATATCAAACATATGGAGAGTTCATCTGTGGAATTGGAGGACATGATATGAGTGAGTTGCATGCAGAGTGGAATGATTAACAATGAGAGTGACTTGATTGTATGAAGTCTAACCTGTCGTAGCAGTTACCACAGCCACATGCCTGCAGTGGCCATGCATGCATGTCTCGAGGACTAGTAGCCCATGAGATAGGCAATGTCTGTCTCATGAATGATTACTTTCAGAAGGCCTAAGTGAACAACATTGTCACTTTCTTGGGCTGTTAGGCTAGTGGGCCGTCTGTCTTGTTTGCGGTTGGTCATTTCTTTCTTACTAGTTCCAACCAATTTTAAGGTTTAAGTACAGTGGATTAACTCTACATTCACCATTGCTTTTTGGGGGTAAATCAGAAACATAGTGATGAAAATGAAAAATTTAAACCCTGATAGAAAGAAAAATTGCATGATTGCCCAATAAACTATTCTTGCCATTTTCTTCTGGAGGTGGTCTCTGTAGACAGGTTTAATTGTATTCTGTGCATGATAAAACACATATTTTAGAAACTTGATCACAATTTTCAAACAGCATCCATCGTATCCTTTCTTTCAATGCATACTATTACTGTCAATCACAGCTTAGCTCATTTTCTTTAAAATTATTTGCTTTTAATTTGCTTTTGCTATTTCAATTTGTTTTTCTTTCTTTCACTCTCTTTTATAGCCAGCACTAATTAGCTTTATTCAATTATAAAGGTTAGTTTGGTTATGGAATGCATCCCAGAATGAATCTGAATTTCTTGGAAGACTTGAAATAAATAAATGCATCTTGGCTCTGACAGTGACCTGACACTCATTTTCTCCTGTGACAATCGCTCTGGGCTTTATTTCATCTAAAGTGTAGGGTTATAGGGTTAGGGTTATAGTTGCAATTAGGTTTTAGATTTGCTTTACATTTAGGGTTAGGGTGTGGCATAGTGTTGGATCCAGGTAAGGATTAAGAATTTGGTTTGTGTAGGAAATTATCAAAGAGCATTTAAGGCAAAGGCAAATGTACAACTAACTGAAATGCATGTTGGCACATTTGCATCATGACTGAAATGTACATAAAAGAATGTGATTGGAAATGCATGCATGAAATGAGTATTGAGGGGCTATGGTACTAAATAAATCAAAGTTGTACAAGAAGAACAAACAATTTTTTTTAAAGAAGATCAAGAAAAGTGAAACATTTCTCCTTGAACCTTGTTCAGTCTAGATACAATGCAGAAGATTGTCTTTCGAAAAATGAAAAGAAAGAACTGCGGCAGTATGCACAGTGTACTTCACGTTTCTGGGCATAATATGTGTGACACTAATTTGTAAGAATACAAGCTAGGAGTCCTTTGTTTCATGTAGCTATGCTTTTCACCCCTCTTGCTCTTGCCATTTTTTTTTAAAGTCATTTTTCTGCCTCTTGCATTAACAACGCCTTTAAAAGAAAATACGTTTTTGAAAGATAATTGTTCTTCTCCTACATGCATGTGAGAGAGTATAATGGTAGTAATGTCATACAAATATTATTGCTATTAAAATGCCTTTACCACTCAATTATGACTCAAAGTAGCTTCAAAAACATTTAGACCGAATTATGATGCAACAAGAGTTTTTGTTAATAAGCAAACCTCTTTCTTTTCAAACAAGCATTTAATAACCTGGCGATAGTTTGTTCACCAAAAACATCTATTTCACCTTCCATTTTTTTAATAGAAATGTGAGATATTTTGTTTGTCTATCAAAGCAATTGCTTGCAATAGAATTCCATTAGAATTTGATCCAACTTGCCAACTTTGATCCAATAATTGCAGTAGTCCAAGGACCAGTAGTACAGTGTTTTCAATACACCTGTTTATAAGATAAACATTACAAACATGGAATTTGATAAAAATTACTGTTTATCATGAAAATACATTTTGCTGATAGGAAACATACACATTTCCACTTCTAGATCTATTGTTAAGAATTTTTCAATTGTTAAATTTTCTTTTTACTGTAAATGAAATTGATTTCATGAATATTAACTTTATTTGATAATTAAAATTAATGACAGCTCATCCCACACTTTTAAGTCCTTTATATTTTGCCAATGCCAAATGAAATCAAGATATTTTAAAATCAATGAATATATCATTTGTTTTATCATATACGTAATACACATATTATTTAGGAAATAATAATATGATAAATATGAAATATTGGTTCTAAGGATTATCATGGGAAATATTATGTGGCAGTAAATGTTTTGTGCGTGGAAATTAATTCAAAAGTATTAACTCTAGATTAAGGTTCTTCTGGCAGCTTTTCAGAATATCATATTCTTTGTGGCATTGTGGTTTGGCACATTGGTCTCTTTGTGGTCATTCAGATAAATCTCCTAATAAGCCTGCTCTTTTAATGAAAAATCAAAACAAGTTCTTCAGTGTAGAATTGTAGTTAGAATTGTCAAAACTCTGCTTGAAATTGAGTCACTATTGTGTGTGGGATGCCTATTGTTACTATGACAACAGGATACGAAGTCTAACGGCAAGTCTCCCTCTAAGTCCACGATGACTCTGAATCGCAGGACCTTTTTATTTCGGCCTAAGTAAGTGAATGTTGTTTCTAAAGAGCGCAGATAAATCTGTGCATTTGTACAAGGTAGTGCTTTGCCACCTGCAACTTCAGCTTCAAGCATAGAACTTGATAGTTTCCCCTTATTTTCTATTAGAGTTCTTTCCTTTGTGCATTACAGCCTTTGAAAATGTTGATTATAATAATGTTTTTGATAATTATTATATTTAGGATTATGTTTAGGATTATGATTATGGCACTTTACATACACGTATGTAGTTTCTTTTCTTTTCTTTTCATTTTTCAGGGGTGAGAGTAAGGGGGCGGGGAGGGATTACAGCTTGTCACTTGAGTTTTGATGATTACAGATTATCATATTTGAGGCACATTTAGTGTATGATGTAGAGTATCACACTCTTTTATTGGATGGTAGTCATTTTACCATTGTATTTTAATCATCATTATTTAATCAAGGCATACACATGATCATGATTTATGGATATCACCACCTATGTATTTATACTATACTGCATGCCATAATGATGATTTGTTTTCTATATACACACATATGTGGTACAAATTGAAATTGAAAATGAGATACTACGTTATGAGGTTGGTATAATTAAAAATAGGTTTTAATTCCTAATTTCATCATTTTTATAATCATGAAGTATTATTGCACTAGCATTCATTTTGTATTATTACGCACTGCATGGCATGCTTCATTTGATTGCTCATTTGGGAAAATACAGAATATTACAAAGAAGGAACCATAGGGGTGGATAATTTAAAGGTTTGATACAGACTTGAAAATTCTTTTTTTTCTTCTGTATTCTAGAGATTTAAGCTGACCCAACATTTATAACAGCACGCAGCTAGATTTACATGAGCACTCTGAACCTTCTTATGATGCACATAATTATCATTCTTGGCTTTCAGTCTCATGAACTGTCTTTTTATCCATATTGGATATGCTACTTTTTAAGGAGGGCACAATGGGCTTGGCCCGTCCCCCCCCCCCAGCTTTTTAATACTCAGTCATACATACCTTAAGTATACAAAGAACAAGTTTATTGTGTCCCTTTAATATTAGACCTAAAGTGTACGTGGAAATGTGATAACATGGTTTATTTATATATTTTTTGCTTGCCAAAGATATTTCAGCATCGTGCCCCCCACCATCCTGTTTTTCTTTCTTATGACAAAACCTCAGATCACTCTGTGCTGTGCTAAATATGTGTTCATCAAATAACGATCGGTTGATGTCTTATTCTTTTACAGGGACAGTCAGAGTTAAGTCTTTCCGTTGGTCAAATACTGAGGGTACTTAATACCGACGATACCAACTGGTGGTTGGTGGATTACGACGGTAAGCAGGGCCACATCCCGACGCAGTACGTTGAGCTGTGCAACGAAACGTCAGAAATTACCATGATCTGAAAAGTAGTTCAACAAGTTTACTAATTTATTAAGTTTTTATTATTTTTTTGTTGCATTTTCCCAGAACATTTCTTGCTTTGGACAGCCTAAAAAGTTGTATAAGGTATACCCAGCATAGCAACAAGTAATGTACTGTACATGTATATCAAAAGGATTCTATTCATAGTGATGTTCTAATCACATATTGTCTGTCAAGAGTTAGAAAGGCATGACATGTAACTCATACACTTTTTACAGAGAGTGAATGGGGCTTTATTGGCTCTGAGAGGACAGTATCCTCTGTGGAGAGCCAGAAATATGTTGACTTATATATCATTCATAGAGTTACATGAAACGCCCTTTATAGATTTATAGTGTTCATCATTATCCTATAGGCCTTCAGTCCTTACTACATAATGATGACTAGTCTTTATGGATTACATTCTGGTCATTTGCCATGTGCGAAAAAATATACATATTTTGGCTATTTTCTTTATATTTTTATATTTCCTAGAAGAACTTGAGTATTTTTCTTCTATTTTGTCATTGAATTTTTGTTTTAAAACATATATTTAGGCTAAGGATTTGGACTATAAGATAGATGAAAATATATTCAGAGTTGAAAATAGTCACTCAAAAATATTTTCTATGCTGTTTTTCACTATTTAAAAAACTAGTTTCAGACTGTTATTATTTGGACTAGGGCGGTCCTGAAATAACTGTTTATGATATTGAGCTTCATGAGTAATCCAGATCAAGCAGCAGTAGTTGTTTATACCCTAAAAGGGTAGTCTGAGTTGTTGTAAAAAAGGAACTAGCAGGGTAACCATACATTTCAGTTTGAAATGACATTATTTGATTTATAATCATAATTATCAATGCTGTAGATTCCTTTAACCTTATAAGGCCACCAAGTTTAAAACCAGGACCATGTCACAAATATGATTGAATATGATAACATTTTGATTATGGCATTGTTGTTAATTTTCATCTTGACACAAACATTGTTCCATGCCAATTGTGTTAATTCAATTATATGTTTTCAATTTGAAAGAAAGACAAGCTCTTCGTACATTATGATTGGATCTGATTTTGCATTTGGATGGTTCAATCCACCTGTTACTCAAAAGGGATCAATGAAAATTTGTCTGTTTAGAGCCAGAAGGGCATTAGCCCTGTAAATATGTACGTGAATTAAGACCCTTTCAGCTCCTAACAGAGGATTTCTCTCCATGTCTCCATTCTTGGACCCAGGTCCGGTTCTAGATGACAGGTTAGGAAAGGGCTTTGTGGGGATTCTGTTTTGTGGGTTAAGAAGTTCTGCCAGTCGTTTTCTATATGTATCTTGCTTTAAATTAAATTAATTCATAATCAAGACATTTTTTAAGAGGGGTGTGTGAAGAAATTTGAAGAGGGGGACCTTGAGCGCCTGTCCCCTGTAGAACTGCTACTGCTTTAATAGGCCAACTCGTAGTTCAGTCATTTTGGATGGAATAAACAAAATCTTGGTACAATGACCTTTCTTTCAATTTGAAAGTTTGGATTATACAGGTGTACCACGCATTAATATATGTTTGTAAGCAGCTGCTAGACCTTATTGTCCAATATATTTATATAAGTTTTGCACCAATCAAAATTCTTTGCATGTTCATTCTTTGCGACCTGGCACCACAAAACTACCAAAAAGGCGTCATATATGATATTTTAGTTTAGGTTTGAGTCAACGAGAGGAGGTTATCAACTTTAAACTGATATATAAGTAATTACAATTGATTGTTCTTAATCCAATGATTAAAGGAGAAGACAGTCCAGCCCCAAAAAGGTGTTAGGGAAAGGGCAATTAAAGTCTATAATCATTCCGAGTCCTAAGGTATTGTACAAGGTGATAAAAGGAGGATTAAATCTCTATCTCAATTTCTACGAAGGGATTGTCCAATTATCCTGAAACCTTGTTCACTAATTAAGCGCATCCTCAGGCTGACCTTTGTTTGTCTAGTTACCAAAGCATCAGCTTTCTTGTTTTTAAGTTATAGGAGATCGAAATGAGACTGTTAGCTAGGGTGTTAATGAAATTAAGATTGCTGCAACAAAATCAAGATCAGACAAACATACAGTCATGTTTGTCTACAAAACACTACCCAAATACCACTTTCAGATTGTTTGGTGCTTCCAAATTTTGAAATTAGCTTGAAGGAAGACAGTGTACTTCTTCAGGAGATACTTCAAACTCAACCATCCTGACCAAATACACAGCTCTAAATAAAAAATGACATCATGCAACTTTTTGGAGGTTTGTAGCCGTTGCCTGGTCACCTTTGATGTGTGTAATATGCTGATATTGTATTTACCTGTTGGCAGTTTGAGTTTGAGGTTTTAGGACATGTAACATATTGAAATTGTAGCACAAGATATTGCTGTACATTTATGTTGGGAAAAGATATCAGGGACAATTTTTAATTGTCTTATATTTCTTTTTTAAAAGTTTGTTTTAGGTTAAAAAAATAATTAAATGGCAGTAATTTGGTGCTTGATATATATACTGTACATATACATGTATAACTCACAGCAGAGTACAACCCCAAAGTGTGTCTTTCTCTTGTTTATTCAATTTTATATTTGTATATGTTTTTCATGAAAGATATATGGTTCAGGCCTTTCTTTGCACATTCTACGCTTATTACAATTTGAGTTTAGTGTAAATGGTTTGCAGAAGCTATCCATCTCATTTTATACTCGCAAACTTTCCATTTTAAGCATTTCTTTTGAGATTTTTGTGTGATATTTAAATCAACTCTTTAATTCTAAATAATATAAGACTTTTTTCAGATATTAAAATGAAACTGTAAGATATTGTTGTCCAATAAAACAATAAGCTGCAAATTGATGAAACTAGTGTGTGAGAAAGAGAGAGAGAGAGAGAGAGAGAGAGAGAGAGAGAGAGAGAGAAGAAAGAAAGAAAGTGCTCTGATTTATACCAATGATTCTCCAATCTGAAAGGGTTACCAATCCCAACAATTACAAATTTAATAGTTCTGTGACCATTGTGACCTGAGCCAGAACGATATATTCTGAAATCTAACCAATTATAAGATCTTAATTTGTTCATACCATGCTCAATGAGCATGATATATATTTCAAGAATGAATGTATATTTGATATTTCAGTGATGGAGTGATTGCAGCTTTGAGGAAGGGAATTAAAGTCAAGCTGGTCTTGGGGCAATTATACTTGAATAATTAACTATTTCTACATGCATGTGTTAAGAAATTATATTTTATGAAACGATTGCTATTTTTGCATAGTGTGTTTAAAAAAGAAAGACTTCTGTATCATAAAAGCTAATCAAAAAGGTGTTTACTGCATAGATAGATATATGTTTGTATAGACAAAATTGTAGTAATATTCATTGCCTTCCCATATAAACCTTTGTGATACATTGTCCAGATATGCCATAGTAAATAATGATAAGTACAAGATGCCCTTTTTGACATATTTTTAAAACTTTGCTTTGCATTCATTGGATAATAAATTTTATTTGTATAGTAATATTGAGTTCTGGTTATGAAACTGTCTACTAGGTTTCTCCTAAGTTTTGTAAATCAGAATAATCCATACGCATGTAGGGCTTTATGTTCTATATGTTTTCAATCTCTTTCCGTCTCTAAAATGAGTATGAGTTTATCTTTTTTCTCGTTTTCTCATGCTGTACACAAATTATTTTGACAGTTAATTGGTACTCTAATTTTTGAGCTAGTTTACATTCCATACAAAATGCTAGTTTTATGCAGAACTCAATATTACTTTGGTGACTCTCCGTAGTTTGTTACACATATCTCAATTATCTAATTTGTTCATGATATAGCTCAATAATATGTATATATAATGCACTTGATTACTAATCAAATGAAAGTACTATATTTTTATGAATGCGTAAAATAATCTGAATTGTCATGTGTATTTTACAGAAGTGTATTGTGAATGTCCATAGTTGTTTTGTATTAAAATACAAAATTCATTGGAAATTCCAAAGCTATTGAAGTCATCACTTGTGAAATGCTTTTCTTTTCTTGTCTGTCAATATATTGTTAAAGCTTTTTCTGTTTAAACGTTTTGTTCCAAAATGACCCTTACTCACATTTTTCTTTTGGAGAGGGGGGAATAAAGAAATTAAGGAGTAAGAGACCCCCAAGGCCCCCCCCCCCCCTTGAGAACCATTAGTTCCTCACCCACTAAATGTCACAAAGAACAACATGCTCATGTACAAATCTTAATTCATGTTAAATATTTTTAAAAAAACATTAATAATAGGAGTTCCCTTAGTCTGTACTCTCGTGAAACAGCGAGTAGGAACTCCTGTAAACTGCCAAAAAAGAGAGGCCTATAACTAGTTGTTATCCCCTACATGAACAAAGAAACAGATGATACACAGAACCATTCAATTAATGTAGCTGTATTTATTATACACAAAACAAATCTTGTAAGTCCCATGCATTATATTAGCAGTTCACAGTAGACAATTCACAGTAAGATGATTGTATCAATACAACTGTCATCATCAGGAACCTGATCGATTATATCCTCGTGAGATATACATGTACCTATGTTTTGTGGTATTATATACGCTTCCTTCATTATACCGAAATTCTCCTTTAAATTCAAAATTATTGATTCCCTTCACATGCGCCTAATTTGAGAGCAATTATCAAATGATAGTAATATTCCATGCCTGTATAGTGCATTTGACATCCTATAATGTCCCTATCAACTTCCAAAGAGTTTTAGAAATTGTTTTGAAGAAGAAAAAAAAACATGAAAAGCTCTCCAAACTGACTGGTTCTTGGCTCTCATATACCTACTGTCCCAGCAATATTCCTGATCATTTTGTTATCTCTTCAGCAGAAAAGAGCTTTTGTCAGATTTTACAATAACAACAAAATAAAAAATAAGCTACATGAAACATGCTATATGAACAATCATTCTGTAGTTCTGTATAAATTACTGAAGTCTAATTTCATCACTGGACCAAAACACTACACCCAGCCCTAACCTAAAGCCCACTTGCAATCACGAAACTAACCTTCCATCTTGAATAAAATAAAGCCAAGACCAGAACAAAGGTTGCATGAACAAATGTTCAAGCCCCCCCCCCCCCCCCCCCCCCCCCCCAGTTTTGATTTCACACCTGTTTCAATATCATAAAATTGAAAGGAAAACAAAATCATTCAAATTCATGAAGTACTACTGTTTGATAAATTTTAAAAATAAAAGCAAAATTGTTGATGATACATGGCTATACTTTCAAAATGGTAAAACCTCCAGTGTTCATGAATGCTTCGAGTAAACACAAATCGCAATGAAGATTGGATCAAACTTAGTTAGTCTGAATAAAGCAAAGTAAACAAGAGAAAACAAAGAGTTAACAGGAGTAAACAAGACAAGAAATCTGTATCATAGAGTATTATTTTTACATCTACAGTATCTGTCCTTTACATCCGTTTCTCCTCATAAACAATCAAAATAAGTACACTGTACCTAATAATTATCTTACTCTTAACACTATCCTACCATTAGAAATCTTCTTTAAAAAAACTTAGAAATCACTTCCATTTCCTTGTATTGAGGTCTACACAAGATGCGTTTCCATCATTTGTGTACATGACATCAATCAACTGTACATCACTCGATTCATGTCACAGTAAACATCAAACGTCACATAAGTTCTGCTACATGCACACAAGGGATTAAAGCCCATTTCTGCATGTGTACACACTTACCAGTTTATATATGTTGGGTAATTTACTTGCACAGTCAATGACAAACAATTTTTTAATTAAATCATAAAATTTGCACTAGATAATAATGCCGTTAGATCTAGGAGTATTCTCTGAGCCTGCAGTTTGCATGTATATGCCTCTTTGTTTGTGCATGATGCAATATACCATAAAGCCCATTCATAGAATCTCTACTCCAAGACCAAATTTAACCCCCACTGACTTACCATATTCTTTCTAGAAACATATTAAGATTTCCAACAGCATTAGAGATTCCTACCCAACAGTTTCCACTTGAAAAAGACAAATAAAGTACTTCAAAAATTTGAATAAGAATCAAGTTTTGCGGATGAAGCATAACACTATCAAAACTCTCATGTTCTGCTTGCGAAAAGCAGTATTCATGTATTTAATACCATTAACCTTTTTATACCATTAATATAGATTTGACTAGAACAAAATCATTTTCATGTAAGAGTAGAACAACAAAAGCCCCTTTTCAAGTAATGTAGCCCATCGGAAGCTAAACAAAACTCTCATTATAACAAATTACAGTAGAGGGGAAAGTCAAGACTCTCTCGGGTAGGACACAGCAAAACCACATCGCTTATTTCATGATGACGTACAATGTAATATGCTTCACTTTTCTGTATCTTATAAGACAGAGCTCAGTTAATACCTGCATGCCCTTTGTTAGGCGCAGTTGTCATTCATTTACACATTTAACAAACAGCAGCTTTTTTGCAGTGGCTTACTGTGCCATGTCTGAACGAACCTTTAATCCTTTGATATCGAGGAAACACCTTCAACACTGCTCTTTACTTCTGCAACTGATAAAGTTCTTTACGACTTGAGCATGCGTCATGCAATGTCTCAGAATACTGCAGTGACACGACAAGAAACAGTGGAGTTATCTTCTCATTTCTTATTTGGCATAATTTACAGAACAAAAATTTTGACATCAATGGCAAGCATTTTAGAAGGCACAATTATTATAAGCAAGCTCTATAATTCATAAACAAATATATGTATAGACTATGATTCGACAGTAAATCATAATAAGACATACATCAAATCTAATGGAAGTTTAACATTTTCTTCATAGAATATAAGAATATTATGAAGTAATAATAATGGGTTTTCACAAGAACACAGGATTATATGCGCATACATCGAGCCATCAAAAAGTTCTACACTAGTATACCAATTTGTATGATTTCTCTTCTAATTTAGATATAATAAAAGCTTGATATCTTTACCGCATGTAAATAATAAAGATTAAAATACCAAATTATATAAAGAAGAAGGTATACATGTTCATGACATTGCTATTATAGCACCCTTCATTAAAGTATTGATTAAAACTCCAAGATAATTGTTATGCTTCTGTCTGGTTCTCAACACCTACCAGAGCAGTGGCCAAATGTGCTTTCCAGTCATTATAACCTGCAGACAACTGCATTTATTAATTCTCATAGACTTAGAACAGGAAACTGCCTGTTTCAGGAGGCATTGGTTATATCATTATCACAGGAAAACATTAGGTAATCAACTTATCATTTTCTACACTGCAATGCACTGCAAACAAAAACAAATGTATACTAAATCTTTGTACCATGTTAGATACATTTTTAAACACATTTTCTGAACTAAAGAGTAAGTCCATGATATATATTTGAAGTGCATTACTACTCTATTGCAGCTGTGACAGAAATCATCTTTTGAGAGCCAAAAAGGCGTTAAATCTGTGTAAAAGTAAAAGTTAGTGCCCTTCTAGCTCTCAGCAGGTGGATTATCATTTGATCGGATCCCTCAAGTTTCTGAGCTTTATTCATAAACATCACTTGAAGCTGTCATGATGGGACTGATAAAGAAAATGAAAACACACTCCTAAAATATAACAACTATTATTCTTCAAGTTCCGGGTTTTCTTTACAACTTTCCACTGGAACCATCATTTTCAATATTAAGCGACATCTCCCCAAACGACTACCATTTATGCAAAGAAACAAAAAAGGAAAAAATATAATACAAAATAATAATAAAGAAGAGCAATGGCTCTGTGCTTCACTCAAGCATGGTTAAACGGAAGGTCCTGTGCCAAAGCACCAGTACTCTTTGGTAGGTAATCATTTATAATACCTTTAATTAATAGGACTTAAAGCCATAGGTCCCCTGGCTATTTACTTCTAAAGATAATCTTGCACTTTGGTAAAAGAAAACATCAGTGTATGTTTATGCCATCATGTCATGAAGAAATAAATTAAAGATCTTCGTCATAAGAATTTCATCCAGAAACATTTTCAAGCTATATTTTTCAAGCTGAATTTGATTTATGAAACATATCCATTGACAAACAATTACCTTTTATAACGTACGCTCTTACTAACTTATGTAAAAATATAAAATCAGAAACATACAGCATCAACATGTATTTATATTTACAAAGGTTCGTACCAATGATTATTTTGTATGAATCTCCCTGATTTTCCATTGTCTTCCCGAATTTCCATTGTCTAAAAATCAATCGTATGGCGTTCGTAGCAGTTCGTAATGGCATTTGTGACCAAGGCTTTACTATCACAGACCCCAACAAATAAGCCATTTTCAGAATTCAATAAGAGGCAAAATAGAATTGTTCCTGGGGTACATATGTTCTCAAGCAGCATAAAAATAAATCAGGTATCAGCATCCCGCGTGAGCAAAAAGAAACGTCAAATCCTGCATCTATATACATAATGTGTTGCTTGTTAATTTCACTCGCTTGATTAGTGGTCTTTTTCTGGTTGCCCCAGACAATTACCTATTAGCCTAGCACTTATTTCAAAAACAAACACAGGGGATAAATTATTTCACTTCATTTTATGTATGCATGCATGTATCTGTCTCGCATGCAATTTGTACTGTACAATCTATACACATAAGTAATCTGTCATATATTGAATTACACTTCTCTACATGATTAGAATACATCATAAAATACATATACATGTATATAAGAAAAGTATTTTAATACAACTTGAAGTTTCCATTTCTTAATAAGGAACTTCAACTTAAGAATATATTCAGAAAATACATGCAATAAATGATAATAATAATTATACACGTACATTCCCTTTTATAAAAGGTATTGATAACTGTTAATCTAAATCCACTCAGCATATTAGAGCAGAAAACTGACCTTATTTCCTCGACTCCTAAAGGGTGTTCATGTTTAAAACACTAGTTTGGCATGGAGTATGGATCACTTTTGTCCTTTAAAGTTAAGACATATGAAAGGTCAGTTGATAGCAAACAAGACTTCCAGTATATGTATGGATTACACCTCTAGTGATGTAAGCATTTTACCAACTTGCTCAGGTGAGATGTTAGCATCACTAGGTTTCTCATCTTTCTTCTCCCCAACTCCTTTCTTTTTCGCATCACCACCGTCATCTCCACTTTCATCATCCACCGTGAGGCTCTCAATGCACTGCTGGGCTTCAGCAACCCAATCAGCAACCCGTTTCTCAGGAGCACCGTCTTCCGGAAGAAGAATATTAGCCTTGATGACTTCAGCATCCTCGTCCTCATCCTCCTCCTCTTCTTCATCTTCTTCCTCCTCATCATGATCCTGATCAACCAAACCAGCTTCAAGCTCTTCCAGCTCCACTCTACCAACATCTTCTTTGCTCCCTTCCTCTAGATCCTGGTCCCCTTCGCCCGCTGTCAGGGTACGGGAGGAGGTCTCAGACATGACATAGTCTTTCCCAACGCTGCTGCCTCCTCCGTCTTTCTCCTCCTTGTGAATGGTGTCATCTGTAGAGTTGCTGATCACGCTTCCTGTACCTGTGAAGGACAAGCTTCTCATGGGGGCACTGGGATGTTGCTGGCCTGCATCACTGCTACATCCTCCTCCCTGTGGACTATAGGTGGGTGTGGTAGGAGGGTCTGGCTCTATCTCCCTTCCTTGGCTGTCTACCTCTGGTTCAGGGTTGGGGTAGTTCTCTGATATTGGCTCAGAGATGACTGAGCTGAAGGAGATAGCACTGCAGCCAGACAGGTTGCGGTTGTGCCCCATGTGATGCCGGTGCTTGGCCATGCGAGCTGCGCTGGCTGCATTGGCAGCTTCTAACTCCTGCTGGAACTTCCGCACCATGTCAGCATACGCATTCCTGGCCCTGGTGGACAAGTCCAACAGCTGCTTGTACGTATCCTAAACAGGAAAAAGACAAATGAAATGGTGACATTCATATTTCATTTATTTTTATTTTTTGTAATTGGTCCATAAAACAATTTATTTCTCTGATTTTGAAGACTTCCCTATACACATATATTTTCTGTAAAGCTAATCGTAATCTCTAATGACATAAATTACTCTTGCAGAGAAACTGTTTTAAATCCTTCCGGAGTTGCTTATCATGAGGTAGCGTGGTTGTTTGCAAATATACACATACTGATAAATATTTCCTTAAATAATATATATTTGCACACAGAGCCAACATGTCAAGTTCACGTGTCAGAACGACTACCTTTATTTTCAACCACAATCATTTGGCACATTTCATTTATTCATAATCTTTACCCAAACTCCAATTTATCTTTAAATGGCTGATGTAGAATCGTCTATGGTTATTGAGACCGATACAAAAACACAACAACACAGATTTAAAAACTAGAAGTTAGAGTTGATGATTCTAATTTACCTCAGCACCATCATAGTTGAATATCCCCACAACACTGACAGGTACCACTTTGTTGACTGCTCTACCTAGAGCCTTACGACCCAAGGCGAAGATGAGAGGAACATTCTGCTCACTGGCCAACGAACTGATTCTATCCATCGCTTCATCAAGCCCGCCTTACATATGGAAATGAAGAATAAGAGGAAATAAGAACAGTTTTACAGCATCCACAAATTGTCAACTTTTTTTTTCCTATGGGAGCCTTTTTTCCACATTTTTAAAACAAAAGATTGTACCAGTCCTACAGCTGATCTACAATCGCTTTTCAATGCCCAATGATTAGATTTTACATTTCATGCAGCCACTATGAACCTCAATCACAAAGACTTCACATATTTCTTTCAACATCAAATCCCAGTCAGATCATAGAGTGTGTTCTAACCAAACAATGTGATCGTAATGAGTATCTTTCAGTCTAAACTCACCCTTTGACTGGATCCTCTCCAGATTAGGAGAGACCACCACACACTTGATCTTCTTCAATTTGAGATGCTTGGTGACCTCTCGAAGACCCATCACTAGACGCCGTTTCATCTTGGCCTAAAGAAAACATACAAAGAAAATAGACTTTTAAGACATGCTCTGCAACAATATCCTACACTAACTTAATTCCCAACTTAAAACCTAGACCAAACACTTGTGTACATGATCCCAAACTTAGAGCTAACTAAAACTCAGTGCAATCCTTACACCAACCCTAGAGCTTTGGCAAATTAAAGCCAGAAGCAACTGTCCCCAGTACAAATGTCAGGTCACTTAGAAAACACCTTGCTTGTGGTATGGATAATGTACAATTGAAGTCAAATACAGTAGTTTCATAGCATGAACTGTTGGATGTCAATATATTTTTCTTGATCATCATGGTCAAAGTCATCAGTCATTGTAGATTCCAATTTCCTATTTCCATTTATAACAACCTCAAAAAGTGTATTTGGCCTGTCTCAGGTCAATTATGTAGATGCGACAAGAGACCTTACTAAAAGTAAGAGGGGTTTTGACCAAACCCTACCTTTGCTGGATCTTTGTGATACTGTCGATCTTGGAACTTGACCAGGGTTTGAAGGAGAGTGGTGCAGCACCCATCAATGTCTTTATCTAATACCTGGTTGCAATATCTAGAACCCAGAAAGAAACAAGATGAACTTTATTTTTTCTCTGATTAGGGACTGTTATAGATTAGTAATGTGATGTCAAAAACAAATTATCATACCGTGCATAAGTATGTATTACTCGCTATTCCAGCAAAAATCAGAACCATGAAAAACTTTCAGATCTGAATGAGGAATAAAACGATTATTTGAGGGTTAAGGTGGTGTGGATTTTTTTTGCTATATAAATATGTAAAGGCACAAAAAGACAGATAAAATTGTGGTTGAAAGAAAGCAGAGGTGTAAAGAGAATTAAACAAATATAATAAAAGTCAATGAAGAGATGAATGAGACTTAAAGGTATTACAAAGTTTTGGTATGGGGTCATGAATTTGGTTCAAATTAAAATATTGGAAGCATATGCGTTCCTACAATATTCATTGATCGTTGTCCCGGTTGAAATCGAGTCTAAAGTTATGAAATTATAAATAATAAACTCTTTATGTTGTATAGCTCCCTCTCAGGGTCAAGATATTAATTTAGCTATGAAACAAGGTTTCTTGACTAAAATCGACCGATTAGCTATTCCCGTTTGGAAATAACATATCACAACTACATATTCTGAGATTTTCATGGTCGCAGCTACCATTGTACGGCCGTATAGGCGCTATTTGAAATTTATCAAAATTTACCAGGAGCACCGGTAGATTTTTATATTCAATTTTTCTCGAAAACAGAAGTGTTTTAGGGGGTAATTTTTTTAGTGCTTATAATACATCCACAGGGGCGTCCAAATATATCAAAATTGTAAAGATTCACTATCCACCCAATTTTCAAAATTTCCCAAAACTTTGTATTATCTTTAAGGTTCAAAAGAAATTGACAAATACTCAGAGTGGCCTCCTTCCATGGTACTTTCCTTAACAAACAAAAAACAAACAAACACAGTGAAATATGTGTATACTCACTCTCTAAACCTTCTGCTGTGTATCTTGGTAGCGACCTGGGTGGGGTTGCTACGGCCCATACCAGTAGCAGGGCTTGAGAGGCCGGAGCTCAGGGGAGATCCGGGAGAAAGGGGACTCATACTCAGAGGTGACATCTGACTCAAAGGTGAAAGGTCACTCTGAGATGCATTGAACCCTGGGAAGGAGCCTCGATCACTTGGAGCTGTGGAGGATAGAGAAAGCATTTCGTAAATGCATCTTATATTTATCTTCATCATCATCATCAGTATCACCATTATTATCATCAACACCACAATCATCATCATCATCACTATCACCATCATCATCATCACCATCCATGTCATCATCATCATTATCATCATCATCATCATCATCATCATCACTATCACAAACATCACCATCATTGTCATCGTCATCACCAACTTACCATCCTGTGAGAGCCCTTGAGAGAATCCATGAGAGAACCCATATGAGAAGCCTTGCGAGAATCCTTGTGATAAGCCTTGAGACAGACCCTGGGATAACCCCTGGGAAACGACTGGATCACTGCTCTCAGCCTCATCGCTCATTTTTGTTGTTGCTTCCTCTACTTTTTCCTCCTCTTCTTCTTCCTCCTCTTCTTCTTCTCCTTCCTCCTCTCCTTCTTCTCCCTCATCCTCTCCTTCCTCTTCCTCTCCTTCTTCCTCCTCTTCCTCCTCATCCTCCTCCTCCTCCTCCTCTTCCTCATCATCATCCCCAGCAGGTTCTCTGTCATACAAAAAAGAAGAAAGTATATGGATGAATGTGACTGCTTTTCCAATGTGCTCTGTCATCATACATGACGGATTAACCCTGTGACCTTTGAAATCGTCCTTTCCCAGCCAATATCTATTCAATTCATTTTTGGATGTGTATACTTATTTGAGCATTGAGCTAAGTGGTTAAATTTACTGTAGCAGTTCTCAAATTATCATACTAACAAGATATTTTCAGGGATTTTGAAATATTACAAATCTATTTAAGCTTGTACAAAATTCATAATAGTCAATGCTTATATAGCATTTGTCACATTATACCGTCTCTATGTGCTTCTTAAAGACTTTGTACATTAGTACACCAGCTTTAGCTCCGGTATCTGTAGCACTCATTACACTCAAGGAATGAATCCTATCAGGTACCCACTTCCTACACCTGGGTCAAGTGTGGCAAATGAAGATAAATGTCTTGCCAAAGGACATTTGTGCTGCAGACAGGGATTCAAACCCTGTACCTTGTATTTCATAGTCATGTTACTTATCTTCTAGACCACAACACCTCTACAATTGAGCAAAGTTTGAGTGAGAAAAAGACGATTCTCAAGTTACCATGGTAACATGAATACTCACTCATCTGAGAGACGACTCTCCTCCAGGGTCCTGAGTCTCTTCTTCTCCTCCCTCTCTTTCAAGATGACTCTCTTTAGAGCGCTGGGTTTCTTCTTGGCTGGTAGCTCTCTCTCCTTCCCACGCTTCACAGGGGCAGTCATATCCAGAGGGTTATGACCCTGTCAACAAAACAAATAAAAAATCATGTCTTATTGCATACAGTTTTAGGTCATTTCAGGTCACTTTTGGTCACTTTGGGTCATGTTGGGTCACTTTAGGTCACTTTAGAACACTTCAGGACACATTAAATCACTCGTGGTCACCTGTGGTGTTGTGTTCTGGAAATGCATGAACATATTTAAGTATGGCAATATTAAAATTTGCAACCTGTGAACAATAGTCCAGGGATTTATCCCCTGGACCATTGATCAGACAGACTTACTCCTGGGACATCCTTGACTGGTCTAGATTGTGAGTATGGGTACATGGTAGCCACATTAGGGGCAAACTGGACATTCCTACTGGTCCAGGGACTTGTCCACTGGACCATTGATCAGACAGACTTACCCTTGGCACATCCTTGATCGGTCTAGATTGTGAGTATGGGTCAATGGTAGCCACATTAGGGGCAAACTGGACATTCCTACTGGTTCAGGGACTTATCCACTGGACCATTGATCAGACAGACTTACCCTTGGGACATCCTTGACTGGTCTAGATTGTGAGTATGTGTCCATGGTAGCCTCATTAGGGGCAAACTGGACATTCCTACTGGTCCAGGGACTTATCCACTGGACCATTGATCACACAGACTTACCCTTGGCACATCCTTGACTGGTCTAGATTGTGAGTATGTGTCCATGGTAGCCTCATTAGGGGCAAACTGGACATTCCTGCTGGTCCAGGGACTTATCCACTGGACCACTCATCACACAGACTTACCCTTGGGACATCCTTGACCGGTCTAGATTGTGAGTATGGGTCCATGGTAGCCACATTAGGGGCAAACTGGACATTCCTGCTGGGAGCTACTGGCCCTCTCTGGATCAACTGCTGCTGTTGCTGCTGCTTAGCTCGTATCTCCTGCTGTTGTTTCTGTTAGTGTGAGTCAAGTGTGGAAGAATGAACATTACAGTCTGTTCACGTGTCTATGCCATTGGGCATTTCATAGGTAACTATGGCACCAAAAGTTATGAACTTTCAACACTCCCAGTAAAAATATCTTACATTACTCTAATCATGAAATCTCATAAAAATCATTATTAAAAATCCATTACTTTTTGGAGGCCATTAACTTTTAAATTTTGTAAACATGTTCATCTGTGACTAAGTGAACTACAGACCCACGATTACATACACCACCATTTTGGCTTTCTGTTCTCTTTTTTCATGGATTAATTTTCTCAATCCCACTTGCAGGTCAATTCCCCCCACTATCTATCTATCTAAGTATCTTCTCCCTGTTCGGAGGTTGATTGCAGCATCTCTCCATTTCACTCTTTCTTCTGCCATTCTGGTGCACTCTTGCAGTTTTAGTCCACTCCAGTTCTTGACATTCTCTTCCCAGTTGATTCTGGGTCTCCCTCTAGGTCTACTTCCTACCACTCTTCCTTCCAATACATCCTTTAAGAGGCTTTGGTGCCTTTCAACATGACCATTTTTTCTCTCCTTAACTAATCCTACTAGTACAACTTGTTTATGCCCTGCCATGTGCAATATCTCTGTGTTTGTTTTCATTCGTTTCCAGGATATTTTCATCTTTCTTCGGTAGATCCACATTTCAATTATGAAGCGGCAATTCACCGCATCATATGAGAACGGGTCTTAATGAGCATTGTACCTCTAGAGCAGCCAGCATGTCTCCTAGGTCAAACTCAATAGGCATCTTGGTTCTCTTGCCTTGCTTCTTCATGTTCTCATGCAGCTGTCTCTGTTCTTCAGTGATCTCAGAGTACTCCTAAATATAGATGACAACAAATTCAAGTTAAAAATGCACTGGCACAAGCTTGGGTTCTCATGGGGAATGCAATACCCTTCCAGTCTATACCTCATAACAGATAATATGAAGCACCAAGAGTGGACTTCACTTTTCAGACTGAAAGGTAGCAGTCTTGAGCTTTACTCTCCAGTACAGGTAAGTAGAGTTAGTTTAAAATATAGTATAATAAGAGCAAAATATTATTTCTAGCTGGAATTTGGAACTATTCATCAACATTCCTGTCCCAAGAATGCACAAGAGTTTACTTTTCAAAGCACTTCAGAGAAAAAAAATAACTGCTCAACCAGCATAGAATTCAAACTCATAAAACCATTCCATTTTGTCTTAAAAGACTGTAAAAACGAGCAGAAGGCGCTCCTGCTACAATTGCTTCGGACTTCATTCCGTCAGCGGTACAGGATGAGGGTTAGGGTTAGGTATAGAGTTGGGTCCAGGGCTAATGTTCAGATTTTGGTTAGGGTAGAAAATTGATACAGAGACATATGTCACAGAATCAATTTTTTCTATATGAATCTTACTTACAACCATACACTTGCTTTCTAGGTACTTGGAAGAATTAATTAATCGATAACTGAATTAGGATAAGTCACCTTAGCAGCAGCCTGAGTTGCCATTATTGCTTTTTTGCGTCTTTTGCGGGCATTCTTGCCTTCCTTGATAGTACTCATCACATTGGCTGGGCTGAGGAGTTCCTCAGGCTTGATGATACTACTTGGGTCTCCTCCGCTCTCTTCCTCTTCTTCCTCACTAGAGCTCTCATTCACCTAATAAAAAAGAAATATATCATATATGTTCATAAACTGATCATTACCCCTGTTATTTACTTGTGGTGCATACTTCCAGTTCAGGGACTATGATTTATAATTCACTAGAAGACAGTTAATTAAACATATGGCCTTGGATTTACACAACTCACAAAATTTGTATGCAATTTCAAAAGCCTACATCAATATTATAGCTGCTACTAGTCAGGAAACAATCCAAATATCTTGTACATGTGTTAATGGAAGGCAAATTATATCTTCTCCCATACATAATCTACTCCTAATGAAATGTACCAGCTGCACAGGAGCTCTTTGCTGAAGAGCTGAACTGTAGCTGATGGGTCGTCCTCCTGTGCTCATCCCAAACTTGTTTCCTGCAGGACTGCCCAAGGGTAGACCAGGGTATTCTTCTTTATCCTGGATCTGAGGTGGTTTGGCATAGGTGGCTGCATTCACCATCTTTGGCTTCTCCAGCTCTACCTCACCATCCTTCTTGCCTTTGGTTCGCTTCTGCTTCCGCTTCCTGGGAGTGTCCTCTGGAGTTACAGGTGGCTTCTGAGGTAAAGGCACGGGAGACTGCATTCTCCTCTGCTGCTGCTGCTGCTGCTGCTGATAAAGCATAGGGGCTGAACTGACTGCCATGTTCCTGTAGGTGGGTGGTGGTTGAGTTGGGAACACGTTGGGTGGTCTCTGTGGATACCCAACATTGGCCAGTGGAGGAGGAGGTGGATTGGCAGCTCTAGGTTTGGTGAGCATGTTTGCATAGCTCATTGGCATTACAGGTCTGAATGAAGGGATACCAGGCTGGACAGGGGTGAAGCGCCCTCTCTGTATCACTGGTGCAGGACCTAGTTGAGGACCTAGGGGAGGTCCTTGGGGAACTACCAGAGGTTGGTTTTGAGTGAATGTATTTTGTTCCACAGTTCTGCTTTCCTGATGAGGTGAGCTCTTATTGTTCATGGCAACATTACTGTAAGTTGGTTTCCCAGTTTGAGTCGAGTAGGTGGACACCAAACCTGTGCTATTGTGTTGTTGAGCATGAAGTGGGCTGTAGTAGCCACTATCGCTATCATGAGGAGTGTTCTCAACCTCAGAGTCACTAGAACTGGAAGCATCTCTCCCAGTCTGGTTGCCCTGCGACTTCTTCCTGGTCTTGGCTTTGGACCTAGAGGTAAGGTTGCTTGTTTTGTCCGACAGTGGCTTGTTTGCTATAGCTTCTGGAAAATCTATTGAAGCAAATATGCAAGACAGAGAGTGAAACTGTTATTATTACAATCTGAAAAAAAATATTCAGAAGTTTAGAATTGTATATTATGTAGCAAATATGTTTGAACTGACAGACTTCGTATCTATGTAACATATGAATTAGTTCAAGATTTTAGTTGCTGACTGAACACATCGAATGTGACACTTGTTGCAGCATTCTGGAAACAGAGAAAATGCTATAACTAAACTGTCACCTTCCTTGGACTTAGTAGTTTCTTTAGAGCTTTCATGAACAGGTTGAAAACAAGCTTCATAAAAAAGAAGAAATTAACAAAACACAAAATTATAGGTCAATGTAATTACTCTACGGGTACTTGAATATGCCGATTAAAAGGCATAATCACTTGATCTAAGGACATTTTTGATGAGGCAACAAAAAATGAATCAAGACGATTTCAAGACGATTTCACAGTACCCCATAAGAGACGACTGTACTCACCTGTTTGTGCACAGGCTTCAGCAAATACAACAGTCTTTGTTTTAGGTTTGGGTAAATCAGTTGGGGGTGGGACATAGGCTTGATAATGTTCTCTCCCCTTATTCTGATACCCTCCAGGGTATCGATGGTCCTTGTTCATTGGCCTCTGACCACGCACCTGTCAAAAATAGCAACATTCAGATTTGTTTGTAGGCATGAAATTGTTATGGTAAATTAATCTACTAAGGAGGATGTGCACATGTAAAATTCACTACCCTGATCTGATGGAAATGCTTAAGTAAAACATATATTGCAAATACAATTGATGAAGAAAGAGACGAAAATGTAATAACACTATTATTAGCTTGTTAAGAAATGCTCATATTCATCAAACAATACTACTCCTTGCATTATCATATTACCAGGGGTGCAGAAAAGCAAAACCTGGGATGAGAAAGATAATTGCATAATTTATTTATTGTCTTGTTTGACGGTACATGTATAAGTCATGAATCAAACTCTCAACCTCTTGATTGCAGGTCACATCATGCTGTGCCTGCAACACAAGGTACATCATATAAGAGGGAATCAAATTATTACCTACCCAAAAAAAATTATTATCTCTATAAAAAAATGAATGAAATTTGAGCCAAAGCTTTAAAGAATCTTTAATTCTACTAACCTAAAAGAGAGAGATTATAATTGACTAACAGGTTTCTTAAACTCTTAACAATACACTCTCAAGTCCACGTCTAAGGTAAATGGTATAGCTTATGACATCATCATCTTTTATTGATAATAACTAATGATCCCCATGAGTTGATAGCCTGCCTTGGATTTAATGCAGAACACATAACAAAGAAAATGACAAGTTAAATTCTAATTCCTGTAAATGTTTTGTTATTCTTAGTAATATATGGAACAGAAAAAAACTTAATTACTCGGGACTCGGCCGTAGAAATACTACACTGCATCCTTTGGGACGTACCTTTACTTGGGGTCCAGGGTAAGCCCCATACCCATACTGGCCATAAGAAGGCATTGTGGGTTGGGTGCCTGGCAGGGCGGCATCATACCCCCCTGGTGTTGCAGCTCCATGAGGTGGTGGTGGTGGTGGAGCGAATGGGTAGGGTGATGGGCTCTGTGACGGAGGGGTCATCATAGGGGGAGGGGCAAAGGGAGTGTGTGATACAGGTACCCCACCTGCAAGAATGAATGGTAGATGCAAAATGATGTTGCATATTTCTACAACATTACAAAGTAAATAACATGCACATTTGTTATATGATAACCACTGAATTATTCATTACTTTACTAGAGGAGATTCTCAGCTAGAAAATGACATTTTACTCATCACAATAAATTTGATATTCCTAAGCCACTGAAAAGAAGAGAAAGGTGTGCACTCTGACAGAATGTTATTTTATATAACAAATACAGTCGACTGTACTCTGCAGTGTATTTAAGCACTCTGACTGAAGGACCCTGTTTTATAAAGAGTTGCGATTGATCCAAATCAATCACATTACACCATGCAATCTTTGGTGGTTTTGTGGTGCCTGGTCACATACATGTAAGACGTGAATGAGAAGAAAGGCATGAGTCATTGCATTTACCTGCTGGCATGGAAGATTGGGATGCTAGAGGCATCGGTGTAGGTGACTGGGCGTGGTGGTGATGGGTTGGATGATGGGGTGCAGTGCCTGTGAGGTGTGGCTGGTAGGTGCCTCCATGTTGTTGGTAGGCACCCTGCTGATACAGTGGTCCTCCAGATGACGCTGCTGCAGGTGGTGGTGTCTGATGAGGCACCTGCTCAAATCAACAGGGAGACAAAAAAAGACAGTGAGACCTGTGTATGAAAACTACTCAAGGAAGACAAGCAAAGTTGTCATTAAGTGCAGGTGTTTTCATTTATGGGTTTCTTTAATAGATATATCAACCAGAATCATGGAAACTATTTCAGGTTTGAACATGCAAGTTTAATCAACCTCCCTGAAAGTACAATTTGGAGAAAAGGTGACTCCATTCCTTACTTTACCTTACCAGTACTTTTTTTTCAACCTTGAAGTCATAAACATGCAACAGGTAATCGCTACATATGCTACAGGTGTAAGAGCCAGAAGAGCATTATCACTCTGTAAGGATGTTCATCAACACCATTTTGGTTCTAAAACGATGACTTCATTCTACATGATAGCAAGCACAATATGAAATCCAGTAAAACACATTCATATTGGGATCATTACAAACTGAAGAGATTGTTACTGATGCTTTGCCTACCTGGTTGTAACCTGGATGCACAGGGAAGTACTCCTGGTTCTGTTGCTGAGTGAGATGGGCCGAGGGAGGTTGGTGACCAGGTGGAGGAGGAGGAGGAGGTGCATACATGGGTGTGGCCTGGGGTGGCTGCTGGTGACTGAGAGGATGCTGGGAGGTTGGAGGTAGTGGTGGTGGTGGATGCTGGTGTTGTTGTGGCTGTGGATGAGGTTGATTCGGCTGCTGGGACGAGTTGGGATACCCCATCCACGTTTCAGTAGCAGGAGCTGCTCCTGTTGAACTGTTTGAGAATGACAATTCATCATACAGTAGATTAAAATTGTCAGCCCAAAAATCACAATTTTCATACATTTTCAGGGAAATTTTTTTTTTTAGGAATGACACTTCTTGTTTTGATATGAAATTTTGACCGATGGATTACTTCATTCTTTCAATTGGAAAATCAATTAAATTTTCAGGATACTTTTAAAATACATGGCCAAAGTTCTGCAATAACATCATGTCAACTTTTTAAAATTTGAATTTTCACTGTTCATGTACACAACTATATTTCTATCTAGAGCATGCATGTAGGAGCATGTACTTCCATCCTCTCACACACTCTCTCTGTCTCTCTCTGCTGTCGGGCAATAAACATCAACATTAACATAAAACCTACCTATCTTGTACAAACGGGTAACATGTTGTGATGTACCGAGGCAGCTCCGTCAGTGGTACTTTCTTCCCGTTCATGGTAGCTACGGCACTTGCACTAGAAGTCTGGTACTGCTGCATCCCGCCCCCTCCTCCTCCTCCTCCTTGCGGCTGGGATGGAGGAGGTGGTTTTAACCCTGGCATAGCAGCAGTAGCCTCTGAGAGCATTCCTGATACCACCTGGGAGGGTGAGGGCTGAGGTACCATGCCCGGTATCGTCTGTTGGTGATGGTGCTGGTGGTGTTGGTGGGGATGGAGTGGTTGGGGTGCATGATGGTGCTGCTGCTGCTGCTGGTGGGATGGTGCGTTGTAGTACATGGCTGTCATGCTGGAGGAGGGGTATGAAGGGGCGTTGAACCTGGGACAAAAGGATCAACTTCAGCAGACAGGCGTGGCGCCTAGAATAACAAATAATCAAAGACAAATATACAAAAAATAATCAAGAAAATGCAAGTATACACAAAATCCAAATTAAGCCCTGGTGGTTCACATTCAAGGTAATTGGATGATACATGTACATTTAAAGTAGTGAATAAAAGTATACATCTATATGTACACAAACTGTACCTGTACAATTCACAAACATGTTTTCTATGATATAATTACAATTCAAATTTATATTTGTGACAATTTACTTCAGAAAGTTGATATTTAAAAAAATACAAACTGCAGTTGATACTGGAAGTTTTTCAAAAACACTAAATGTATGTTCAACTGTACATCATGTATGAATAAATTAAACGTACATGTACCATACAAGGTATTGTGAAAAAACATCTTACTAAACTAGAGAAAGAGAGAGAGAGAGAGAGAGAGAGAGAGAGAGAGAGAGAAAAGAAAGAATCTATGCTTTACATGTTCAAGGCCTCCAAATTTAATGTTAAAGTAAAACAGATGCATACATGTACATACACGTTGTACAAAAACCCATGACCATACATGTACATGTAGGCCTACAGGTACACCTTCAAAATGTACATGTAATAACGGTACCGGTAATCAAATTCAGTGACCAAAAATAATATTTAGCATGGGCTGATAATGATATGTTAAGTGGTACATTGTAGTATATTGTTAGGTCCAGGGTTTAAGTTGAACATTCTGTTAGTGTACTGTACATGTAGGTCATTGATGTGGAGTGTCCCAGGACATGTGCAGGATTGTACATGTTTGAAACAGTCACAGCCACATGACCTTATACAGCACTTTGGAAATCAGTGCATGATGTACATGTATATGCATGGCATGTATATGAGTAGCACTGTCTAATGTTTCATGCAACTGATGCATCATTGAAGCAATTTAGTTAATTGAATGAGTCATAGTGATGGTACACATGGTACAGAATTGCAGATCTATTGCACAAATGTACATCCACACCATTTCACAATGAAGACATTCATTCTCACATTCATGTGAATGAATACATGTACAGTATGTACATGCAGGCCTACATTGAAGGCAGTTCATGTCACACAACAACCAAAATAGATGATGCAATGCAGTTTCCTGTAAAAGATATGACATTCATGACATATCATTTCCTAAGTGACAAAATATCTTGTAATGATTATAGTTAATGGTAGTGATAGCAGAAAGTACCATCACGCCATGGCCATATTAAGAGATTCTTCCTGTTTGTATGTAATGTGTGGCATACACTGTTCATGCATGTTGCACAAGACACATTGCACAGAATCATCCAATTGCAAATATTTAAGTCATGCACTGTATACTGTACATGTACATCTACTTGTAAAGCAGATTACATGTACCTGTTTGCACGTCATGCAGCCCTCAAATGAAGCCGCAATGGAAACAAGCTTGGCCTAATGAGTCAGGCAGCCATATCCTGTGACAAGAAACAAGTCTTAATCATTCCCAGAGTACTGTCAAACCACATCCTCTTCTTAAAATGTCTTCAAGGAATGGCAGGATGAGGTCTCAAATGAGTTGTTCCCATTGCCCAAGTACTGTATGCAGACTTGTTGCACTATCATGATAATGGGGCTTCGCATTTAGCGCACAGCTGCACATACCCTCCAACATTACCCTTTGTCATGCTATATATAGCCAACCAAGCAGCCAAATATTTAGCACTCTAGCATATTGGATACCCATTTACACCTGGGTGTAGACTGTAGAGTGGCAAATGTGGTCATGTGGATTAATGTCTTGAAAAAAGGATGTTACACGTAGTGCCTCTGCCAGGCTGGAATTGATGGTCAAGCGAATGAACCACTATCCAACGTCATCTCAATGTTTGAAATGTCCAGAACTTTTCTGTGCATGTTGGCCAATGTACAACATACATGTACATGTATATACAAATTATGTTCAGTACACCAGAGATGATAATACAGATAGTTTTTAGGTCAATGGCGACACTGCACACTGTCGCCCATAAAGTGGGAAATGTTGGAACAATTTTCTTTTTAAGAAATGATTGTAGCAATATGATTTATTCTTAATACTGGTAGACAAAGCTACCTCTTCAGCTCAGTGCTTTAATATTGATCAATCTCTACATCGACTCTGTAAGATCGATCAAAAGAGTATCCGAGAAGATATACCAGCACATTGTATGTTAGCATTATCTCTCAAGAACAACTTCCTCTGAACTCTCAAAAGTGTAAAATCCTTCATCTAGGTTACAACAACCCTCAACAGACTTACGTCATGGAAGGTATACCTCTCGAGAATGTTGATATAGAAAGAGATCTGGGGGCTTTAGTTGGCAAGGATTTGACTTTCCGGAAACATATCGCAGCTATGATACAAAAGGCAAACCAGATGTTGGGGAACATCAAAAGAGCTTTTGTCAATACCCACCAGGACATCTTCATACCTCTGTACAAACCCTGATATGCCCACATCTTGAAAATTGTACGGTATCATGGAATCCCCATTTCATGGCAGACGACCGCAAGATTGAAGCTGTGCAACGGAGAGCAACATGAATGATTCCTGGTATGAGTTTATTATCCTGTCCTGAAAGACTTAAAAAACTCAATCTATTCTCACTTCGCTACCGGCATGAGAGGGCTGATATGATCCACATTCATAAGATACTTCATGGTATCAACAGATTCAGTCCAGAACATTTCTTCAAGAGACCTCATGGACATCCATTGAAACTGTTTAAAGGTACTATGTCCCATTTGCAGGCCAAAAAAATGAAAAGGTTAAATTCCAACGGCATTTGAAAGATAATACTAATTTAGAACTTCCCTAAAAAAGGTGGGGCTTGAAAATGTCTACAAGTGGGAAATTAACAACTATTAGTTGTCAAATCGACTTAAGAGCTACATGTATAGAGCCAATAAGTAATAGTCTTGATTTTCAGACCATTGTACCAAATGGTCACTCATCGCTTAATGTCAGAGGCTGTTTCTTCAGTAAACGTGTCATCGAGCAATGGAATAAACTGCCAGAATCTCTAGTCACTGCACGTAACATCTGTATCTTTAAGACTGGTCTAGATAAACACTGGCTTGCTAAACAATTTTATATAACCTGACATCCACGCATTCTGCACTACTTTTGTAAGTCATAAACTGACAATTGAACTTATATCTTGGAAGACAACCGGAGATCTACAGGACTACTTCACTACCGTATACCGATGTTGATGATGATAAATATCATCACGATCATTTTATGAAAGAGGTTAAGAAAAATTATTCCAACTTTATTGGCAAGTGCTTCCTCCAATAAAAACCAAGAGATATTTGACAAGCTTGCCTAATATCCCCCTGGTTCATTTGTTTGTGTTTCCTTAGATCAAGATTAATGTAACGTTCCTAAATTAAATTTGATTAAATTAATTTCTTCACCCGATGGCTTCGGTGGCCGTCTCATTTACAAAGGCCAGGTCTTCAACTGTGCAACCTGTTCCGCCCCACTGCAAGATGTGGTCCATCATCTGAGTCTCATCACATACATGTATACAGTATTATATGTAAAAGCTGCATTCTCAATTTCTCAACAATGTCAAAAAACAGCTCCTGCTTAGAGTGTACATGTATTACCATTGTAATTTGTATGAAACAGAGAGATTCATTGAAAAAAAATGAACAATTAGCTTGAACTTTTATAATGTTCAGAATTACCGTAAGGAAAATTTTGAAAATTATCATAGTCTCTTTCAATGTCCTATTTAACAATACATTGATACAGGGTTAATGATACATCTGCTTCACAAAATTCTGTCAAATACTTGTACTTCTAATTTTTCCAAGTCTTTTTAAAGAAGTTAAGAAAAAATCTGGCCTACCATTAAGACCCTGTTCTAACTCACTTCCTAGACTGATCTATGCTAAGCTAGACCGACCCACTGGATCGCTCCAGAGGTACACTTCGTCTATGTTTACACTCAACAGCTAGACCACTCTGGTTGCTATAGCACAAATGAGCTAGACTGCTCCTGTTACTGGGGTAGCAAAGGAAAGGTCAGCGGGTCAAAGTTTTGCACAGAATCTTAAACCGAATAGAGTTAGGGACACTGATTTTCCGTTTCAAAAAATGTCTTTTTCTGTTTCAGAAAATTTGCAATTCCATGAAATTCCATTTTGCCACTGATAACCACTCAGAAAACATATGGACGGAACTGGATAAACTTGATGCAAAATACTAGTGAAATATACAAAAAAGTATCAAATGTTTAGATTTACCAATTCAAATTCGAACTTAGACAAGCAGACTAAAGTTAGCGGAATGTGGCAAAACATGACATATTCCTGACGACGGAACAAACAGATACAGATACAGGCTGAGCTAGTACCGACACATTTCAGTCTTGGCTGTCTTGTCAGCGATCGATCGGTTTTAGGCGCACATGCCAGTCCCTTTTTCGAACTGTGCAACAGCGTCTTCCGGGACTTTCCGTTCGTTTCAAATTGTCATTTCCGTGAATTCCGTCCGTTTTCCGTGATCGCAGAAATCAGTGTCCCTATAGAGTGCCTAATCTTCTTGTCATTGGTGTATCTTTCTATGATTTTCTTTTTCTGTTTTTCTTACATCTTTCATCTTTTTTTCTACCTTTAAATTCTCTACTATTTATCATTTTCTCTCTCTGTCTTTCCTTATGTTAGTCTATGTTTTTCCTTCTTTCACTTCTGATGTTATTCTTTTGTTTATTATTCCATCATATTTTCTATCTATCTTTCGTCATGTTATTCTGTTTTCCTTCACTCATTTTCTCTTTCTGTCTTTATATTGCTATTCTTTGTTTTTCCATCTTCATCTTCTCTTCTAAGACCAAGTTCTATCTTTCCATTTTCTAATGTTTCACATTTTCTCTTTCTGCTTTTCCTTATTCTTTATTTAATCTACCGTAATGTCTCAGGTCTTCATTACGGTACGGTAGATAACTTCACACAGGCACGCACTCGCCCGCAACCCACCATCAGTATGCACTTGCAGCGGTTTGTCAAGAAAACCTGTGAAAAAGTGTACTAATATCAATATTTTTCTGAAAATACTCCAAAAATAACAAGAAATTGACACGAAACAGGTAATATATATAGACCTCTATAACAACTTTTAACTTATGGTCTTAATTTGGACATTAAATGAATAGTTACTTCATTTTTGGTATGTTTCAGTAGGGTATCTCCACGCCGGAGTTACGGTCAAATTTTGGATAGATCTAGGCTTCTGAACAAGCGCCCAAGTCCCCGTTTCGCTCCACTACAGCTACCCTACAACTACGCACACACACAGGATTGGGTTTGACGTTGGGCATTCCTTTACGCAGTGACAAGTCAAATGACTACGTACCTGCTGCACAGATCTTCGTAACTGTGTATTTGTTCCCACCTCTGTCATCTTCTAAGAACATCCATTTAAAATTCAAGTTCTTTCATAATTGAGAAATGCGTATAAATGCTGATAGCATTTGTTATTATCCTTCAAAAGAATTTGTCATGTTCTTCCTTCCGACTCCGAGTTTATTTTTTTTGATGATGTGCCTTCAATTTGTGTACGATGATGTCATTTTCGCACGCACGATATCACATCCACAATAACGCAGAGGAGCTCTAATAATAGGTACAAGCGAAAATCCGTGACTAGCGAGACATCGAAATTTCGATGGTGAAAATGGGGACTCCCCTTCATGTTATCTTGACATTTATTTTGTTTTTAGAGGGCTCCAAACATGTTTATTATTATAATTCTAAGCTACGGATGTCTTTTTAACTGCACATCAGTTTTCATGTAGACCTTTTATTGAGACACTACATGTCCATGTTTATAATTATACACCTGCACTCTGCACAGCATCTACATCAGCTCAAGGCGCGTACACAGGGGGGGGGGGGGGGGGGGGGGGGGGGGGGGGGGGGGGGGGGGGGGGGGGGGGGGGGGGGTGGGGGGGGGGGGGAGGGGGGGGGGGGGTTGGGGGGTGTTTACCCCCCCCCCCCCCTTTGGTATTTTTCTCTGTGTGTAAATCCCCCCATAACCCCCCTAATCCCCCCCTTTGGATTTATTTTTATTTATTAAAAAAAAAAAAAAAAAAAAAATTTTCCCTGGCTGACCTAAAAAAAGCTGACCTTATTACCCCCCCCACAAACGGGCAAAATGTCAAATTTCAAATTCGAGACCGAAAACCCCCCCCCCCTCCCCCCCCCCCCCCCCCCCCCCCCCCCCCCCCCCCCCCTCTTGTAGGGACAAGAAGAAAGAGCCTCTTCACTATATAGGGATGGTAGATCCCCAAAATATGGTAATTGTTGCAATGTCAGGATTTCTATTATAACCCATTTTGTAATCCTGCACAACGACAAAAATATTCCCTCCTTAAACAGACCGCTAAAATAGGTCCACTTTTATAACTTAATTGAATTTGTTATTTGTATGTGCAAATGAGAGTTGTGGTTTTTATTGAAGATGATTTCCAGCAATTTTTTGTGAATTTTATTTTTATTTTACTGGTTCAACAAATCAATTTACTGAGAGTAAAAAATCCAGAATAAATTATAGCCATGTTCTCTCGACATACGATTCCCATACCAGAGCTCGTACTATGTCGGAAACACACTGCATACTGAACTATATAATTGAGAGCCTGAAAAAGAAAAGAAATGAATAGTAGCCCTATGCGTAAGCCTTTTTTTAATCATTGAAACTCTCACATACAATTATTTTCTTCTCTCATTCAATTTACAGCTTGACCTTTTTGGAGAGCTCGGTCCCAAAAGGTACAACATCGATTTTTTTTTTCCCTCTTTTTTTTTCTTCATTAATGTACACATTTCCAGTAGCCTCATACACTGACACTTCCAAAAAGCTGAATTTCCAAAAATAGTTTTAAAATGGCATTTTAAAATTAGTTTGGTTCCAAAAGGTATATCCATTCAAGTCATGCATTGTAACTTGCATACAGTATGTACAAGTTTGGTTCCAGAAAGTACTACATCCAATTTCGGTTCCAAAAGGTATATAATATTCATCCACAAAAATTTGAAAAAACATGAATTCATGAAAAATATTCCAAACCGACATTGCTAACTATGATTAGTAAAACAAAAATCGTGTTTTTCCGCTCAGAACTTGGATTTATGGATGTAGTACCTTTTTTTGGAACGAGCTCTTCATTCGTGTACTGTGTAATGAACGTGCATTTGAATGAAAAGACGAAAATATGCATGCCTCACCGAGGAAGGGAGGGGTCGTTTTCTTTCAATAAATTCATTTATTTTGCCATGTCAGAATGATATGAGTAGTTTGTTACGTAACTATTCAAATACTCCTAATGCCAGCTATTGACAACAGAATTTAATAGCCAAGCATCCCTATTCATTGTGCCATTGTAAGGGAATTTCACGCATACTGAATTAAATAGACTGATTTCTATTCATGATACTATGTCAGGCAGCTACGCAGGTTGATGGATAACTTATCACTAGGTCTCCGGCACACATATAGGTGCATTACTATCCTGGCTGTGTATTAAAAGCTATGCTATTGATTCACAACATTTCAAACACCACTGTACAAAACTCAACTAATTTCACTCAAAATCGGTACAAAATCGGTGACGATTGATGACACCTAAATAGCAGTAAAATCCAACTTTCCGATGTTAGAAAGAATAATTTAAAAATTCAAATTGTGAGTCCATTGTCAAACTTTCCGATCAACCGCATCGGTATAATTGTGTGCATCTGTGTGTTATGAGTTTATTGACTATTCATGTATTTGAATGTTGCCTATTAACACGTAGTGCAATGCTAAAGGTCAATACGCATTAGCATTGACTCTTTGCTGGAGTGGGTCTCCGGTAGGGTTAGGGTTAAATCCATACATTTAGATATGTTTGTGAACCTGTCTATCGAAGAGAGCTGACCCCAAAGAATAAGTGTAAGTATTGTGATAAACGAAATGAATTCCTGCCTTTTGATTATATAATAAATCTTACGAACGTGTACAAGAGATCCTCCGCCTATTTTGGGCCTTCAAAGTCTCAAGTCTTTTTAATACGTACGTTTAGCACGACTGATATCTTTGATCATACTTAATTTCACAATTGTACTATGTTTAAATTTGACCACCTTAAGATGTTTCATAACTACCATACTACAATACTTGATGTTTCTTGTCAAATGTTTAGTTTAATAATTTGTAATACATGATTTATATATATTGGTGGTTTGTACAAGTCATGAGGATCTGTACATCTTAAAGGTAAAGACCAGTAATGGAAACGCCCCAATTTCAAAAAATGAAATGGAAGCTCTCATTACCAATCATGTGAAAGAATATGTTTTGACTAATACATTTATGTGAATACATTTAGTTGATAAAGACTCCGCATATAGTACGTCATGCAATCAAGCAAATGGTGATGCCCATGTCTTGCTGAGAAAATGTACTTTATTCTTGCTATATGCCTTTCTCATACACCTTGGTGGGGAAGCTTGTAGATTGATGGGCAGGAATGCAATACATCTCTCAGAACAACTAAAGTTGAAAAAAAAAGGAGAAAAGGGTGATCAAATACGTCTGGCCCACTCCGTCATTAACAGAAAGTATTAATACCCCAAAAAATACATGGAGATTAGCAGTAAGACATATTAGTCTTGTGGATAGGCGATCGTCTGGTACTTGAAAGGTATCTGTTTCTATACCCAGCTAGTGCTGCTCTTTCTTTTTGTTTTTATATCTAAAAAGTAGACTGGTGTTCAACCCATTTTTATTTCACTAAAAGTATACATTTCAATGTTATTGTTTTAATTGATCGATACAATGAACGTATAATAAACTCATAATGAAATTATAATGAACTTATTAATAAATTAAATGGATTTTATACGATGTACACGAAGGAGCGCAATACTTTTTTTTTGTATCCATCAAACATAATTTCATTCACAACTTTTTCAGTCCGAATGCTCATACGGGACAGGCAGAAGTGTTGCGGAGTGTATTAGTGAGATCAAGAAGTTACTTCTTGGTGAGATGGCACTAGTGACAAATATATTGATGTTAAATTTGCGAAAGGAGAGTGAAAGAGAGAGAGAGAGAGAGAGAGAGAGAGAGAGAGAGAGAGATAGAGGAAGAGAGCCAGAAAGAGACAAGTGAATTGGATCCAATACACCCTATAAATCAAATAAAGGAAAGTATGATAACAAATTTAATCCACATTATTACAATAATTCAACTATTTTGACGGGAAAGCCACATATTACAAACAATATATATAATTTTGGTCAAATTTGGCCAGATATAATAATAATTTGTAGTTGTTGTTGATGTTATGCTTTTAATCATACAAGCAAAGTGTTCAACATAACGAGTTCCGATTTCTTTGTTAAACCATTTTCTTATTAATTGTTTATAATTATGTCCACTCTCTTAACCGTAAGAAGTGGAAGATAATACGCCCTCTCCGCCGTCTTCTATACTTTTCCTCGGATTGGAGCGGTTTCGACAACTGGCTGCGCACAGATGGTATAGGTCATTTATACCCGGCAACATTTGAAATGCCCTGTAGTGACTTTCCTAATCTCATCGAATGTCTATCTTCATCCCTTGACCAAACAACGCTAACCATGTCCTTAACCTAACCCGAAACCTGTTTGCAATCCAAACCCTTGCCAATTAGAGGCCCAGAGGTTTACAAACACAATATTTCTCAAAGATGTGGGGGGGGGGGGGGGGAAGGATGATTTCCCTTTCCCGAATGTAGATTTTTAATTTACTTCTAGCGAGCAACGCCTATGAGCAACAAATTATGACGCTTTAGCTTAGTGACAAACTGACAACGTCATCATATTGAATCTCGCTGTCACAACTGAAAATGTATTTGTTTTTTTCGTTGTAAATATTTCAGTATTCTAATTAATTAAGTCTAGGAGAATTTCGAAATTTCGTTTTTTGTTTTTTCTTTCTTATGTTTGTTACATGTACTTTTCTCTAAGCACCATGCGCACCGAAAGGTGGACATGTGCGCTATACAATTAGCCACTAATATTATTATTATTAATATGAGTTTGCGGCTTCCCTTAATGTTGGTTTTTTCAAAATTCCCTTTCGCCTTGTACACTACTGCCTCGGAATTTTATTTGTGAATTCCAGAGTAAATATCACCTCCACAAATTTTGTGTCACCGATATTTGAAAGACAAGCTATATTTATATATATGTATATTTGAGGTTTTGAAGGGGAACATGAAGCAGGGATTCACAATTATAAGGGAGGTATCACGCTTACGATACAGGGAGATGGGGAGAGGGAGGGGTGGGGGCGAGTGGGATACAACCCAGAGAATTATTAAACCACAGAATGTAGGTGGTCTCTTTTTAATGTTAAACATTTTTATATAGGGAGAGCCGGTCCAGAAATAGACTTGAAATGAGACCACCCTGTTGAAATAAAACTATAATAAATAAATAAAATATATAAAAGGGAAACTGTCTTTTTTAATAATCAAAATAATTCCATAAGTTCGTAATTCCGAAACGCAAATTTACCAAACCAGGGGTTAATAATTCCGAAAATGAAATAAGGATCGTAATTCCAAACATTTTGTCGCGTTTTTATTAAAATTATTTTTATCCGAAAGTTCATTATTCAAAAAGTGAAATAGGGTTCATTATTCGAAAGATCTTATTTCATTTTTCGGAAAATGGAGCTTCGGAATAATGAGCCTTCGGACTAACGAATCAAAACCTTCGAAATTATGAAACTGTGGGAAACGACATGTAACCGTATATAGACTTGAAAAATAACATTTGGGCGAGAGTCGTCAGCCCCTTGGCGAAACTAGGTCCTTACGCATATATTGATAACGAATATCGAAAAGAGTATTTACATTTTGAGTAAAACCAAACGTAGGTTGATATTCCGTTCATCAATTAATCTTTGGAATGCTCGAAAAATGTTACCTGGAATTATAGATGCCAAAAAATGATACCCGTTTCCTGGGGAAAAAAGTGCACTATACAAAGGGTAACCTCAAAGCAAAATGAAACAAAATTAGCATTGGTATATACCCCTTCAATAGATTCATTACATTTTCAGGGATGAACTTCAACGTTTCTCACGTGGTCCAATATAGTGCTACAGCATCATACTTTGCAGTTGTGTGTGATTGTCTGAAGATTCATTTGCCAAAGAAAGAGATTTCTGAGGCCCCATTCTGAACGATTAGATCTGATAATTTAGATGAAATCATGAGTCCTAATGGGGTTTTATGCACAATCTCATAATTAAGAATTCAGCCATAAGAAGAGGGGGGGGGGGTTAAAATTTCCGAGCGTGATTTTCCTTGAATGCATCACTGTAGCGGATTTAAAGGGATTACAACTGCACCGTGTCCACTCCAAAAACCAATCTGGTATACACTAACTGAAAACAAAAGTATATGCTGTTATTGTGTTTATGTGCCAAATTTCATATTTCCCAATCTAAGGGAACGTGAAAATGTGAAAATACAATTTGTTTGACTTTTCAGAACTGCACCCTCACCCCCTTCCCCGCCTCCTTTACGGAATCCCGGATACGCCCCTTTAAATGTCGAACTGTTTAATGCATTTCTTATGTAAAACGGAAGAAGATGATGACAAACAAGATAAAAGGTGACGCGCTTCTTTAAAAAACAAAACACAAATAAGTGAGCGAGATGGAGAAAGGTAGCATTGAGGGGAAAGAGTAGAATGGGAGGAGGCAAGGGGGAGAGAACAAGAAACATTATCGATTGGTCAACGAGCATTATTGATTTGTTTCTCGCCCGCATGTAGTAACCGCAACAAAAATACGAACATCATTAACATTACGATCAATTTACAACACATGCTAATATCCTATTAAGCCGAGAAAATTATACAATATTCAATATAAGAATTATTATGAGGGTATCATTTAGAGAGAAATGCCAAAACCCTAGATCTATTTCGGTATATTCTTCTCGATGAAACTATTTATTATTCGATTTGGGTCTATTGTCCTTCCGTGAGAATTCTCCATTTTGCAGTGAGCTGCGTTTCCTTTTGTTCAGAAGAGTTTATCGATCGGCAGCCATTTCTGGATCTCTGATCGACCCCCTTAGATCTTTTGAGCAAGATGCGTTATTGCATGGTACGCCCCAAGACACCACCACCACCATCTTATATCACAATGCGACGCATCCATTCGTACCCCTCCCAAGATCCATAATACACGGGGTTTGTACCTAACACCGCACGCCTAGAGTCAAGTCCGCCATTGCGCACATCCGATCCAGAGTGTTGCAACAATGCGAACCATTTTTATCTTAAACCAGAGAAAATCCCTTCAAATGGAATAACAACTGCAAGAAAGAAACCGTATTGGATTATTTACATGTGGATTTCATTTTTGGATTTACCATTGTTGTTTTTAAGATGTGAGGCCTCTGTAATGCAATGACAAATATTCTGATGATGGCTTTAGACTTGCTTTGGGAACTGCTCCACTTGCGTAGCAAGGCACAGAGACCCTTTATTCTAGGCGCCATTTTGCTTTCTTTTGTTATTTTCGTCACCAATGGTAAGTTTCACATTATGAAGGATCATACACCCAAAATGATACAAAGGATTCTTGAATATTGTAATTTCGTAACGTATCTTTAGTGGAACAATATAATATTCATTAACATCCTCGATTATGTTAAACTTTGCATTAGATATAAACTCGTCACCACCGTCGAGAGTATTTTACTCCATTAATTATGTTTAAAATATTTTGTTTTCATAATTATTATAGTACATAATTTTTTTCTTCACAAACTTTGTTTTGACAAATTCTTTTCTTTTTTTATTTCTCTCTTTCTCTCTCCTCTTTCTCTCTCTCACTCTACTTTATCTTCCCCTTTTCACTTCCCTTTTCACACTCTGTCTCGCTGTCTCTGTCTCTCACTCTCTCTCTCTCTCTCTCTCTCTCTCTCTCTCTCTCTCTCTCTCTCTCTTCTCTCTCTCTCTCACTCTACTTTATCTTCCCCTTTTCACACTCTGTCTCGCTGTCTCTGTCTCTGTCTCTCACTCTCTCTCTCTCTCTCTTTCTCTCTCTCTCACTCTACTTTATCTTACCCTTTTCACTTCCCTTTTCACACTCTGTCTCGCTGTCTCTGTCTCTGTCTCTCACTCTCTATTTCTCTCTCTCTCTCTGTCTCTGTCTCTCTCTCTCTTTCTCTTTATCCCTTATTATGCATGTTTATGGATATTCAATTTCGCTCTCTTTGTGTCTACATAATTATATTTGTGTGTGTGGATTTCGATCTTGCTTTCTGTATGAACTCTACATATTCAAGTATGTTTTTGCATTAATGACAGACTAATGTTAACCCCAAATCATGATTATGTGAGCAACTCTTTAAGGGTTTTATGTAAAAGAAGAAAATAGTTGGATTGTGTTTCGTTTTATATCAGACTTTATTTCCATAAAGTAATAAATTTACATGCTTACACTTAATGGTTCCTAACAAATATCTTTTCTTTAAAGCTATTTACCTTTTTCAGCAGCTCAGTTGATTTTTTACATTTCTTTTCAAATTTTACGACTGTTCCCTCCCCTTCACCCTTTCCGTTTTTTCTTTCTTCGCAGGTGAAAATGTTTATTCTTTTCCAACCGTATGCGAAAGATTTCCTGATATCCATTGTCCAAACGGAGAGTGTGCGAGGTAAGGCCATTAACATTAATTCCATATATATCTATTGGAAAATAGAGGCAAAGTTTATGTAAAATGGTATCATATCAAACTAAAACAACAACAGCAGGTAATATGAAAAAGAGCATACTTACTGAGTCCTACGGCAGCAGAAATCAAATCACTTTATACCTTAAACTTAATCTAAGCTGTTTGATAACTGTATTTAGTTTAATGAATTAATTTTGTTCTCTTTATAATCTTGTCTTGGCATAACGCAATAGAATATTTAACGATTCCCAAATATCATCAAACACTGCACTCAACGATATTTGCTCAATATGAAATAAGCTTAACATTGGTTGTAAACAGGAACATTTCTTATCATCTAGTTTCGTCATCTATAATTAGAAGAAACATACTAAATATAAATATGGATAGCGTTGACGTTAATCTCAATAAGCTGATCTGACCCGCCGAGTATTCGTGACTTTAAAGAATCAATTCATATTTTTCATAGTATCGGCAATGATTTTTTATTTACTTTTTAAACCTATCATTATTTGAATTACTAGTTTAGTTTTAATTTTGAAGTTTATATTCTGTGTAAGAAACTGTTCTTGTTCAATTTCATTACGCATACAAAGCAGAAAAACATCAACAATCGAATTCCATGATCAAAAGGCAAACACAATACACTTCTAAACTCAAAACTCATCTTTTCAAATTAACATATCAATAGAACTAAATGATAAGTAACGTTGACATTTTTCTTTGTATAAGAACTTCATCGTTTTCTATATATGCTTCTGTTTAATTATCTTTCTTTATGATCTGTTTATATTTTATATATGTGTATATTGTAAAGCGCATTGAAATAAAGAACAACATTATTATTATTACACAATAGCACATGTAACTACATTTTCGTCGAACAAAGATATGATTTTATTTCAGAAATTTCCTCAATTTAATGATTGTATATAAGTTGCATCACTTGATTATATGTTAAATATTTTCAATCTATGGATACAGAAAGAGACTAGATATACAATTTTTTCCAATAAAACCATTTAATACAAAACAAAAAATCCTCTCTCAGATCATCACTTGTTACTCTTATCTCATCAAATAAAAGCACAATTTTAGGTACATGATCAAGAATATCACAGTTATCATCATTATCACCACCATTATTATCCTCTGCCTATAGTCTATATTTTATAGTTTTCCATGCAATTTATTTTATTTCAGTTTGTGTTTAAACAAATTATATCAGCCAGCATGTTCCAGGGGTGAAATTTACTTGCAACCATGTACTTTACTGTTCCCGTGAGTGATGGATATCCATTACATGTACTTGGCATTCATGTTTGTATGGTATATATTGTATATTCTTATATTTTGTTTTTCCTTGTTTCGCTGTAGATACGAACAAATAAAATGTGATAATGGCCAATGTAACAACTCAACGGGTCTGTGTGAATGCGACCCATGCTGGGCAGGCAAAAGCTGCGATATACTTGGTGAGTATTTCAACTTTTAATTCTTGATTTATGTTACGTTACTTGTAAGAAAATATAGTTTAATAAAATCAACCGGGGTAAAAAAAAAAAAACAGCCTGTCTGAGAGACTTGTAATGAGGATTAATGCTTTATAAAGTAATTGATGTTTAACCCAAGGGCTAAAACATCGACATCGTTTTGAATCAGGGACCTCCTGGTTAATGGGAGTAGTATGCTCTTCCAATGAGCCATCATGCTACCTTTTATGGCCTGGTTTACTTATCTTATTCTTCATTTATAATTATGACCCTATTTAGATTTCTTCTGATTTAATCTTTTAGAAAGATGACCGTTTGTGTATGTTGTTGCCACTCTCAAATCTCGACTCACATAATATTCAGTTGATTTGCGCATTTCGTGTGACGTCCGCCAAGGCTGTTCTTTAAGCCATTTTCGTTTCCTCACTTACGTATAAGATCTTTATATTCCAAAATCCGTGTTATCTTTAGTTTAATTTGATTTTTTAAATATTTTGCAGAGGTTGAGCCATTCGAACATTGCTCTTGTTTTACCTTCACATGTAATATCACCTTTTTGAGTCAATGTTCTCCCACAATAGATTACGTTCATAATGTACCAAAGACATGTCAAAAGAGAAAGACTGTAGATCATGTTCATATTCATTATGTACAAGAACAAATTCGGATGAATTACTTTCGGTTACTTGTTTACCAGAACTTGTGTGAAATCTGATTTTAAACGTCACCAATACATAAAATGATGGAGAATGAAAAACAAATAATATAACACATGACAGCAATCTGATAACGAAAATTGAACAAAATCATAAGGTCATATCTTGTTGGTGAGAGGGGAGGCAATATAATGTTGATAATGATGATAATAATAATCATAATTATTATAATAATAATATTAATATGATTTTTCACGTAGATCTTCAAGATTTCGCAATTTTGTCATGTGTATTGCTGCGTCATCTTGAACTTGATCACTTGTTGGGTGAGGGGTCATTTTCGATCTTACATCGTTTACCCCTGAGTAACTACACGCAACCATCTTTTTCTCCCCCGGTGTTCACGTGTTGGCCACTGATCTTGATACTCATCTTTATTGATTACAGATATTGAATACGTCGTTTTATTAATATATATCTCATCGAATGCGTCATAGTCGCTCTAATACGAGTATGCAAACCTTCAAATGGTATTGCCAATGCCGTGCGTATTGATATTTTGTCTTACGTGGCATGGAAAATGTCCCTGACTTTGGCGTTGATAAGTGCTAAATAATTTTAATGGTTGGTTCGTGGCTGTCTGTGTTTTCACTGTTTAAGAACTGTCTATATTTTATTTTGAATGGTTATTATATAAAACACATACACTATGAAGTTTGCACATGAAAGAAATTTACTCTAAATTGATGATTACCCCCAATAAAACTTGGATATAATGTGGTCACATTAAACTACGCGTGGTATCAGACTTTGGCCCAAAGCTGTCCACTATTATCTAGTCCTATCTAGAATATGAAAGCAATTCTTGGGATATTGCTACTATGATATTCTTCCGAATGAGCAGAAAGAGAAACAAATATTTTCAAGAAGATATCAATACATTTTCATTACAATAATAGTAATAATAATATATCTTGTTTACCCAGGGTAGCTTCATCATTACTAATAGTGTTCTACCTGACGGCCCTAGCCTGCAATCATAATTTGTCCCCGCTTTAACCATAAACGTACAACTGAGTTACCATGACATGGTGCTCATGCATTCGAGAATTTTTTTTCCTACTGGTTAGCCATTTACTACACCGGGATGGAGAGTGACAAATGTAGATTAATATCTTGCCAAAGGACATTAGTGCCTTATTGACTTGTAGTTTTGCATAGTCTTAATAGTGCGAGTATACCAATTTACCTTTTAAGATGCTGATTGCATTCAGTATTGAATTATTTCTGGTCTTATAGTGAGATCAGATGTGCATGTGTACAATGTTGTTATTGTTTAGTTAGGTTTAAATACATAATGATCCCAAATTAAATTCATGTGATCATGAGAAACATGTTTCTTATGATTATCATTATTGTTTTTATTGTTTTTTTATTTTTTTTTATTGTGATCGGGTTCTTTTTAACCCAGGTCACTTATATCGACATTTCTACCAACCATGTATCAATGTATAATAACACCACCAAGGATGTACATCTCCTTTTATTATCATAATTCAACATAATTCATAGATAACTATAACTAATGCTAGGAGCCTATGTCGTTTTTTATTCGTCAAAAATATACTATTCAAAATCGGTGCTGTTATCAAGCAATGAAATAATTTACCGAATACACTTATATCAAATTGTACATCTACACTTGCAACTTTATTATAATGAGATTAATTGCGAATTGAATTCCAATTACAGGAAGAAAAAAGGACGGTTAATGGATGATGGGGAGGGAACATAAATAAATACATGGGTGATATACTATTTCAAAAACTTGTACCGTAATCAAGTGTTTAAATGAAGAATAGGTTAATGAAAGCAGTTATCAATAAACATAGATAGAAACATTCTATCAATTCAAGGTTAATTTCAGAATCTCTATTATCATCCACATGTACTTGTAAAATCCCAACAACGACCAGACCTTATCGAATCCATCAGTATTAGAATCCTTTTCCTATTCTAAAGCCAGACCCGTTTGGGCTTAACACGTTCTAAAAGTGTTCTCCACAAAACCTTGATCAATAAATCGATCATCAACCCCTCGCTCGCATTAACTATTCCCCCTATTCGGCCGTCACCTGTGTTCGATAACAAGGCCATATTGATTCTACAATACAACGGCCCCTTTTTATTGTGCGATACTCGACACAGCCGCCTCCATTGTTCGATGCTCCCTGCTTTTTAATTATTAATGTAGTCGCTACTTTCTATAAGCTGGAGGACTTTCATAACAAGACGTATGCTGACGTCAGCTTAGGATGTAAAAAGGTCTCTATGCAAATTAGCCGGAATGTACAACGCTGGGTACTGTTTGCTAAAGTGTTATCAATGGAATAAAGGATGAAACTTTCTTTTTTGTAAATAAAGAGGTTTTAACATGTTTATTTACCATTTTATGAAAGCTAACAATTGACCGTTGTAAAAAATTATTGTTCAAATCGAGTTTAATCGTCAGTTCGTGAAAAAGTGAACCATGATGCACCCTACTCATTAGTATGCATCTTCTGCATCCATGCACTAATTAACGTCTTGCTCAGTCTTCTTAAAACACAAAATAGCTTTCTAATGACGACATAGACATGATGAAAGACAGACAGACAGGGGATAGAAGAAAAGAGACAGATGAATATATAAATATACATGTACATATATAATTATAATACAGAAAGAAAGAAAGATATATATATAGAGAGAGAGAGAGAGAGAGAGAGAGAGAGAGAGAAGGGGAGGAGAGAAGGGGGAATAAAAGGGAGTTTTGCTGACCGAAGCAAAATATAATTATTGTAACCTTTTTATCATTTGTTCCGATTTAGTTATCAAACCTTTTCATCTTTGTGTTCTCTTTTTGCAGAAAACAATTTTCTTCCTTCATTTGAAGAGTCATCGTTGAGTGCGGTGGTGTATAAAAATAATGTAGATGACGTCATTACATACGTCACCGCCACGGATAAAGACGGCGAAAAATGCCAAGACAGCGACGCGGACTGTCCATGCGCGCGAATTCTTTACGCCCTTGAGAGCGGAAACGAGGAATCTCTGTTCCGCATTCATCCAAAGACGGGAGCCATCCAACTCTCGGGAAAAGGTATCCGGGACAAGAGTGAATTCCCGCGCGCAGGAACAAAGGTGAAATTGGTGGTATCGGCGCGGAATCCCGTGCACCGGTCGCGGAGTAGGATAACACGAGAACAGGAGGACGGTGATAATGTTGTGGGCACGATGATTGTGATGGTTGAATTCGACGATGAACCGGACACCGAGGTTGGATTCGATAGGTACAGGAAGATGGAAAACCATGCGAACAATGATGTCGGCTCTCGTTTCAGGAGGTCCCTCGATGATGACGAATCACAGGCAGTGCACTCAAGACGGAGAAGATCGGTAAGTCTTATTCTAGAAACATTTAAATGGTCAAAATGTCAGAGTTGTAAATGAAAACCACTGTAATCACAAATAAGGTGAAGATAAACAATTTAAAGAGATCAAAGCTATTTGAAATAACATCATGGTTACAGAACATCGGGTAGGATTCACCCTGTAGGGTTTATACTTTGGAGGGTCCCATGTGAGCGCATCTCAACTATCTTTTCATAAAGTCATTACAATGCATAATCATTAGCTGGGCGTTGGGGGAGCAGGACCCTGAAAACATCATAATTGCTCTTATTAGATATTCGTCATATTCTTAATGGTATAGGTGTTCCTTATCGTTTTTATCTGTACGCCTAATGCTATGTTAATTCAGCAGCTACTCATTTAAATGAACAAAATTCAAATAACATTTCAATACACTTCCGCAAAAATATCCAAATATCACTAAAGCAAATGGGGTCATGAAGCCAAAATGGCTACTCATTATTACTCCGATGAGATGTAATTCATTTTCATAACGGTACAGGTATTTCTGCTCGTTGTTGTTTTATCATTAGCAACTCATTCAATGAACACAACAATCTAACCGCATTTCACTGCGCTCATACATATTGAACAGAATCCAGGAGCACCGAGCGAAGCGACATTCTTCCTGGAGAAAATCGGCAACGCCGTCAACATGACCGAAGTCAACATCGGCGAGGTCATCGAACTTCAGCTTACACTCTGGCTGCCGTCAGGTACCACGGCTGACGTCGATGTCGAGTTAATTTCGGAGAACGAAAACGGCGCCGTGTTCATTCTGTTTGATCCAAGCGTCACGACCGTGGGCGGCAACTATCCGAGCTTCGATACGAACGGCGTGGTGACGTCATATTACGCGTCAGCAGGAGATGGAAGGGTAAGCTCTCAACCCCGGGAGATAAATTAAGGAGGGGGGGGGGGTCATATTTTGTACAACCGTACGAGACATGTTGTTCCATCCTGAATTCATATGTTTTCAACAACCTTTCGGAAGATTTGTTGGCAGTGCATTCAATTGTTAAAGTCACTAGTATTATTCACAATACATTATGTTCATTACAGTGACGATATCAATTTTTCATGTTCTCTGAGTCAGTTTTTTTTTAATGTTCTTCCCAGTCACGATTTAGATAATTACTACAATTGAAAGTTAATTAAGCTTTTTTGAATCGTCATTACATGCTTACAGTTTAACGATAAACTTGCACTACAAATATATTCCGTTGAATAAAGTCATAAAGAAGTTCTTCCCTCATCAGATTAAAACACAAAATTAAATTCATTCATGACAGTTTTATAGCTTTTAGCAGATATTAGTATATTTCGTATTTTATTTCGCGTCATACTTTCATGGGAAAATGTCATATAACGTCTCCATTCATATTAATACTTTGCCTCTCAATCAATTATGTTGGGTGAAGAAAACCAAGGCATAACCGTAATTAAATTCAACCTGTCATCTCACAGTAAGTAGTTATCTTCAGTAAAATATATATCCCATATTATCTCACCTTGTTTGTTTACAGTATGATCGCATCTTGATGAAGTTGGGCGACATCACAAACAATGCCGACGATGAGGATGACGACGAGGCTAACCAGATCGAAATCCAGTTCAAGGCGATCCTGACCGTCAATGACGCTACCCAGTACGGCGTCGAGTACGACCTCTCAGCCGCCGTCACCTGTGGGTCCAGCGACGACATCTGGGCCGGCACCACGGCCTTCACGCCCGTCGACGACCGCGCTGATTGGGTGAGATTTCCTTTGATATTATGACAGCAGGATCGCAAATACTTTCGAGAAATGAACCCAAGGACAATATCAATACCCTATCGGATGTTCCAGAGAGCCATGTTCGGACTACGTACCATATCACTGTGATGTTCTTACATTCCAAAAGATGACGTAATAGGTCATTGAAATTGCCTAAGGTAGATTTCTCGAAAGTATTTGCGATCGCTTTCGTTGATGGTGATATACGGGAGGAGAAGGGATGGCGTGGAAGAAAGCTTCCCAGACATATACTCTGGAGACAAATTTCTCAGATACATGATGATTTGGGGTTAGGGGGACGGTTGCAATTATTTAAAGGTTATGTTGAGGGTTATGGTTAGTGTTTGATCTCGATTTGAAGCTAATAATTCGTGCAGGATTTTGATCAGGAGCAATTGCCGCCAGGACATTTCCATATAACTATCTAATTCAGGAGTGGGAGAGGGAGGAATATCTGTGAATATAATATGCCCACATACCGTACCTAGAACACTTTGCTAGTTTTTTTCTTTCTTGGGCCTTCCATTGGGGAAGCTCTAGCGGGCATTTTCATTTGCAGTTGTCTTACATGAATTATAGTGTCTTTTATCACGTGCTTATTACAAACAAACCCTTGTACCTGTCAATTTCAGGCCGTCGCGTCACCCATCGTCTTAATATCGGGTCCCGATGGCCAAAATATGAGCGTTGAGTCGTCGGCGCTATTCTCTATCGACATCGTTCTCCGTAACTACGCCTCAGAAAACGTCGTCGTCGAGCTGATTGCAGACAACTTCACCGTGGACCCTCTCATGACGATCTGCGATTATGAATTAACTGGGAAAGGTAACAGCGGGTTGATCATGCATTTTAGTGTAAAGTGGTTATTATTTAAAATTCAAATCCAATCTAAAAGATATTTGATATAGCGCCTTTTCCTTGCAGTAATGAAGCGCTGCACACACGCTCCACAATGTTTGGCCCACTTAAAAACAAAAATTAGACACCTCTCAGAGATCAGTCAAGCATATGTGGGCTGGTAATAAAGTAATTTCTAGCAGAATAGATGTGACTTGAGTAATTTCGAGATAATTTGTTTTCTAGACAATTGTTCTTCCTGAGAGCCCATCAATTAGTGCAATAGTCACTGCCGCAGTGCAACCTTAGACAAATGACACCTTATGTGCAATGAGGGGGTAATAAATGAGTCATATACACACGTATAAAACAAATCTTACCATTTACCGTCTCATTACGGAGGGTAACGGCTTTGACCAAGAATTACATCGGGGTAGGGGTAAGAACTACCAGGTGAAGGTGTTTTGGGGGTCAACAATTTAAAAACTATTGGTATAGTATAAGGGAAGAATAGTGTAGTTGTTAATTTCACGCAAAACTTTTATATTATTTCGTTGTATTTGCGGAACGGATATTGTAAATAGTATTAGAAACACATTATTGATGTTGGATTCGATCATTGTACAAACATTGTAGAAAATCTAGTGTAGAACCAACAGAAAATGTGTGTATGTGCTCATTATTATATTTTATGTACTATTTTCGTGATATTCTTTTAAAATCCTTATTGGCTTTAACTTACACATTTCCTTTCAATCTATAGGGTCGAACTATGACTGCATGTCAGACGAGTCGTATTCACTTTCGACGAAAGAGGTCAACGGAACAATCTGGACTGTGCTGTCGACCCTTGACCTTGGAACATGGGTCAACCAAGGTCAGTGACTTACGATCTGAACAAATCAAACATTCTAACAAATTTCATATAAAATGTACAATATGGAGGAATAATGTTGCAATGCGTGGACGACCTAATAAATTCAACAAATGGGTCATCCTCATAATTATATCTGAACAAGTAAAATATATAATTGCTATGTTTATTACAAAATACAGGGAAAATGAATGTTGAACGTCGTTATGGTGTGATTAATCCTTTAAGTTTGGACACATTGCCTTTATAAGTATGCCTTAAGATGTAAAGGGAAGTAGGTCTCTTGTAATGTATCAAAATATTAATATATCTTCCATTTAGTGCATTACATTTCTACGGGGGAGGGGTAGCCAATCTGCACACTATATCACAATGTCCACTGAAAATGTCACATGCTTGCATTATGACGTAATCGTACCAGTAGCCCTAGAAGGCCTACATCCAGTTGATCTTATTTCATTTCGGTGTCGAAGTGTGGAATGTGAAAAAACATGAAAAAGACGAAGATGATGACTCATGCTTTTCGTTTTCTTCCGACCAACAGGACTTCGGTATGGTGCATCGACCACGGCCAGCAATACGATCAGCACGGAAGCCGTCGTGCATCTCACAGACAGTACCGAGATCGTGGATTATTCGACCTACTGGTTTGGTGTGGCTGTATCAGTCAATGACGAGATGATCTACTCGAACCAATATGGTATCCATGCACAGCCGCTCAGCTCCCCAGATATGGTAGGTGTATATGGATGATCGCAAATTCCTTAGAAAAAATTCTTTAAGGTTAATTTCAACACCTTATTGTATATTAAATTGAAATCATGTTCGGATTACGTAATACGTAGTTGTATTGTCACAAATTATTTTCATTAAGTAATGAAAAAATTTAACTAAAATTGTTCTAGGTTGATTTTTCGAAAGTCGTCACAATCCTGGTGTTGAAGGTTAATCATCCTCAACTTCAATAACATGATCATAAACATCAACATAATCATTAATCATTAACACTCATCCAATAGTATCAGTAAGGATAAACGACACGTTAATTTGTAATATTAACAGTATAGGGTGTCGTTTCAAAGGAGGGGGCGGGGGCAATTTCACCCAATAATTCGCGGATTAACTGTGTATCTCGTTGTGGCATTTGCCCCAACCATCCCTCCAAAATCTAAAGATGGATCGAAACCTCCTGCAGAAGAGTTCCTCGAGTAGCTCAACACAGGTGGTGGATTCATTTTAACTGGTAGTATAGTTAAGCCGTCAAGAAGGATATAAAGAATTATTAAAGCTTAAAGTCTTAATTGTTATATGTTACCAAACATTCGTGGATATTTACTGAATTACCCTCATTTTCATCGTAACTATGGTGATGGCAACGGCTCGAAGATACCCTTGAAACCTACCTAATTGTATTCATCAGATCGATATCTTAACAAAAAGCACTATACGGTAAATTGGTATGATATTAGCCTATCTAGGTATTAATTTAGGATCATCTCATATATGTACGCGCAAGGGTGTAAATGTGTGTCTTTGCGTAGGCTACGTTCCCTGGCGGTTCCAGGGGTATGGGGTATAAAGTGCCCCTCTCAACAACAACAAAAAAATAATTTGGCTTACCCTCTAGTTCAGAAAAAATGCCAACAAATGTTGTCCCCGCCCCCTGTGGACAAATGACATTACACAATAATTTGTTCCACACCTCTCTCCCCCTCCTCCCCCCCCCCCCCCCCCCCACCGGGAATACAATTATCCCTGATCCGCCACTGCTGGTCTCTGTCCTTGTTTTTGTCAACAAACTGTGGAAATCCATTTCAGAGTCATCGCTCCCTGACAAATAATTGCCCCTCATTAATTATAATCTCCTTTTGCAGACGACCGAACCGACCATTGATTTCTATCCCATCGATGGCAACCAAGTGGTGGTCGGAGCTTGCGTCGGTTTCGTAGTGACCATTGATCTTCAGGAGGAGGTGACGTCACGTCTCATAGTTGACCTCTCGCTGCCCGTGACCTCGAACTCGGAGACCCAGATGAGAGTGTGCAGCGCGCAGGTAGTATCGGCGGGCTACAACCTCCCGTGTGCGTCGAAGGTGGTGCCGACATATGTCGAGCTCGTAAGTTGGGCGTCAAAATATTACATATTGATATGAGGTCATTCGAGAAGTTGAGCAAAGAGAAAGCGTCACCGAGTTATCTAAAAATTGTTGTTTTCAGTGCGTAGACGATTTTAAAGGGAAAACTATAGAGGAAAGAACGTCTTTCATCTTCCCTCCACTGTCATACATTGGTAGATACAAGTAAAACGACAAAGAAGTGAAATAAGCAATTAAAGTGATAGGTTAGACCGTATGAAGTATAATTACAGTGGGTAGTGAAATACGCTGAATTTTTAAGCGGCTTTCAAAATTTAAAGAAAGATCAGTTGCTTCGTTCCCTATTTTATTTTGTTACTTAAGATTGCTTGTACAAATCATTCTTACTGATCTTGTTTGTAAATAAATTGTTACACTCTCCCGATTTCCAACACTTAAGCCAAATTCTGACCTTTGTCATGAAGACAATTTTATCGCCCCTAAATTCAGATTCTTAATCTCATGATTAAAGCAACTTTTGAAATACTACATATAATACATATTTATCCCTCTGAAATCTTACAAGCAATTCATCATGACACCATGAGATGTTGATGTAATCATAACATCTGCATTGTTTTTTGTTTTAACTCTATTTTCCTAGGATGGAGAGAACAAGGACTATGTCCGCTTAGACTTTGGTCGGGTGACTAACGTAGGGAGACGCTCAGAGAGTGGGGATAGCGAGCTCAAGGTTCACATCAGTGCACAGCTCCTCTTTGAAGCACCGGGTAAGTATTTTGTAATACCTGTTATGAATAAAGATCTTCGTTGGATAGAGAAATATAGACAGGATAAACCTCCAGTGTTTAGACATTATGTAGCGTATATTCAATGAACCAATCAATCAATTTATCAACGAATGATTGATCATTTAGTTTATCAATTAGACAATCAATAAAGCAAATGATACATTGATAAAATAAGCGATTAACCTTTATAAAAAAAAAAGCAAAAACAAATTATTAGAAAATTAATCCGTCAGTCAATCAATTAATCTATCTATCAGATAATCACTTGTTCGATCGATTAATGAATTCGTCAATTAGTAATTCAATCAATTAACCAAAATATCAACCAAACAATTAATCAATGAACCAATTGATCAACAATCAGTCGATCGATCAACGAACTAACCAGCCAACTAATCATTTGATACTCTTATATCATATTCAAAGATGAATGCTGTATACTATGAAAAGAATTAAGCAGCTACATAACTAACCGATTTTGAAATTCCATCAATTCCTCCAATTTCTTTGTGCAATCACATGCATCAAACAGAAAAGTCAACCAATATATCAATTAATCAATCAATCAATCAAGACATCAATTAGATTTTCACAACAAGATAAATGCAAAAGATGAGAAGTGTAATTAAAAGTTTAACCAAGTTTGTTACTTTCATCAATTCCTCCTTCAGATGCAACAAATGGAACAGAGCTAACAGTGACGGCTGGTGTCCGATACGAGATGGAACAGAACGATCTCATTTGGATGGTCCAGTACCCTCTTCTCGCTGTTGATCAACCATTAGCGGACTATAGTTCGGCTGCCAAGGTAAATTCACGATAGAGAATGATGAAGGGAAATTGACTCACACTGCATAGGCCTACATTATTTCAACATCTTCTTTTAAACGTTGGACTCTTTTCTCAAACGATAAATATCCATGGAGTAAACCTTTAAAGCGGTAGGTGTAGTCTGCATTTGAAGATTAAAATGAATTATCGTTTTAGATAATGATACACGCAGCTGTGTAACTATCACAAACGTATGTGTTCAATGGTGCGATTTTCGATGCTGTTTCGACAAAAATAAAAAAAACGAGTATCTATAACCATGACAAAAGATTGAGCTCCCCTATTGCTTCATTACTCTCGATCCCTTATTCCCTCTGTCCTTGGTACGTATGTAATGTGAAGGAATTTTCGGCGTACATAATGACAGATTTCGGCACAGAAGCGAACCATGTTTTTCACCTTTCGGAACGACCATTCCTCTTACAGGAACCGAGCTTCACACTGACCAACCGTGCTAAAGATGGCTTCCTCTACCCGAAGTCGGCCGTCTCCTTTGAGATCGAGATCGAGATCCCGGCCGAGACGACCCATTCTGACCTCACGGTGATCATAAAGGCGCCCAAGGACGACCGGGATATGATCAAGCCATTTATGAGCATCTGCCGGGTCGAAGTCCTGAGCGTTAGCGAGTTGTTCCCGTGCTACGACGCCAACCGGACGGTCTTCACGCACGAAAGCATTTCCAATAACTCCGATGCCATTGACAAGTAAGATTCTTACGACATTGTAATACAAGAACTTGGAAGTGATTTTTAGTCCTTCAAACTATGCCCGCAAGTTTAAAAAAGTATATAAAGAAGATGTACAGGACAGACCTAATATATAAATGGCAGAGTAACTGCCATATCAATGGATCTAGTTTGAAAGCAAAATATAACCACCTCTATCAATTAGGTAGATACATTTATCTCAGCCCGACAAGCCCCAGAAACAAAGCCAAGAAAAAACAATTAAACAAAAATCGACCACGCCTTCCTTTTGTAGAACCACGGTGAACCTGGGCGTGATCAGCAATACTTACCTCGATGAGATGATGACGGCGGATCCTGACGTCAAGGCGACGGTCACCCTGGCCGTCTTCATGCATTGGGAAGATCACGAGTACCATGAGGACGATGCCACGCTCTCGGTCACTGTGATGGCGGAGTGGGGTCATGCAGGGACGTGGTCCAACACCATCGACTACGTCACCGAGCTGGATACCTATCCCGCATTGGACAGTGTGAGTAGAGGGAGAGAGATAGAGAGAGAGAGGGAGGTATGGAGGGGGAGAGAAGGGGGAGCTAAGGAGGGGAGAGAGAAGGGGGAGGTTAGGGGAGAGAGAAAAAGAGGGGGAGGTAAGGAGGGGGAGAGAGAGGGGGCAGAGCAATTGTCGTCGGGGCATATTTTATTCGACCGATAGCAGAAAGGACGTTTGTGAGAGATATGACAGACGAAAGGTACACGATGAATTTATACATACAAAAATTAACGTTGAGAAAAACAAGATTATAGACCTACTATATTTGCCAAACATAAATACCATCAGATTTACGTAGTTCTAGTGCAGTAAAATCGAGTTACCTTCTTCATTCCAAATGCCTGTTGTTCCACAGTCGGGCGAGAGTCCTCAGTTCCAGATGTCGCTCGACGCCGGTCGTTCCCGGCACCTGAAGGCCGGAGGAACCGCTGTTTACACACTGTTCATGTACACGCCCGTCAACTCGGTCACTACATACGCTCTCGATGTCGCCGCGCCCAACGACACACTCTCCGTCTGCCGTGCTCACTTTCGATCCGGCGGTGAGAACGTACCGTGTTTCGATGAACGTCAGGAGATGTTGATATCGGACGAGGAAGATGGACATCGTGATCAAGCCTTCCTGGATCTTGGCCCAGTCAGAAATACAGGTAGGCAATCAGTCATTTCAATTTTAAATGAAAATATAATAGAGGTGTCGTGGTATAGTGAGTGGTTCATTCACTTGCCTCTCAATTTGAGGGTTGAGGGTTCGAATCCCAAGCCGGCTTTAAGGTCTTACGGCAATTGTTGGGGAAATAATAATTGCAGGGCCATCAGGAAGATCAGCATTGATGCTGATGAAGAATGGATAAACAATTCTTATTACAGCGAGAAAATTATAGAGATGATTACATGCAGCTAGAGTATCAAAGAAATGCAATTGTTTTGCAAAACTCTTTTCCATTTCTTATTCACCCATTTAAACATTTCATCTGTTGCTAGTATATTCCTTGATGACACGCCCTCAATCTAACATATATTAGTAAACATCAAATTATTTTAAATATAAATGTGAAAAGAACTTTTCTTTCTGCAATAGATCTTCACTGGTAATACCGAATTCACTAAAATCCAGTCGCTCCATGAATATAGTATGACAGTTTCCAATAAATGTGTGTTTAAACAACTAAAACTAGACTAAAGACCATATTTTGTTTACCATTTCAAAGGGATCACAACAATAAATCAGGTGGATAATCGAATAGTCGCTCAAGTAGTAGTCAAGTTGGAAGAAGCGGCTCTGCCACCGGATAACCTCACCTTACCGGATCCCCAAGGATTTGGTGTGACTATACAAGTCGGAGAGACGGATAGTTGGAGCTTTGCAGACACATTGACTGTGGATACGAATGAAACTATTCCGAATAATCTGGTAATTGTTGGAACAAGTCAAATTATGGTTTACAGAATTGTTTTGATCACTCTTTAAGAATAGATAAGGTTAAATTAGTATAATCGTTTTAGCAGTTAGATTATGCTTGTTAAATTAAAATCTTTATAGATTTTGGAATACAGAATTTCTATTTTTATAATCAACGTTTCCTAAAAATAAAATAAAAAGGGTACGGCGTCTTTAAAGGCTCCTATATATATCCATATAATAACTGTTGGCGTACGATCTGTTTACATTAAACCTGTATCAACACAGTGAGAAACTTGAAGTGAAGAACTTGTAAGGTAATTTGCTGGAAGAAGTACATGTATATAGGTTAACACATTCGTGTACTGACCTTGTATATTCTCGAATGTACAGAATCCTCTCCCAGAAGCGACGTTCACCAAGCTCAACGCCGCCGAATCTCGAGTCACCATCGGCAGCGTGGTTGAGTTCAACCTCGACATTTTTATTCCACCCGAGTCCATCGCCCAGTACGAAGTCGACTTTCAAAGCGACGTCGACCAGCCGTACAAGATGACGATCTGCGAGGCGAGGATTATCGCGACCGGGTGGAACATCCCGTGTTTGAATGGATCCTTCATCGAGACCATGTATAACTCGTCGACGGACGACGAGCACATCGACATGGCCTATCTTGACGCGGGTGTCATCACGAACATGAGGATGAAGAGCGAGGAACTTCCAGTCAAGTATAACAAAAACATGGTATGCCAATTCGCAGTTTGCAATGTCAATGTCAAGAGGAACTACTAACAATAAAAACATTAGTAATTTACAAACCGGGTTAAAAACATTCAGATATAATATCGGGATTTCTCAAATTGACAAACAAGTTGTAAGAAGAATAGGATTTTTACGTAACATGCGTAATTTTCATCTTTAACCGCGTTCAACAGTCAACGAACAGGGCTAGTTTGTCTGCAATACTATTACATATCAAACTCTTCCATACTTTACCCTACCTTACTTTTTCAAGACGTTATGATGATTTTTTGTTCTCAATTACTATGCGATTTCAACAAACTTTTTACAATAAACTTATATACTTGCATTGAACTTAATATACAATGTCTTCTTAGATCCAAAATAGCTACAACCCTATGGGGTGCTGACATTTTATAATAAATGTTCGTAGTTATACTGGGCGTTTTAATAATCTCTACATAAACAAGATGGTTCACGGCTGTCGTAGTGTCGTATAAAATTCAATTTGAGTCCCAATCTTATGAGGAGAATAGCATTATAACGCTTTAAACGCTATAAGCACCCTTTGCATTTTCTCATTCTTTCGTGAGTTTAGACAAAATCGATTTTGAGACGTAACATACCATAATATAATTCCTGATAACAGAGAATTAAAAAAGTGCATGCTATACATTAAATTGTGTGCTGGAAAATCTGAATCTGATGACCGGGGTAACTATGTAAATCGCTTACTTCTATACATCTTACATGTACTTAAAATTATACTTATGAATCCATAATTTCATGATCAGTTTCATAATAATTCATCAACACTTTCTCTTTTGATTCATCCTAGGTTCGAGTCCAACTCCTGACTCGTCTCGAGCTCAACGATTCGATTGTGGAAGGTGATGAATTCTGGTTGGGCGGAGCGGTCAAAATCAACGGCTTCAATGAGATCATTCTCCAGTCAGGATTCAATGCTACAGAAGATCCCTTGTATCCTGAGGTAAGGAATGTTCTTTAGTTATTTGTACACGGAAGCCTACTCATTTTGCTATACTCTGGTACCGGCACCAAAAGAAGTACGACGTCTCGTACCCGAATGTTATCGACCCAGTTTCTCTATTTATGCAGCCCCCGCTTATTGCCATCGCTTCTGGCCGGCCACGGACGTATATGATTAAATAGTCAACAAAATTAGAAATAGATAGAGTGATTAACCAATAACGATAGCCGATGATATTACTTTAAATGTTTCGATCTTATTGCATTAATTACCTACATGTACAATAATGATTCGTCAACTACTTCTATTTGTCAGACCTTCACTAAGCCGACGTTCCACGTGAAGCGACCCCGTGGCAACCTTAGCCTTACCATCGGCGAGAAGGCCCGCTACTATCTCAACATTTCTACCATCGTTACAACCACCCCCTTGGCCATCAACCTCTCTCTGCCCATCGCTGGCGACGAAGCCTTCCTCACTATCACCGACATCCAGCTCGAAAGCGTTGGCAAGAATTTCGGCTGCTTCCAGCTGTGGGATGAAGAGTTCATCCCGACCACAGTGTCGTCGTTGGGTTCGTCTCAGAACGACACCGCGCTCATTGACTTCGGCGTCATATCAAATCACGGTAGGATATATTTTGTAATACTTTATTACTTTTTGTTTAAAAAATATATTGGAAGTATAAAGCACCATTTCCTGAGGATACAAGCTCTGAATGCTGATTACTCCTGTGTTAGGCGAGCTTCCATGATAAGGTGCTCAAGCATTCAATGAAAATCTTCTTATCGGGTCCCACTACCTATGGATCTGCAATTGAAATTGGTTTAAAATAACTACCAAGATCTCATTTAATCTAATAAATTATCATTTAAAAGAAAAAAGTTATAATTGCATCAATTATTGTGAAGAGAGCTATCTGATGGTAAGGAGGCCGATTACGATGAAAGTCTTAGCACCGTAGCTTTATTCCCTCATGGATATAAAGCTAGGTTTAGATTTGGTTTTAGGTCAGTAGGATTAACATTAGGGTTAGGTTGGTGTTGGTTCTGGTCAAGGGTTCAAGTTAGGGCCTTTTGATCGTGGAGCAAGTGGCGCAGTGCAGAGTGAGTATTACAAAATAATCCAGGAGATTTATAATTATCATGCATATTATCTCATCTAGAAACGTTTCTCTCCTTGTCCTTTAACCAGGTACGTCGCACAAATACCAGTACCTACCCTCCGAACTCGGTGACGATGATATCATTGTCTCCTTCGAGATCCAGCTGGCTGACCACTACCAGCTGGTCAATGAAACCCTGCTCGATTTCACCATCACCTTCCTATATAGTCTGGACAGGGAGGAGGTCTTCACTGAAACGATAGAAGCGCTCATGATGCCCGGTGATCTTCCAATCATGGACATCAACATGACCATCGAAGACTATGACATCAGAGACGTTCACCAAGGGTATGTCATCACTCACCAAAGTGTTCGCACTTGTATGAATTCTTTAGTATGTAACCCTTTACCAAATGTTAATAAAAGCAGAAAATTCTACATTCTACAGTCATTGGTTAAATCCAATAACTTCAAATTATATGAATAGCAAAATAATATCCTCAAGGAAAACATTAAAAGTGTATCCATTGTCATAAACATAATTTTTTTAAATCAGACAAAATACTTAGGAGGTAAAATAATGATATTGCGATCTAGACATTTCCCCCCTCTACTAATTGACGAATCAGAAAAGGGAAAAGAGTGAAAAGGGATGAAGGGGGGGGAAGGGGATGGCCAAAGAAGATGCTACGACTTCAATGATTTGCATGTCATCCATCCAGATATTAAGACCGGTGCCGTCATTTCACGACACCCTGGATTACCTATAGACAGTCTCACATATTTGACATTTGTTCTCTATTCATGCATTTCACAGTGACGTCGTCTATGGCAGTATCTCGTTGAAACACAACGAGAGGTCGTCATCGCACGCACATGCTGTCATGATCAACATGATGACGCCTCATTACATCGGCGTCGACCCCTTGATCGAGATCGAAGGACCATCGCTCTGTACCGAAACCAGCGATGAGGGGATCAAATTTCACGTAAGTAACAAAAGAGCTCTATGACACATGGGACCGTCGTAGCTTTCAATCTTTAAATCTGCAAACCTCGGAGGTTTAAACCACGTTCAGTTATGAATTGAATTAAATTGATATCTTGATTTATATACGGTGAAAAAAGCCCAAACAGTTACAAGACTGATTTCCATTAGGGCCGTGTGAAACAATGTAAATACATCAAATAATATCTTGTGAAGCTAATTGGTCATTATTGAGTTGAATAGCTGATACCCCGGCAACACCAACGACACTCACACCACACCGACCAAAGATTGAGCATAGAATTATATTACACAGAATGGCGGAGAATATGCTTTCTTGGACACTCGCCATTTCTCAGAATGTCGGAAGTAAATGTATGGAAAGGATAAGGAAGTCATTTCGAATTAGATTAAATTGAATTTTCTACTCATTAATATCCTCCATAAACTTTTTACCTCGTAAAACTACACAATTGCCATTTTTAATTTCTTTTTCCAGTTCGCCGAGATGTATTTCACTGACATCTTCACCATGTGGTTCAACGTCACCATCGATGAGGACCGCTACATGCCGATTGAACTGGACGTTATCAACACCACAGTGCCGCTCGAGGTCATCTACTACAAGACCGGTGGACTCGATGATGATGATAACGTCATCCTTGGTGACGTGTTCAGTACCGATCTTGAGCTCCTTGATCTCACATTTACAATTGAAGGTATGAGGCGCTGAAGGACTTGTTGCTTTAAGCTCTAAGACAATTAAAGCCTTTAAATGTCATACTGATTTCTAATCGTGAGGAATAATGATTTTCTTTTACCCGTTGTAGACGAGGCGTTTTTATTTGGAATTCCACGTCAGGAGAAAAGAAAATCAATTAATAGAATTATTGGTACTTTGCTTTCGTCACCTTTCATATAGAAGATCTGGTGATTCTCTTGCAAGGCTTCCCAAAGCTAAGCTAGTATGGACTTTGAAGTTGAAAAACGTTATCCTTTTTGTGTATTTAAACTTTTTCTATATGATGTTCATTTTCTTTCAATAGCTTGCGCAGAACGTTTGGCTTACGCCATGAATAGGGATTGCCAATTTACGGCGAGCTCAACGCTCAACGATTCTCACGCTCCCCATACAGCGACGATGAATTCACAGACAGGTTGGGCACCCGGCTCTCGATACACTCTTCCCTACCTTGGCAACGATTATCTGCAGGTTAGTGAATCCTCACGGTATCTCAACTTTAGTATTCTTGTTATCCCAGCACGAGAGGAAGAATGAAGCAGAAGAAAAAGAAATGGAGAAAAAGTATCTTCTTTATGTATATTACAGAGGAAAGCTTATTGATAAATCGTAGCATGGAGATATCATAAGGACATCAAATATTAATGAGGAACAGAAGAGAAGAAGAAAAAAAGGAAGAAAGGAAGGAAGACGACGACGACGACGAAGAAAAAGAAGAAGAAGAAGAAGATAAGGATTAGGTAGACGCTAATAGAAATTTGATGATAAAAGTGGAAAGAGAAGAAGAGAAGGGGAAAAGAACAAGAAGTTCATGGATAAGGACATTTCGTAAGCATAAATTGATATCTTCTTTGAACTTTCTTTCTAAGGTCAAATATTCCTCATTGATGCGATTCAGTGGTATACAAATGCAGCAGGGACCCAACGGAACACACTATGTTGATTCATTCCAAATCAGCTACAGCGAGCAAGACCTCGTCTGGTTCAACTATGAGGAGGATGGCTCCGTTATGGTAAGTGAACACTGGGATGATGACCAGGACGAGTTTATGATGATGATGATGGCAATGATGATGATGACGACGACGACGATGATGATGATGATGATGATGATGATGATAATGATGATGATGATAGCTTTGGTGGTGGTGTCAACGATGATGTTGGATGACATTAGCGATGGTGACGATGATGATGATGATGATAATGATAAAAGAAATTAGTGCAGAATTATGATAATAACAATAATATCGTTAATGTGTTTATCACTATGACGTATATGGGTGTACTTCTTACAACAGCTCTTCCTTCGTTTTGAAAAACGAATATATCTAATCTAAGCATCCCTTTATATCATTGTTTGCAGACATTTCAAAACGATTACGACACTTTTGTCCCGGAAGTGAATGTGACGGACGATCCGTCAGTGATCCACCTCTTTGCCAATCCGTTTAACGCTCGGTTTATCCGAATTCGGCCTCAAACACACAAGGATGATACCAATTACCCGATCTTGCGGTTTGAACTCTTTGGGTGTCTCCGGGAACTAAGTAGTAGTGGAACAGGTAAGCGTTTCACCACCTCACTTTGTCACCTCCCCCCTCCTACCCCTCCCCAATCTTCCACACCCATCCTTCAAATATCAATTTACATGTAGGCTATCATGAAGTACCGCTAGAGGGAATGTGAGACCCGAGTCTCCTACTTCGCATTACCGATTATCGTCGTAAGTCGAGTTGTTGGGAACTTTCATGTCACTAAAAATGACGTTGTTTCCCCCAATATGTTATCTCCAGAACTTTTCCATTCATGATGTGCAGCCCAGTCACGCCCCCATCGGTCATTATTATTTTTTTTCATGTGGTTTCATATTCTGAAACAAGAGAGAAGTTTACAATTAGGGAATGGTTCTCAAACATTGTATTTAAATGAGTGCCTTGTATTGCCTTGAAAACAAAAACTAATTTACATCAACGATAAACATTGATCATGTATTCAATCACTACGTGAATTTCATTAAAACTTTAACATTCCTTTGATCATAACAGCCAATATTTAATCCATCGTACCTTCTTATTATCCGAAGGGACTGATGGTTAGAAATATCATAATTAAATTCCATCAACGATTTCTATTTCGCTTGGATAATACATTTTCTTTGGTGTTGGGATATCAAAGATGATAAACCATTAATACTAACAATTTCGGTTGAAAAAGAGGTACGGCTCAGTGATCATAATGTGGTCCAATATTGAGAGATTACTCCACATAGAAAGCGGATCACAAAAGTTCGAAGATGATTTTACAACTCTTCTAGTGGAAACTTTCTATTTTCCTTTGACGGATTTCCATTCATTTCAGATAACACATATTTCATATATTTTCATTGTTGCTGCCTCTTACATGTCTCTCTTTTTCTCGGTATAATATTATTATTTCGTTCCAGTTCTCTGGCTTTCTCTCTATAATTTTCTCAATTTTGGTTCAATACTGAGACGTGATTTTATGGGGATTGACAGTAAATTCTTGTTGTGCTTTTTGTTGGTAGGAGGGTGTCTTTTTTATACCGAGTTTTGGGGGAATTGGTGACTTTCTCAACATTCCAAGAATTTGTTTTAATAAAACGACATCAAGACTGGTGACGGGGTGGTGATTTAATTTTCTTTCTAAACCAATGATAAGTGCCAATCTCTTAACATTTTTATAACGAAACAAGAAATATGTTCTATAAAACAGGATAAAGGGGAACAAAGTCAGGTATCAAAATCAGGAACAAACTATTGAAAAGTATTTTTTATTTGATTATTCTCGATTATAAGATGCAGACATTTCTTATTTCTTTCATTATATATGAATCAAAGTGAGTTGGGTCTGCTCCATTCTTGATTTAAAAAAAAAACACTTATCAAAGATGCCTTTCTAATTTTAACTCATATTCAACGATACGTTCTTACTTTGTCATCCCGTTTTACGGTTTGATTCAATATTCAAATAAGATTTAAAAACATTACATAACTAAATAAAGATCACTATCATATCTTTTCATTATCTGATACTGACGAGCTCCATTCCATGTATTTTTTTTAAATTTCAGATGTCTGCCATATGGAGCATAAAAGAGGTAATATATTTGGCTTTTCCTTTTGCAAACTGTAGCGAGTGTACCATAATGATATTCCGAAAATCATTGAAAACGTAAGGGTCATCGTATACTTCGCTCACAAAATTGATGAAGTATATAATTATTAGAGAAAAGATGAAAAAGCCGTTTCAACTCACTAAAATGAATGCAGAGTCAGTACACATTTAGGGTGTTGGACGATTAGCGCATAAATCGTGAATTGGTTGATTAAATTTGAATTGATTTGAAATATCATTCGATACTATTTGTTTCAACGTTTAGTCTGCAAGGTACATGTACGTCAACATTGTTATAAAGTACAAGTATAAGTGAAATAATTTAGCTAGATGCAATTACATGACATTTTATAAGAAATAATTTTCACGTAAGTAGTCTCTGTACAGTATATAATCATACTCGTTGATCGCAAAGCTAGGTACATAAGATTAATTTGCGAAATTAGAATGTAAACAATCTAATAAACTATGATAAATGATAATTTAAGGTTTACGCGCATTTTTTTCTTTTAATCAGAACTAGGTTACTATGAACGCGGATTCCTAGTCGATCCGATAACAGGGACAGTCTACGTCTGTATTCTAGAATATATCGAGTAAGTATGAATAGAATTTGGTTTAAAGATTGTATCGTTCGTTCGTTCGTTCGTGCAAAGAATATCAGGGAGTACATCATCTAGATAGGCAGATCCTTATTGAGCCAACAGATCGTCTCATCATCGAGCTCACGAAGTCCGGAAGCGCCGTGGGGGGATTTGTAGATCGGACAATCATCAATGACATGATCCATAGTTTGGATCTCTCCACAGGCGCAGTTTGGTGATGATTCAGCTCCAATTTTATGTAGGAAATATTGTGTGCGGCCAACTCCAGTTCTGACACGGTTTAGGTTGACCCAGGCTTTTCTTGGGAGGTCGCTGCCACTTGGTTTTGCACAGGGCTTTGGGATGAACTCCTTCAGGTTGGTAGTGGACGAATTCCACTGGTCTGACCAGCGTTTTGTTATCCAAGTGGCTAAGGTGGAGGGGGGGTTCTCAGGCCGCAGCTCAGCAGCCTGTGTTGCAAAGTGTCTTCTAGGGAGACGCTGTCCTTCAAAGGCAGAGGGGGCAGGAACAAGGCATTTATCTCTGTCATGCTTTTGGGCAAGCTTAGCATACTGCGCATCTCGTCTGAGCTGAGCTGGTGGTATGCCAGATAATATTGGCAGGTTGCTGACTGGTGTTGCAGTGAGTGTTCCGCTGATTAGTCTCATAGCGTCATTGAGGACAACATCAACCTTGTGTACATGGGTGCTGTGGCTCCATGCAGGTGCAGCATACTCGGCAGTGGAGAAGGCAAGAGCTAGAGTGGAGGTGCGAAGGGTGGTGAAATTAGCTCCCCATCCGGTCCCTGCAAGCTTCTTTAGGAGAGACACTCTGGCTTGGGTCTTTTGGGCTGTGGCTTTGGCATGCTCGTGGAAGGTGAGGCTTCGGTCAAGAGTGACACCTAGGTACTTTGGTGTTGAGACGAAGTTCAGCCTAGACCCATCTAGTGAGATATTCAGCTCTCGGTTGGCGCAGCTCTGTTGATGTTAAAAGCAATGGTGCAGCATGATTTAAGAATTGTTATCATTTTGTGTGATTTTTGTTGTTGATATGATCAACTATGAGGGCATTTTGTTTGTTGATAATACATAAATGAGTCATATTAATACTGTGATTAATTTTACACTTTGCAATTTGAATTAAGGTTCTTTTTTTGTCTTTTGAGGTATGTATCTGTAATATTTAATCTTAAATTTCTGTTTCACATTGTATACAACACCATATTTACAACTGCAGTCTACATGTATTTACGTTTATATATTCTGGAAATCGCACGAATCACACTTAGCTGTAAATGTGACAATTGCTAGGTTTTTTAAATAATAAACATCCATTGTTGGACGTTAAAAGCGATTTCTTTGCATTAGTGTCCATTTTTCGTAATTTACGACTGGCTTTATTTAATGAATACAAACATTGTTGTATTACAAGAAAGGACAACCCATGATAGAAATGTAAGGTAATTGATAACAATGTGCATCGCGTGGGGTTGTGCATAGACAGAAATAGAACATTATAATCAAACGAAATGAAATCTGACCAACTGACGTCACTAGAAGCCCAGGGTAGTCTACTTATTGTTCGAAACAGCCAATCAGAGAACATTATGAATAAATTAGTTACAAGAGCGATAGAAAGAGATACAGTTGGGCACGATGAGTTAATAATTGATACGTATGTACTTGGTTGCAATCGAAAGAGCATAGTGAATGGTCTCAATACCGGGCGGCTCCATGTTATCTGACGGTGGGGGGGGGGGGGTAGGGGGCACAAGCGGAAAAGTCTGTAACATGTAAAATGAGAAGGATTTTTTTTGTAGGGAAAGGGTGTCTTGTAGTTGACTCCAAATACGAACAAACAACAAAAAATTATAAATGTTATCACATTATGGGTGGTCACTAACCCAAAAATGCTCTTTTACAAGGGGAACACATTTTTTAAACGTGCTTTGGGGGCTTAAACTTGTTGCCGGGTGACACAAAAAGGAATTTTTCTATTTTATACTTCACGTGTATTTAACTAATGTATAGACATATATCGAGGAGCACATACCCACGATGCCCCCATGCCCCTCCCCTGGATACGCCAGTGAGTCGGGAGATGTAGAGTGTTTTATAATAGTGATTAATTGATACGTATGTGCTTTTATTACAGCGGCCCTACACGATGTTCATATTCAAAGGACAACGGTACGACTTGGGAAGGTAAAGGACGAAATCTCAATATCAAATAACAATATTATTGCGCGCCTTCTACTTTCATTCCACCTCAGTTGCAGAATATTTTCGCCGGTTTTATCCCTCTCAAATTGTCTTGATGTGTTGTCATTAGAAACGTATTGTTTGATTCGATGTTTGAAATCAAATTCATCTCGATTTTAATTACATGTACAATGATCACACAAAGCATGATCAGTTTAAAATGGACTGCATGGCCTTGATTTGAAATTGGGAGCAGTGATTGTGAGAGATATGTAGAGCGAGAGAAGCTAGAATGTGGATACATCTTTCCTTTTATACAACCTTTTATTCATCCCGGTAATTAAAACAATGTTAATAAACGTTAAAAAAAAATTTCGACATCGTCTAAAAGTACTTGTACTCAAATGAACAGATGATTTTTATTATTTTTTTTTTTTTGGCGGGGGGGGGGGGGTTATGATTCATATACTGCATTGATTGAATTCTGATTAATATTTATTGATATCAAAACCTATTAAGTTACACCTCAAAATATAGAGATTTTCCCAAATTAAAGCTTTAGTATAACGTCAAGTCAGCCAAAAAGATTTATTTTAGTGCTTTTTAAACTTTTTTGATTGCAGAATAGGCTACTATTTACTTATAGAATTAAAACTATTCAATACTTTTTCCTGTTAATATTGTTTTCTTTCGGCTTTCTTTCAAGTCTTGCGTCTTACTCAGATACGTACTATAGACGAAAAGTTTCAGTATGTCTTCATATTTGAGTTTAGGTCTACTTATGGGTTTGCTCATAATGTTATTTTTTCTTCAATCCAACGATAGCGATCGATAACAACGCCGCCAACGTGCTGGGCATCCACAACGAAACAAGCGAGCTCTTCGGACTCTCTCAGAACGAAGAGGCCATCGTCATCAGCACCGATCTCGGTGACAACTTCTACAGCACCAATTCAGACTACTATTTCGATCTCCTGGGTGAACCCGGGCGGATCGTCGAGACGATGCAGATACCGTGGGATGACATCGCCGACGAACCCGATAATGATTACTGGGAGTATAGCATGATGACGTTGCCTGAGCCCCTGAGCAATACGACCACAGCGAGCATATCCATGGAATGGGCTGGTAAGCCACCCCTCCTTCATTCTCTCTCTCTCTCTCTCTCTCTCTCTCTCTCTCTACTTAATTTGGAGAGAACCAAGGTCTGAAAATGTAAGCTTTCTTTTTATTCGTGCTCTATTTTTTCTGCAAATGTTATGTATTCGTGTAACTTGGTAGAAAACCTTGCAGTACCACTACCCCTTGCAGTACCACTACCCCCCCCCCCCTCTGTATTACAAAAGATGCACAAAGATGAAAATACGCATTGCTCTTTTTTTTCTTTTTTCTTCGAGAGTAACATGTAGCTTGTAAGCTTAGGTGTGTTTTTTAAATTTTATTATAGTCCATAGAAATTTCTATTTTCGGAGAGAGGCATGGCAGTCTGAAATATACCAAACTTTTTTATTTTTCTGAAGAATTGTATATTTTTCATAAAGCATCACTCAAATTAAACTATTTAGCTTTCACAACAATAATGTTTTTTAAATTCCTTTTACAAAATATGGGTCATATATTTTCTTAGATCGAGAATTCATTGCATTAAATTAAATATTAACCTGTTTTGTTGTTCTTATTTTCATGTTTCTAGGTGCCAAATCTGGTCTCTATCTCCGTGAAATATTCTTCGATGGAATGAACTCGACAATGATTTCAAACTGGACGTTGATAGGTGATTGGGGTTATCCGTAATTCGAATCCCTCGTCGACCACGAATCGCCGTGATTGCGTTTTTTTTAAAGTATTTTTTTTGCCTCTGGTATTTTAATTTAATAGTTTATGCCGGGGGCTCATGTAAATGTCTAGCAAAATAAAAAGGCGGTCTGTATAATTATCAACTTTCTTGATTCATTTCAAAATGTCAAAATAAATACCCAAAATATATAGAAATAAAAAATATATAGAAATTAACAATTTAATAATAACGGTGATATTGATAATACTAATTGGATTTATATAGCGCCTTTTTTCCAGAGGATATGTATGAAAAAAAATAAAGGAAAAGAAATTAAAATGGAATTAAGAGGGTCGATTGCAAAAGAACTTCTGTCGGGGCAATAACCATGTTTACCATACAAAGTGACAAAAGCCATAAATAAAATTCAGTTAAAATTAAACCAAAAGAAAGCTATTTTGGGAAAGCTATCCTTGTGGTAAAACTTCAGATTTAACGGTCTAGTGTTCATAATTAGAAAGTAGAAATTCAAACAGCCTGATTATAATACTAATAATTTCTGCAGCTTAAGGGTTAGGTAGTCCGAGGCTCTAATGCCAAATAAATGTTTGTTTCTGTATTCAAATGAAATTCAATTTAAAATGAACTTGTATCATGTACTTACAAATGAAACAAAAATAAAAAAGATGTGTCTTGTTATTAAGAAATGAATTTTGAGTTCTGCGGACTAATTAATTTGTCAGACATAATTATTATTTAACCAAAAGAGAGATTATGTTTGATCGCAAATCAATGAACCCAAAACAAATATAAGTGTCGAAATAGCAAAATATGAAAATAATATCGAAATAAGATAAATTATAAATTATTCTTGTATGTTTCGTTAATTGTTTTCATTTTTTTTAATACAAAAACGGTAATTTTCCCTTGAAAATTGAATAGATTGAAAGTACCTATAAAAACAATATTTCATGTTTATTTGTCTTGAATATGCAGATGATTTATAAATATTATATTTCTATAACGTGCCAATTGTATAAATGTATATGTTGTGTAAAAGCAGTCATTAATGATTGTAGATTGTAGACATGGATTAATCTATGGGAAAAAAAATCGATATCGAAAAAATTGATACAGGCAGCTGTAAATGTCTTTATTAAGAAGTGTAATCCCTATAATAAAATTCAGGCTTATTAAAGCAACTAAGCAATAAATTGTATCTTGGAACTTATTTTTCTAAAGCTCAGTATATAGACATGCGAAGAAATGTTGCATCTCCCATTGTTTCCATTTATCTTTGATAATACTTTCTTACAAATACTTGTTTTGAATTTGATATTTCTCGTTCAAAATATTTAAACAAAACCTAGTATTCATATTACTTTATATCCCATTATGTGACCACCAAAGACTTTGATGGTTCAAAATATTATTATAGCATGAAATAATCTCTGTAAAATATCAATAAGTTTATTTCTTAGCTGTGAGCAATACTGCTATTGAGATTCTTGTTCAGAGAGCGTTTACAAAAAAATATTTCATCACAATTTTTTTCGAAAGATACTATACGGTTGGCAATGCCTGATATATTTCGTAGTATGTGATTGAAATTGTATATTTTTATCCTATCATTGTTTCTTATGTAAATATACGTACGTTATAAAATGAATTAGAATACGACGAAGGGAATAAATCCTCAATTAAAACCTAAAAAATTAGCAGTTTGTCAAACGTCTCTTTATTAGATCACGAGTTTTATTTTAGAGTGTGAATTTCATTTTCGGGGTATAGGTTTCAGCATAATTATACCATTTTAAGATAGGGAGAAATGCTACTCAAGGATATAAACATAGTAATTCGTTATTGGAGTGTATCACAAATATATTGAATTCAGATAATATATGGTGGATATTTCAGTTTGATAATTTCCAAATATTGAGTGAAAGCTTAAATATAATGATTTATATTGTGGCACAATGTATGCGAAAAGTTTAACAAGACTTTTTAAAGCAAATTGATAAAGAGATGGGATAGAGAGACACTGTGATACAAAAACAATAGGGAAAGGCAAATATTAGGGAAAGACAAGGGGAGGGAGGGAAGAGGGAGAGAGAAGACGAAGAGATTAAAGTGAGGTTAAAAGAGATTGGTAGGGAGCGAGGGAGAGAGTTAGGAATAGACAGAATATTGACATACATATCCAAATCGAGACTTTAACAATGCTATCCACACATTTTTTACTCTTTAACATTAACATGCCAACACGTCGACTATAGTTTGTCATTACCAAATCGAAACGGTAAGAACGATATCCAAACACTCTTTACCTTAAAGGGAAAGTCCACCCTGAAATTAAGTTAGTTTTAATAGGAGTAGAAAAATTAGAGAAACAAGTCAGTGAAAGTTTGAGCAAATTCCGATTAAAAATAAGGAAGTTAGGATTTTTGAAGTTGTGATCAATCAAACAAAAATTGGCAACTCTATGACGTATCATGCGAGCTCAACTTCCATTTGCTCAGTACTAAAAAAATCTAAATTTTTCATTTTCCCTCAAGAAAAATTTAAACCATACATGCACCCTAAATATAATAATTGCAAATATGTTTCTATACTCCCCCTGCAAGGAACAAATATATATTACGTCATCAATAACGAAGAAAACATGATTTTATGGAATATTATGCACAAAGCAAATGAAGGAGAGCTCGTATAATAAGTCACAGAGTTGCCAATTTGTATTTGATTGATCACAACTTCAATAATTCATAACTTTCTTATTTTCATTCAGAATTTGCTCAAACTTTCACTCACCTGATTTTCTTATTATTCTGCCTCTATCGAAACAAACTTATTTTGGGGGTGGACTTTCCCTTTAAAGTGTTTTCGTGATCATCCAATCGATGAAAATGTTCACAGCTATGCAAAGAGATAATCACTTTAGGCCTACTCAAACTCGCACGTAAATTATGCAATTCTAAACCTTTTTCACATCAGCTCGCCAGCTCACATCGCAATTACCATAGTAATGTTGCAATATCTGTACCCCTTTCACCGCAATTTAATCTCCCCGGTGAGATCGAGCGAGCAAATGAATTGACATCCATATTATTGATCTTTCTATACGCCAGAGACACGGGGACGTGATGTTAGCATTGCTTGCTAGAGTACGTCACAATACCAGCTCCAATTTCCCTCATATCCGGACGGAGAAAATGAAATTTACGAGGTATCGGAGCGCGCGATTTTTTATTCATCAAGTACAGACGACATGTGTGGGGGTGCATGATTATTAACTCCAGTTTTGCGCGCGCATTGATGACTATCTACAATTCTCGATGTTGCTTTAACGTACATTACCGTGATAACTCCACCGACGTCCATTAAATCATGTTAACTCGGGATGCCAAAGTGCATTAGAAAGTGATATTTTTTATTTAATTGTTGGCCGGTGGGAGAATTTGATTTGGAGCAAATTGAAAAGGGTTCAGTTTCGAAGCAGAATAGAATGGGTATACATACAGGATTTATTGCTTGCACGATCGGACTGTCCCTGGCCTTCCTCACATTAAATGGTAAGTATTTTACTGTGACATTTCAAATTGTAATACGTTCGTTTGTTAATATATTTATGCCCATCAAATAAGAACACAAATCCTCGTATTTTATCGTCTATGTTTCCTCTCTTCCATATAATCTATACACATGACGATGAAATGTAAAAGATCATTTATGAAATAATGCGCTACAAGTTTAATAATATAACATGATCTTAAAGTATATCTGTTATACTACACGATCCTGCATTGGAGATTTTTTGTTTTCTTAAATAATTATTTCCCAATCAAAATGCATTTTTCTCACAGATTAAAGAATCTTAAGAAATATTTTCTTCACAGGCATATTGTTCAAGAAAATGTGTATTTTTAAATGTTATTGCATGGTAAGTAATTGCTAAGGTGTTGAGAAATGTATTACGCAATAATTCATTTATGTAATTTACAAATGCCTGATAATTTGATCAAAGCATTCACATTTACTTGGTTTTATTCTCTGTTTTAAATGTCCAAGTTCAGATGCAAAAAGAATGTGGACATTATTACCAATGTTGAATTATGTCCTTTTCCAGAACAAAACAAAATTTCTCTTCTCGGATTATGCATGATCTAGTTTCCAGAAAAGAAGGGAAAAAAAGATTAATGCATAAAAATATATAATGGCATACGACTCGTCTGTATCTGAACATAAATTATGCATTTTCAGTGTGCGGTTAATGTATGAATAATCAAAATCAATTACTTAAAACATTTTGATACCTGTCCTTTCTTTTGAGTCTGACCTTTACACTCACATCACAATACAGTAAAGCTGTATTAGCACTGTTTTCAAAATGCACATAGAAAGATAATTTGAAAATGTTAACATAAACGTAAAAAATACGTAGGAATTCGGCAATAATTTTTAATGGGAAATGGTAGCAATTTAGATGTTATTGTAAATCATGACATTGACTTGGGTTCTGATTTGTAGTATCCACAATTGATATAAAGAAATACTTTAGAATCCTCTCCAAAATTGAATACGGGGGAGATGTATGGAGCGTTAAAACTTTGCGTTTTGAAACCCCTACTCCCGTGAATTGGATATACAAAATAAAATAAAATAAAATAGTTATGAAAAAGACTTCATCATTTTAGATTATCATCAATATACATGTACTTACAAGAGAAGAATAAAAACTCAAATGATTGAAAAATCCCTCAAGTATTATATCAAGTTATCAATTATTATATTCATCTGGACCTTCAAGGGGATTGACAGTGAGGGGGGGGGGGCTACACCGTTTTCAATCGATGTTGGATGCGGCACTACCTAAAAGAGAAGACTCTGAAAAAGCAAAGCAAAAATTACTTCTCACTAACTTTAAAGGGATTAATATCCTGCGGAACAGAGGATATTGTAATTGCTGAATTAAAATCAAAAGCTTATTAAAGCCTACATGGACAATTTGGAGCAAAACTAAATTAGTGCAAACAAACAGTTTACATGTTTTTTTGTTTTGTTGAGAAATCAGTTGATATCTTCAGTAGATCGTAACCTAATGACAGTGTCACCCCCCGTCTCGATTGCACTGCTTTCTCACATTACTTCCAAATAACAAATAATGCCCCCCCCCCCACCATCCCCTACCCCAGTTATTGGACTCACCGCGGGCTATACTGGGTAACACTTACATTAAATTTGTAATATAGGATCGTAATAAAGCGACTTAATTTATAGAAAATATCTTTTATACACGAATAAACCAAACTAAATAGAGAAGAGGTCAGGTGAAGTAAAATATTATTGCTTTTATTGTTAACTCATATTTTGTTTAATCTTTTAACTTATTCATCTGTCCGAAAGTCCTGGAAACTGCATATGTTGGTCTGTATACAGATATCAAGCTGGTGAATGTCAACGTTGTTCATTTATCACATTGTGTTTATACTTTTAAATAAATATGCTGATTTTAATACTGGTAGTTACATATTTTCTCTTACATTTACACGAAAGTCTGACTTCGGTGTTTTTCTGGTTCAAATAATACTTTGCAATCATGTTACCGTTGTAACCCAAGCAAACTAATTATGCTGCATGGCAAATAATTTATTGATATCAGATTTCCAATTAGTTGTTGATTAGATTAATCGCTCCGCTGCCTTTAAAAGGCAGTTATTTGGACAAAAGACGCTCCCAACAATGAAAAGAACAACTAATCAATATGAGATCTTTCCCTTGATATACACAGTACACGTACTATGCAATTCTGAATGTAAAATTTACTTCTTGAAACAATGGTGAATTACAATATGTGGAAAAACACAAAAATTTTGATACATAGGCCTTAAAATAATGAAAATGTATCAACATTTTGCCGAGGCAATATGATATTTTCAAATAGAATACGCAAATACCACAATACTTACCTATATACGTTAATTCTTATCATTGTCAAATGACCAACGTTCAAGGACATATCAGGTGGAATAAGCCTCAATATAATAAAGTCTCGAGTCAGATTTCAGTATTTGCTATCAATTTAAAGAAAAGCTATGCAGGAGCAGAGAAAAGGCTGCCATCGACCCCCTCCCCCCCCCCCACCACCACCCAAAAATAAAAGAACATGGAAGTTCGTATATGCTTTTTGTTGATTTGCTCGTCATATCATTATTTTATTGTTTTACTAAGAAGGCACACTTTCAATTCAATTTCGGTTTTATTAGGAAAATAACACATGACAAAAGTTAGAAAACCAATGCTGTCATATTTACAATAAAACACTAATATTTGAATGTATTACAGCGTTTTACATATATAGGTCTAAACCCGTTGTTTTATCTCACATTGTAAACATTGGCTTAAATAATTAATCAAGCAAAGTACAGTGAGATAAAGGTATTTTGTGTGTTTTCTTGGTCATTGTTTGTGAGTGCAGGTATTCATGTAGACGGTGGCCAAACAAAGGATGTAGGATGCGACTTGAAGAAAGACCCTGAGGGATGTGAACAGGAATCGTGTTCATCGTAAGTTCGCCAATTATTTTTAAAATGTTTCTGAAATTTTCTCTTCTTTTTTATCATCATATTCTTATTGATCTTCTTGTTCTTTTTGTTCTAATTCTACTTGTTCTTCTTCTTATTATTGTTATTCTTATTATTATTCTTATTGTTATTATTAATATGACTGTTATTGTTTGTATTATTATTATTATCGTTATTATTATTATCATCACTATTATCATTACTATTATCACCCTTACTAATATATTTCCATTGTTGTTGTTAATAATTATTATAAAAAGTTATTATAATCATTAATTCAATATGTAAAAGATACAAAATAGACCAAACTACTTCTAGAATAAGAGGTGGCGGATGCCCAAACATTTTTTTCGAAATTCCAAATTCTTGGGGCTGCACCCCCTCAGCCTCATCCTCCGCCTCGTACATACAATGAGTGAGCGTTAATTAAGATGAGGTGATACTGACATTGACAGTTAAAAGGCAGGTTAGAGTATCCTTTTTAGATAAGGTACTCTTTGAGAAATTGGCAAACAATTGCGGTGAACAAATCGATAGCTTTCTGATCGATTCACATCAAACTAGACGAGATGAGAAGGCGAGCCATGCCATTGTGGAGCACGTCAATTAAGGGCTGAAATTGGAAATTAATAACTGTACAATGGTAACGATGGCAACGCCATATTGACTCTCACACGTTCTCCATGGGTCTCGTGATATACATGAGGTAGCAGATGAATAATGAATTTCTAATAGAAATTGACTGCTTTTGTGCATGAAAATATCAGCCATGTAATATTTCATTCACTGCTTTGGCTTAAAAAATGCGCATATCAATTTCATTAACGAAATAACAATAAAATGATTTAACCGGGGAAATTATTTTTGTATTGAATTCATTGAAATGTAAAGATCTACCGTGATTATAGGTTTCTCATTACTTTTAGTGTATTGAGTAGATTTAGCCGGATCCGCTCTGAATGACTGAGCCCGTGAGTGACTGGTACAATTACACAACAATTCACCACATTGCATCCAATATAAAAGCACTGGAAGATTAAAACAGTTTAAAATAAAATGCCGATTTATAAGGTTTAGGAGATTTATGACTAAGACCAAATTAACGATCAGTTTTTAAGACAATATTATCAACTTCTTTGGGGCTATATTCATAACGCCCCAAAAATGTCACCCTTAAAAATAATTCTCTATAATTACTTTTGATCTCCACACAATTAGAACCACTTTCAACTCAATTTCACGACGCAATATTTTAACGTCAAACTAAATATAAATCTTTCTCACTCCAACCCCGTATTTGATGGGCAATAATTCACAATTAATATAGTGGAATACCGCCCCCCCCCCCCAAAAAAAAAAAAAAAGCCCTGGGACGTATAACATCCACCACAATTCACTACAATTTTATCGAGATGCTCACGTTCTATCATTTCCCTTCATCAGGTATTCACAATTTTTGAAATAGATATTTAACAAATTTCATTTTCTAGCTCTTGTACACACTGAAAGGTTCCCCCTTTTATAAGATAATAATAATAATAATAATAATAGGCATTTGTATAGCACCGTCTATCTAGACAATGCTATTCCGAGGCGCACAAGAAAATAGAAAGAATGAGAAAGTTTGTACGAGAAAGTTCGGATGAGTGTCATAGTGCCAAGTACAGGTATTGTTAAATAAGATAAGAGTTCAGCTTGGATTTAAAGGTCTCTAAGGAAGTTATGATTCTCAAATTAAATGCTAAATTATTCCAAAGACAAGGTGCTGCAGATGAAAAAGCCCTTTCACCACAGGCTACCCGTGTACCTACTGCTAACAGATCAGCTACAATAGTTTAATGTTTAAGTATATTACACGAGGTCTCGAGAGGGGTATAGTTCAATTCAATTCAAAGTTTATTCAATACTCTTCATAAAAACATTTAAAACATACAAATACAGAATGGAGTTATAAATATAAAAAGACACAAGAAAGTGATAACAAATACAATGGCAATTTATAAGAGCATTTGGGATAGGCAGAAAGGAGGGAAGTTCCTTATAGAAAAGCCTACCCCTAAAAACACACATACATGAAAACGAGAACAAAAGAACAGAACAAAAGAACAGAACAAAAAACAAAGAACATATTAAAACTTACTATCATGCACGATCAGAGTATATAAAAAAAATGTCAAAAATTGGCCGATACTATTGATACTGATTATTATACTTGTTTAACAGAAATTGTTTATATTTGATTTTAAAAAGATTGAGAGTTTTGCATTTTTTAATTTCCTGAGGTATACTATTCCATATTAATGGTCCTTTTTAAAAATAGTGAATTTTTCATACAAGTCGTTCTAATCTTGGGGAGGTGATAATTAAGGGCATTTCTAGTATTAAAATTATGCACATCACAATTCAAGTTAAAACATGTAGATAAAAAGGTAGGCAAGTTGCCATTAAAACATGAAAACATGAAAACTGCAATATAAAAATTATGCATATCGATTACATTCAAAATTCCAAGTTTACAAAATAAAGGATTACAGTGAGCATAATATTGGGAATGAGTTAAAATGCGTATTGCTTTCTTTTGAAGCTTAAGTAACCTTAACATATCATTTTTATTAAAATTTGCCCATGCAACTATATAGTAATTAAAATATGGTGTTACTAAAGTATGATACAACATTTTCAAAATATTTAAGGGATAAAAATGAACTTTATATAAAATACCTATATTTTTTGCTATTTTATTGCACACCACATTTATATGCTCATGCCACTTCAATTTATGATTAATTACAATACCTAAAATAGTGATGGTGCCAAGCTCTGTAATCATTGATACGCATAGAACAATACTGTTTACAGGATTTTAGAGTTAGAAACGTAGTCCAAACGTGTATATAATTCTGTAAATTTAAAAGAATTTCACGATTTTTTATAGTTCCAAGGTTCATAGTTCCTAAAATGACACAGAATCCTGTTTCGTTTTCGATATTTTGTGTTTCGGAATTACGAACCTTCGAAATTCTAAACCCCTTCGGAAAAACGAGTGTCTCCCCTTTAAAAGCGCCCATCCACATGCATACATAAATAGATATTGGAACAGACGCAGATATGTGATGAAAAATGGAATTATTATATTTCCACATGTCTCCCTTCTGAAATTGATTGATATTTATATCTGCTAAGTATCGGGAGCAATGTTTGCCAAACGCAAATTCATCAAACGTCTGCATTTTTGGTGGATGCCAGCCCGGCAGTCGGCACACTTGTCAATAATTTAGGCAAATACGCGGGAAAATGAGCAGGGGCGCCAAACTGAGATGACTATGTAGATTGTTTAATGTCTCTATGGTAACGCATTACATTGTTCTGTTGGTGCGATAATAATGTATGATATCATCATAAATCTTGCATACTTTTTCCTAATGTTTGTTTAATACCGGTTCATATCGCGCATTGAGACTTTTTCATTTAAGGTTAAAGTGTAAAGTATTAAGGTATACAATATTTATCGAAACAGGATGTTATTAAATGTAAAAGTGGTATGCTACACGAACTACTCACTATAAGGCTCATGTTAAAAGAATAATACGGCGACGAGTTTTATTCCTTAATTGTTGCAAATGGTTAGAATTGATTTGTAATGTTTTGTTGCATACATAAATAAAATTGAATTGAAAACAAATTGAACTGTTCACTATCTAACCGGTTAAAGAAGTAATAGAGAATTTGCTTTGTATCATAATTCACTAGAATCGCCCTAGCGTTAGAATTCCATTTAGTTATAATTTTAACATAATTTTGTTTTTATTTGGCTAAGGTAACGTATTGCCTGAATAGCACTATATCATTTTTTAACAAACACGCTCCAAAACAAACAAAAAAACATCCAAAATGGTTTGGGGGCTGCATGTATTCATTGAATACATTTAGGTCAACAATGTTCCGTTCTCACTAACAGTTCTTCAATATTTCTACATGTATTTTGTCTTTTATACAATCGTATTACATTATTTTATGTCACCATTGAATTCATATGTACTCTGTACATATTGAAATATGTTCATATTGAAACGGAAATAAATAAATCAAATCGAATCAAATAAAGAGTGGAAACCATGTAGCCACCCCATTAGCTGCAAGAAGAAGAAAACAAGGGTTCAAATACTACTAAAAAGAAAATATTTTAGAAAAATACATTTGATTTTTCGGCCTGTTGAAGGATTACAAAAAATGTTATTACGTTTCTGTGAAATAACCTTTGTTGCCTTTGTACCAGTTATTAACTTTCATTAAGACAGGTACGCGGTTGTTTTTTTTTTTAACATGGAATTTCTGTTGTTAAATAGATCGAAGTGCAAAGTTAAGTCTATTTCCACATCCTCGTGAATATACTTAAAATAGATATTTAAAAAAAAACGCTTCAATATTTGTTCTCAGATTGGTTCCTTCATCGTGCATCAACGGGGAGTGTCGAGACGGTGTGTGCCACTGTAACCCCTGCTGGGATGGGTCAAAGTGCGACAGATACGGTAAGCTATGCCCTGTACTTATATCTGGATGATGCCCGCTGCACACAAGGCGTTATTAGGAACTTTTAGATTTACACGTGCAAATCTAAAAGTCCCTATGGACTGACGTAGGGCCGTGTCAGTGACTAGCATGGTAATTGACGCTCCATGAAGGAGTGACACTGTGCCCAAAATGAACGCAGAATGAAAGGTATAAACGTTACGTCTTATTACTTGCGCTTGAATTTATTGATTCTTCAGGCTAGCGTAGGAATAAACGCACTGAAAATAACGCCCTGAGTGGAAAGGGTATGATGCTATGGCTGTACGTACATTAAAGTGTACGTCTATATTTGTAAATTGCTGGAGTTTTATACGGAAGGCCCTACAAATGATTATTACAGGAACAAGTTGACAATGTTTTTTTTAATTATTTTGTTTTGTTTACAACGACAAGTTCTAGAAGAAAAAACTTACCTGAAGTCCCTTTTATGAATTTGTCAAGATTAAGGAAGAATAAAACCATTTAACAAAACGAATTTCAGAAAATTTCTTTTTAAAAGTATACGATATGGAAATTAAAAAAAAGCCTTATAACACATGAGTGACAAATGGATATTAGAATTATCAATGTTACATATATATCAAACTAATGAGATATAATGCACTCTCTCACCTCATATTTGTCTCCACTGAGCTATATACGGCGAACGTTATTTGCGGGCATATAACATGGATTTCGTTTAATTAGTCATCGCTTCAGAGATTGATTTATTTGTGATCTCGTTCCCGCCAATTCATGCATGCCCGTATATGACAAAAACTACGACGTCACAGCGAACACGAGCTTAGTTTTCTCGAATTAAATATTTGGGCCAATGCCGTTTCTATTTGTCCTGTTGGTATTCATCATTTTACTTTCTGTATACTTCAATATTTGCCTTGGGTAAAATTGAAAATGCTAATATTGACAATTTTATTCAGTTGGCAAATTAATATTGATACGATTTTTTCTATTCAATTACTATTATTCGGCCAGGGTTAGGCCAAACAAGAAGATGCTTTTATTTGATTTTATTAGGAGATATTTTGGAATAAAATTTAGGACTGCATGAAACAACATCATTTTCTTGTAAGAAATATTAATCTTCGTGAATGTCTTTTTTTTAACTTTTAGCCAACAGCAGAGAAATTTTGTCTTTTATTTATTGGTGTCTTGTATTAATTTATCTGTACTTTATAGGTTAACTATACTAGTCAAATTTCCATTGAATTCCCTTTTCATGATGATGATTATAATAATAGTAATGATAATAATAAATGAGATTTGAAAGGCGTCGAATCCACTTGAAGTAATATTCTCAAAGCGCACCTGTGAAAACAGCATCTGCATTATACAGAACAGGAGTAAGACAGAACATACGGAAATGAAAGAACAATCAACTATATGCCGAATTAAACAAGTACGATTTAAGACTTTATTTCAACCCTTCGACTCATCTGCTATTGCGAAACTCTCGAGGGAGAGCATTCCACAACGAAGGCCCTATATAAGCAAAGGTTCTTTCCCTCACTTAGTAGTTATGAGCTTAGGAAGAACAAGAAATCCAGAGTTTTGAGAGCGTAAAGATCTAGACGGGATATTGAACTGGAGAGCAGAGCCATGGACACAATGAAATAAAAGCAAAAGAATCTTGAAAACATTGTGTTCACTCATGGGCAACCAATGGACTGCTTTGAGAACTGGTGTGATGTGGTCGTTTTTGTTACAAGGAGTCACTATACGAGCAGCAGCATTCTGTAATTTTTGAATCCGTACATAAAAACTAGTACATTTACAAAAAAGTATTGTTAAAAGTACTAATGTATACAGTGATTTTATTTTAGATTTTGAATAGAAATTATTTCAAAACGTATGGCCTTAAACTAAAAAAATTACAAAATGGGTGGTTATGGAGTGATTGATTCAGGTAAGAGGTTGTATTAGACAAAAGAGAATTCATGCATTTATAATGCCGTTAAAACTCCTTCGATTCTCCATTCGATGATCGAAAATGTAAATTATTCAGATGTGTTCCCATCGACCTTCATTTATCAATTATTTGTCATCGATGTGTTCTGCCTATTCACTTACACATCTTTAATATCCATTCAAAGTTTTCTCTATGCATGAAGAAAATTTTCTCATAAATGTATTCTAATCGATCTGTCTTCTCTGAATCTTCATCATCGTTATCATCTTTTTCTTCGTCGTCTCTTATTTCCCCTTCTCTCTGTTTATCCGGTGCCCCCTAACATCTCTCTATCTGTGTCTCTCTCTGTCTTTTTTTTCTTCTCTCTCTCTTTCTTTCCTTTTCTGTCTCTCTGTCTCTCTGTCTCTCTCTGTCTCTCTCTCTCTCTCTCTATATATATATATATCTTTCTCTTTGCTCCCCCACCTCCCTATCTCCCCCTTGCCTCCATCTATTTAATTACATGCATCTATCTAACTATCTTTCTATCAATCTATCTGTCTATCTCCATTTTTCTTTCCCCAATCTTGGTCCGGCAGCACCTTAATTACATCCACTTCTCCTTTTTGTGTATCTGCAGTCAACAAACACGCTCCCATTCTCCAGTCAATAGCCGACATAGCCATCCCTCGCAGCCACCTCACCAATCCATCATGGCGAACAAGCGTGCTTGGTTACGCCATAGCAACAGATGACGATCGTGACGTTCGCTGCCGTGGCACGATCAAATGCACATGCGCAGATCTTGTTTACTCCGTCCACGAGAGAGAAGGGAAAGAGAGTGATCTTTTCAAGGTAATTCTCACTTTTTTTATTCGCAAATGAAATAAAATAAATGCCCTTTGTTCCTTTTTTTATGATTTATGCATTCATCAGGATTTCGTTTTATTATGAGAGGAAGCAATTTTATGTGAAATGAATCGTGCCATTTTTTAATATTCAGATTTCTTTATCCAAACTGTATTAGCAAACAAATTGCTTGATTACTAGTATTACCATTTAAATTAACAAATCAGACTTGAATTGCTTGACAAAATAATACTTATGAAATCGGATCAGCAAAAGATCTTTCACTTCTGTTTTTGTTGTTTAATTGATAATAAATTCATCAAAGATTCTCTCGATATGAGTAAACTAAACGAGAGTATGTAGTCTCAGATATTCACATGTTAAAGAAGATTGTTACTAAATAGGCCTTCAGTATGGATTGGATCAGAAACAAGCATATTTAGGCAAATGTAAACTAGGAAAATGTGTGTATAGAATACATTACTGAATGATCATGTTGTAATTTAATTATACAAACATGGCGTAATAAGAGTAAACGATCCAATCTCTGTATAAAACCTATGAGTTCAGATAATTTAGAACATTTCAATATCTCGTATTTGTATATACTTATTGACCGTAATTGAATGACAGTTGTATGCGTTTACATGGTTGCATATGATAACATGCATGCATTCACAAGTCGAAAGGGAAGGTTTAAAGGGAGTTGTGCGGCCACACAATACAAAAAGATAAAGCCGTTTCCTCTGTTATGCACCACATATCACTGTCTACCGCGAATATTTTTTTTATTTACAATATTTTCAACATACCCTTCGAATGAGTCAAAGAAAATAGATTGGATTCAAACTTGTTCACTATACCATTTGAAATTATTTGTCCAAGAAAAAGTCAATATTTTCGGTGTGCATACGATTGGAAGTGTTTTATAGCGAGAATAATCTAATTCTAATTTATTATCCGAGAAAGAATTTTGGTTTTTATAGAATGCGATGAATTGTTAAAATGTTTTCATAACCATTATTATATGGTTACCCTAACCAGACGTAAAACTCGCATTAAACTCCAGTTTGGTCCACTTTACATCGTTTATCTGTTGAATTCTACATTCACTGTTTATATTATTATTATTAGTACTGTATACGTGGATCTGCCCATATTTTATTTGTTGATAATCCTTATAATCCTCCCAGACGCCTAAGATCACATTCTTAATCGATTGTTGTTCCTAAAACTAAGAAATCATAAGGGATCGGTCATTTACACATGCAAGGCCTAACTTTTGGCATCATAAGACATTCGCAATATTTCAAGGGAAGATTGCTTTTTTTTTGCTTTGAAATGCCCTCAAAACTTCTCTGTTCAAAATAGCATTCCAGTAGATCTACTGTATTTTCTTACTCCTCTCAATTTTTGGTTGTAATTTGTAATGTTCCTAGATTTCTTGTTCGCCTTGAGCACATGAATGATGTGGAGTTGGACCATCACAAACACTCGATATTATTATGATTATGATTATAGATCGATGCCGATGGCTCCCTTCACGTACGTCAAGATCAGACGCGGGAATTCTCCGATAAATACCTGCTTACGATTAGGGTGTCGAACCCTGACGATCCGCGATATTCCGAACAGCATTTTCGAGTGTTGGTGCTCGATGTCGACAACGACATGGACGATGATGAGGATGAGATACATCATCGATTTCGACGAGCTGAAGTTGCTGATGCGGTATGAACACATAATGCTGTGTTCATGTATGTGGACTTAAAATTTACATGTAGCTTAAACAAAGGCAACCAATTCATGGAGCGCGAAGTAAAGGCTAACCTCTGTTTTTGTTACAAAATAAAAACGAGGAATTAATTCAATGATGGCCGTTTTTTTGTTAATGTTTATTCGGCAGCATGGTCATTTCTGTAATACCCACGGCAAATTGAGTAACACAATAAAAAATGACAGGTTCATGTTGTATTCGGTTTTTGTACATGTATTCTACTTCTTTTTTAGACATAATACATGCACATAATGCGACATCATTGTTTTCTTTTTCTCTTTCTCTGAACTAACAAACTTGCAATTTATTATTAGTTGTATCTTGCTATTCTATCACATGGATTGGAAAAGAAAACCTTCGGGTTATAGTTATTTAGTTCATCTTTTTTCTTTTCCCGGCATTCATATGACTTACTTCAAATCTTACTGATGTTTTGTATTTACTGTTTCTTTTTGACACTCGGTGCTCGATAAATCAGTGTATACGCGTAGACTAAAGTATTGACGCTCTTAATAAATGGGGCAATATGCAATACCCCTTTTACATGTCTCAATGTCAACAGGCCTGCAGAGGACAGTACTAAACTAAGACAATAGTCATTTTCACAAGACGCAATTAGATAACTATAGAAAATTGTTTGATCAGTATGTTGACTAGTTGGATGATGCCCGTTGAACATAAAGCATAACCTGATGGCTGACGTAGGACTGCTTCAGCATGCCATGTCAAAATACACAAAATAAATAATGCAATATACCGGCGCATGCACTTACTACCTTCTAATACCCGTTTCACACGGGGCGTCATTCAGATTGTGTTATTGTCTATGGTGATAAGGATTAGGAAGTTTATTACCTCATGTGGCAGTAATTCAAAGCAATGGTTGCAGTGGTTATTAAGAATTCACTGTTTGTACGGCATCACTATCACATGGCGTCAGGCCCTGACGCAGTAGTACGCCGGTAAATGGCGCATCATGTGAGGCAGCCATTACTTTAAACATGAACCGTCAAATACCGCGCCAGAATTGCAGTAGACACCTCGCGTGGATCGGGCATTACTATTATCCGCTATTCTCTCTCTAACGACAGGATCTAACCGAAGTCAATGAGAACAACACGATTGAATTCACACTGGCCCCTGTCTCCGTGGAGGCTAACGGAACCAAACTCGAGGCCGGCATCAAAGTCATCTTCAGTCTCACAATGGATATCCCTTGGGGTACCTACGCTGAGGACGTCAAGGTTGAACTCTATGCCGAGGAAGGTAATTTCACCTTCGGTATCCTCTGCCCTCCCAGCGTGACGCAGGCGGGATCAAACATCGCCTACGAGACGGCCACACCGTCCTACGATTACGACGCCGATAACCCTTTCATGGTAAGGACAGTCTGGGCAGCATTTCACGACACCGTCTTGAGTACAAGTTCGCCAACATTCCATTTTAACGCGTGTATTAAGATTAACACTTGTTTCAATGTGATGTACTCGAACTTGCACTCATGACGGCTTTTGTGAAACAATGTTTCTATTTGTAATGTTTCTCTAGAAAATAAAAAATAAAAAAATATTTCTGAGCTGACGCACAAGCTGTCGTAAACGTGCCGTTTTCATTCTTACGAGTGGATAATGTATTGAAGAATATGAAGTAGGCATACGAGAGGTATGACTTATTTATAAATGTCTCCTCAGCTGCAAAGTAATGCACAAATACTAAAATCATCTAGTGATTACGATTATATTTTTATAAAGCTCGTAGTAGCTCGTCATGACTCTAGAGCATTTTTAACAAATTCTTAATAGACGAAGTGTCTCTTGTCCAGCTCCTTGGAATCTAGAAGAATCAATCGATGCGATGGAGACTGCGCCTCACCCACACCACATCTTCTACATCTTACTCTTTCGCAAACATGTACCTTTCTATCAAATAGTAATAAATCATCCCTCGAACCTTTTCAATTGGGGGGGGGGGGGGGGGGCAGCGTGGTAGAAAGGCGCTTCATTAGTTAAACTTGCTCTCAAATAAGATTTGTATAGTTGAATCATTTATCGGCTCTCAAAATAAGTCGCGATGGGACACAGCATGTTATCCGTAGTCGTTTTCTGGACCCAGGTGGAGTAAACAGGTAGGCATAATACATTAGCGATGTCGGTTGGAACTGCGCCAGACTATAAAGCCCATGCATGTTATGATACTGTTGCGTAATATGATTATCCAATATGCACACTGTATGGACAGCGTATTATCATCATTATTAATACTATTTGTCATCATTGGCATCTGTATCACAAAGGCTACAGGTGCGTACCTCAGTCTGGGCAGGGTGACCAACAATAATGCCAGCATTGTCGAAGGGACGTCGTCGATCACCATCGAGTTCTCCTTGACCGTCCTCAACGACAGCCGTGCCGGGTTCAGTGACTCCGAGCTTCGTTGGATCACAGCCGGCGTGGAGTTTGCCAATGGGGTGTTACTATGGGTGGGACAGTTGGGTTATTACCTCCAAGCCGCAACCACCAATGTGAGTCCTTTGATGTTTTCTTTACCCCCGTCTTGTTGGTTAGAGTGTAACTGATTCCCCCATTAAGGGACATACCTCCCTCTATCGTACTCTCTCTGTCTCTCATCCTCTCACATCTTTCTGTACTTCTCTCCTATCGCTTTCCCTCTCTTCTGCACTTTCTAACTCTCTTGTTTATGTTGTCATAATCATCATCATCTTCTCCTCCTGTTAATCTTTCTTCTACTTCTTCTTCTTCTTCTTCTTCTTCTTCTTCTTCTTCTTCTTCTTCTTCTTCTTCTTCTTCTTCTGTCCCTCCTCTTCCTTTTTGTCTCATCTTTTCTCTCTTGCAATGCATAAAGTACATTCTCTTAGACACGTTATCTAAGACGGTCAAATTAGCACCATCTTAACAATTCTTAACCTCACCCATTATAACTATTTCGGATTGTCTTTGAATCATGTACAAATCTGTAATCGAATCTGTGTTCATGACCCCCCCCCCCCCCCTCTCTCTCTCTCTCTCTCTCTGTCTCCCATCTCTCTCCTTTATAATCCATAGGAATACGATCCGAGTACAGTCACCATAACCCCAGCAAACCCCAGCATCAACAAATTAGACTTCGGTGTCTTCACGCTCTCTATGAATATTTATGACATGACAAGTGACGTCACTGTTCGGGTTTTCGGTAGCCCAGACAAAGAGGGCGTTGCAAGCATCTGTGGTATAGGTGTGCGCTCTTACGGCAACGGGTTTTGCCTTCAGAACGAGGACGTCGTCGCTTCGTACGTCGCCGACGATGTTTATAAAAACAACAAGGAAGCCACCTTTCCATTTAACTCCATCATCAACGGAGGTAACTGTATTTGTTTGAAAAAAAATCTTAGCTGATCTTTCTTATTCTCCTCTTTTCTTCTATATTACTTCTTATTCTTCTTTACGATTACCTCAGTCACACCTCGAAACCGACTCCAAGCAGACTCCATACCGACTCCATACCGACCGATCCTTGGCCAAAGCGTAGTGTGATCCTTGTTGTTCGGTATGGTGTCGGTGTATGATTGAGGTATACGTGTTCTTTTATAGTTGCACACGATGCTTCATCTGCCTGACGTAAGACTGCGTCAACGACTTGTGCGTTCTTTGTCGCACTATATGAGGGTGACATCTGAACAAACAAACAAAGACATGAATGGAAAACGAAGATAATGTGCACATTGCATTGAGTTACTTGCTTATGAGTTTATAATTGCCTTCAGAGATTTGATTAACACAATTGACAATACAATCTAAATGACGATTCCTTTATACGCTTCTTCTTTCCTTATTATTTTCTTCTTCTTCTCCCTTTTCTCCTCTTCCTTTTCTTTCTTCTTCTTTTCCCTTTTTCTTATTCTCTTTCTTATTCTTCTTTTTCATGTACAACTTGCATCACAACTGTTGTTGGTTACATCACATGACGCCATTATCACCAACTCATTTTTACTGTATTATTTGACACCCAATCATAGGAGCGTTGAATGATGCAGTCGATAGCGAAATTACCATGGATGTCATCGTACGATTGCCTAGCAACGACCAAGCCATCGTTAGCACCAGTTATCCAGTCGGTATATCCGTCCTTATCAATGATATCGAAACGAATGCTTCGACTACCTTCACGGCAGCTGCTGAGGATAGTACGATCACGGTAAATATAATCATTGGGTTCTACGATACATGCTCGGTCTACTTATTGAACGCGAGGGTCAATTTCATATGGTTTACACTAACCGAAACTTTTAAGTTCAACTTTGGTAAAAGACGACAAAAAATCCTAACTATAACTATAAACCCAACCTAACTTCGATCGCAACCCTATCTCTAACGAGTCTGATAGATTGTCGCCGGAGTAAAATCTCATAACAAAATGAAGTCTTGAATTCATAAGATAAACCTAAAACATGTAAAAAGACGTTAAATGTATGATAATCTTATCTTGATGAACAGATCAGATCGCATAATTATCATGTATAAAGGTTCAGCCCATTACCTACTTGAACCAGATGGTTTACTATATTAAGTTTATGGGAAGTAGAAGATACAGTAGTCCATAGTTTTTTTGTTTTTTTTAACTTTCCTATCCCCGCTTTGGGGTATGCTATAATCGCAAATGTCTATACGTGAATTTTGAAGGTTTACTTACTAGTTTTTACTCTGCATGAAATATCTAGATGAGCTTGTTCTGGTTAAGACTTTAATTTAGCGTACTACCATGTAAACTCTGGTCTTATTCATCGTCTCCATCTTTCGTGGCAGACTGGCGGTACATTTGTCATCAACTCTGCGACTGCTCAAGTGAGTGACGTAATTGCGGGCGGTTCGTTCCCAGTCCGCGTCAGGCTCACGATCCCAACCGGCAAGTACGACCTGACACTGGAGGCCGCTATCACATCACCAGCGGGATCGTCGTCCCCGTCAATGTGTCGTACGACCGTCTATTCGTCCGGCTACAACCTTCCCTGTATCTCTTCGACGTGCCCCGACTGTTCCAACGACATCACGGCGATGAATGGAGCTGTGACGACGTCTTTGAACCTTGGCATGATCAAGAATGAGAATTTGCGAGCGGATTCAAGCAATAACAAGGCGACGTTCGATGTGTGGGTTGGGATTCCATCCAGCGTCGCGATCGGCCCGGTCGACGTCGAGTTTACGCTGAAGTCCTCGACCGTGGTGGTGGGGAGTCCGGAGAGTGCCTCGGTGAACGTCATCAGCACTATTCCAGCTGATCAGGTAAGTTACAATAGTCATCGTTAGAGGAACTTTATTACCATTGCATCATCAGCGGCGGAAGAGAGATATGAGTCTGGCGGCAAATCGAACAAACTTGTAGAAGTTTGTTCAAAGTATTAAAAAGAAAATAATGTTGCAGCGTCTTTAGATTTTGTATTACCCTTGTCAGCAAATAAGAGAAATCTAAGGACTCTTTTGTTTTTGTTTATCTTGTTAGAAAATGTTCCGCTGATTTGTTACCGAATTCGGTCTGATAATCACTTAATATATACTCATTGATTGAGGAAATTATCGTCTCCGATTGTGTTTGTCCATTAGATGATCGAAAGACAAGCCTTAATGACGACCCCCAAAGGTGACAAGATAAACAACTTTTCTCACAAATCAACTAAAGAAACAACGATAGTTACCTAAAACCCAGTCTTCTGGTGAAGGGTAATTATGTTGATATTGGTTACTGTTTCCCAATGCCATACCATCCTTCCTTCTCTCTTCATAGAAAAATGGTTATCATGTGTTTTTCCACAGGATGGTAAAAGTCTGACTTTCACTTCAAGTCTTTTATGTGCCAATTCTTGTACTCTGGCAAACGGAGCCGTGGGCACACTCAGAGTTACCGTCGCTGTCCCTACTATGAGCACCTTTTCCAATATCAGATTCGCGGTCACGTCCCAGGTCATCGGTGATGTCGAACGCGTCGGGCTCTGTGACGCCAAGATCAGCAGCGCGGCGATCGAGCTGGGATGCCTTCCGTATACGACGGACAGCATTGAGGAGACAAAGACCTCGGCGTAAGTATACTTTGGGGGAAACGGACAATGTTCTCCGGCGACATTCTCTCCGGTGACAATCACTCCAGCCCTTTTTTCGTCATAGGGTTATAATTGCAATTTGAGGTTAGGTTGGGTTAAGGGTTTGGTTAAGGGTCTGGTTAGGTTGAGTATTGAGTCCAGTGGTGATGTCAGGCGCGTATGCAGGGGGGGGGGTGTTTTTGGGGGTAACGCCCCCCCCTCAATATTTTTTTTGGAAAACAAAAAATGAATATCACCCCCCCCCCCTCTTCCCACTGAGCGAGATATCGGTCGGCGCGATTTTCACGTTGGCGGGGGCAAAAAACAAAAAACAAAACAAATGTTCTCTCACTACCCCCCCCCCCCCCTCCCCCTCCCTAATGAGCAATTAATCGGACGGCGAGATTTACAAATTTTGGGGAGGCAAAAAAAAAAAAAAAAAAAAAAATTGCTCACTACCCCCCCCCCCCCCCCCCCCCCCCCCCCACCCCCCTCCCCCCCCCCCCCCCATCGGTCGGCACAATTTCCAAATAATTCCATAAATGTATGAAATTTTCGCCAGTAGAAAATCGTAGAATCATCATATTCGAATACTATGAAACAAGATATGGACTCCGTATGTTTACTGGGTCATTCTTTCAACTATCCCAGTTTAATGGATAATGGGAAAACTTGGAAAACTACTCCTTTTTTAAGAGGGAATTGAAGTAACGGAAGAAAAGGAAGAAGAAGAGGATGATGATGATGATGATGATGATGATGATAATGATGAAGAATAGGACAAGAAAGACCCTCTTTTTTGTTTTACTTTCTCTTGATGTAACTTTCCTTTCTTTTTCGAATATCTCCCATTCATGTCATTTTCATTCCCCTGCCCCTCTTTCACTCTGTCTCTCTGTCTCTTTCTCTCTCTCTCTGTATATGCATCTTCCTCCTTTTTCTCCCTCTTCTTCTTTCTTCCTGCTTCCTACTTTTCCTCACTTCTCAATTATCTCACCCAGGGCTGGATCATCATTAATCGACGAAACTCTCACGTTCGAAACCGGCATCGTCTCGAACCTAGACCAGAATATCACCGGGGAGTTCATTGTCGACATCCTCTTTCGTCGCATGGTCGTCGATTTGGTTGACGTGGATGCCGCACGGACTATCGACCTGAATGTGTACGTCAATGATGAGGCGAGTGCTTCCCACACGTTCCAGGCCTCGGTGGTTGGAACCGAAGATTTGTCCACATGGGATGCCACACCGGTAAGATTTGTCCGCCTTTATAATTTCAATAACCGATTCTTACGATGTGTCATGAGTGTGACGTATGGCTGCGACGCTGCGTCAGCGCATGACGCGGGTATTGACGTACCATGTACAGGATGACTTCATACAAAAATGATTGCGAAATTAACATTGCCAGCTTTGCGTTAAATTCGGTTGAATTACCGGCGTATGGGCTAGATGACTTTACATGAGTACAGGTAATAAGTCAATCGAAATGACACCTCTTGAGCAACGCATAAAGCTGTCCAATATAGAAACTTAGAAGAAAACGCATGCAAATGAGTTACACTTATGACTTCGTTGTGAAGCAGTAATGTATCGGTCTCACCGGAACTCTCTTGCTTTAAAAGTTCATGAATAAAATAATAAATATATTCAGTAAATATGAGGCAGACGGTACAACTTTTACCGCTCTTTTTATTTGAAAATGGGTATATTGCTATGATGTGAGACAATTTTACCTTGTAATAATTATCAATTAAATTGCTATGTTCGTTAGAAAAAATTTCACTCCAAATGTTTAATTCAAGCTCACTTAAAATTTACTTTCTCTCCTGTGAGCTCAAAATTATGCAAATGAATGAAATTAAAAATTAAAAAATCAGTTATCATTGTTATTAGCACATTTGGCAGATCATACAGTTGAAATACGTGACGAAATCCCATACAATCAACGATGTAATAATGATGATCATTTCTGTGAAATACTTTATCTTAAAGGTAATTTACTTTTCCATTTTCATCCCCTAATTCAGCCGACCGACCCCGTCTCCATTGTCTCGTCTGTGACGTCACCTAACGACGGTGCTGTTGCACCCGGCACCCTAGCAACCGTCAATATCACCCTTACGATGGAGGCGGCCACCAGCTACGCGTACTCTGTCGACGTCGACGTTAATTCTAATACGCTGAACATCATATCCTTAGAAGGCGATGTTGGTGGCTCCGATATACCATGCGGTGATCCAGTCTTCACGGATGCGACGTTGACGTCGCTCAATGATGAAAAGACGAAACAGCAGGCGACGCTCGACCTGGGAGTCGTCAGCGCTTCAAGTGAGTGCCCCTCTCCCCGTCATAAAAATATATATGTAACAGCTTCACAAGGAATGTCATGAGCTCGTCGACATCTGAATGAAAAAAATAGCAATGGCAGTAATGCTTATAATTTAACAAATGGCTTCAAAGGTATATTTTGAAAGTTAGTTTGATAGTTTTCGCTACACTTTTCCTTTTGATCACGATTAAACCATAGCTCCTCGGTGATCTCGAGACTGCACTATGCAGTACTGTTTCGAGACCATATTATGTAATAGTTTGTAACCGTGCCTCTCAAAGCAGTCAATATGTGTACACTATGTATTAGGATTAGTTTTCGCCAATGAGATTAACTCACATATAATCAATTCTAATGTTAGAATACGGGTGTCACTGATTACTTCAATAATAGCCTTCCAACTTATAAATAAAATTAGTTTGCAAGGCTTTAACAATTTTCTTTGACTGGATCGTAGTTATGCAGACTTGTCGCAAAGACTAGATCAACGTACTAGCACCTAGTAACACGATATTTTTTTGGAATATAAAAGACGCTCTAAACTTCGCCACTTTATCATTGCAGAGCCATACAACTATTAATATTTGATTTATTTTTTCGTATTTATTTTTTGCACTTTCTACGTAATAGTGACGTCATCTTCATCACTGAGCCTGAGTTTGCTGGTGCAGCTGAGTGGGGATCGGGCCCTGGTTGCTGATGGGTCACAGCATCCTATAAATGTGGTCGTCAAATCGCAGTCTGATACGACACTCGACACTGAAATCATCAACATCGGTGCCGACTATGCCGCGGCCGCAGCGCTGACGGTAAGTCTTCAACTATGATGTTAGACCCCCTGGCGTGGTTGAGGGGCACGGGGGCACATTTCCTCCTATATCGAGACACTAACAAAAAAAAGAGGGAGAAAATGGGAGAGGGACAATACCTGCTCCTCTCACATCTTGACAGCCTTGTTAAGTCGCACTTTATCCAGCTAGTTAGACCAATGCCCTCTTATATGTAACTGCCCCCTCCCTCAATATGTCGACATAAACGACGCCACTTTTCAACCCCATTAAGCAAACGTGTTGATGACTTTAAAATAAGTTTCTAACAATTAACTTATTAGAGGACAGAGGCGCAGTGAAATCAGTGTAGAAATCGAAGCGTTAATTTGTCTCAAACGCTACCGTGAACCCCCTTTCTACCAACTTCTATGTGACGCCGTCACAAACAAATGTCATCATGATATGAAATACAATTCAAATCTGAACTTACCGTGTATGTAATCTAAAATAAATACATTTTATGGGTGGTTATTTTACTTAGTGAGTTTATTAGTTTATATCTTGGAGTATGGTCTGCAAGTTTAAGCCATACATCAAATTTTTATGTTTTCCAGCAGAGCGAGAAAGACAACGTTTTTGTACCAATATGAGTCATATATAGCTGATCCTTTGATACGGAAAAATCTTCCAAACTCGTCTTTCCCTACAGGCTGTCTTGCCGACATCGCACACGGTAGTGTATGATACGGTTACATCACAGGAAATCGAGATCGGAAAAGAGTCTTCGTTCACCCAATCGATAACGTTGAGCAGCGGCACAACGCTGGGATATAGATTGGTATTCGTCTCGAATGTGACATGGTTCGAGTTTACCGAGATCACCCTAGGAACGATCGGGGCAGATTTAGGGGGATTTACCGCGCCTGATCTCAGTCCTGATCCCGCTCTACCACAGTAAGAAATCCCCTTTTTAATCGTTTGATGTTCCGAAGGGAATAGCAACATGAGTCTATTTTTTGTTTTCAATCGAATTTTGTTAATGTTAATTGATGATTTAAAAAAATATGTTGTGTAGTGTTTATCTTTGCCTAAATGAATATCGCTTCGACCCACTGATGTGTGGGCATGACCTTGCCCGTGGAAAGGGGGCTGATGTCACTTACCAGAGAATGAAATATCCAGTTTCTAAAGTTGCAAGCTATCACAAATATTGTCACTTTGGGTTTTTTTTTTTAAGGATTCGTCATTGTTTTGTGTTTAATTTGGGAAAGGGGGTTATTACGATAGGATTCATTCATTCAAAATAATTGAGTTGTGTATATTGTGTACTCTATATTTATATAATGCAATTTGAAATAATATGTATGATGTACATGTATTAAATGAATATAATAAGGAATACTACAAAACAAAAAAGTATTCGTTTCCCGGATAGGAAGTAACACTTGGCAGAATACTTGGTGACAGTTGCCCAAAAATTGGTATTAGTATTTAAAATAGGAGGGGCTGCAGATTCTGCAGATCAAGATTTAATCCAATTTTATGTATGTTTTTTGGCTAAGCTGTGCCTGATTTCAGAGGGTGGGGACAAGACCCCCTTCCCATACTATAGGCCGTTCTCATAGCACGGATGCTTTGGCCTTCGCCTCGGGATAGCTATTCCCGATTGTATGCACTATAACGGCTGATGCGGAGCAGTTATTGCGCACATCCTCTACCAAAAAAAATATAAATACCTCAAACACCCTGTAAAAATAATTCCTCAAAAAAAATTATGATAAAAATGATTATGTTACTTATAAGATAATTCGAGTGCATGTTTTATTATAATTCTGGCAGAGGGCCTATAAATAAACAACCACAAAAGCATTTTGGTGGTTATTGATTTAAAAGTAATTAAAGAGATAATAATAATATTTGCACTCTCCTGTTCAAAGGTAATTTAAGGGTTATGGTTTCGAATCTCAGCCCGGCAGCAACGTCATTTGGCAAGACATTCATTCACATTGATCACTCTCTATCCAGGGACGAATGCGTACCTGGCGATTGCTGGGGTAATAACAATTGTAGGGTCCTTAAGAAGAACAGTATTTATGCTGATGAGCATAAACAAAAGCATTATTGTTTCTCCTATCATTCTGTTTCTCACGTGTGTATGTATGTATCTCTTGTCTTTTCCTTTCAGAACATCATTGACAGCTGATCTTGGTTTTATTGCTTGTTTAGGATCTGACTGTCAGGTAAATCATCTATAGATTCGTTTATTAAGAATCTATGGCATGCACGTTTAATACGTTGCAAAAATAATGCACGTATCCCGGATCGACGTTGCACATGAAAACCCGTTCGAAAGCATGCCCGAGGTTTACTGATCAACACTGGATCAACCAACAACTCAAGTTGAACGGAGAAAAGGAACATGATGAATCGCACGTTTTAACGATCAGACGACGCCGGAGACAATAATCTACATCTATTTTTTTAACACTTGCAGGCGCGTACGCAGGGGGTTGGTTTTGGGGTTAACCCCCCCCCCCCTCGAGTTTTTTTTAATGTGTATGTTTTATGTATGTTTTTTTTGGAAAACCCCCCTTTTTGATTTTAAACCACCCCCCCTTGAAAAAAAATCCTGCGTACGCCACTGAACACATGTATTTCAATATTGTCTATACTTTGTATAATAAACATTCTATATCCACTGACATGTCTAAACAATGCTATTCCAACTAATCCTTATGTTTAATCAACGGAATACCAAATACTATTCTGTAAATGTATTCAAATTTATACACGAGCTACCATAATAACTTGCCTTAATATTCGGAATGTGTAATGCATGCAACAGTTGTTGCTAGGTTGAACAAACATTATTATTTGCCCAACATAGCAACACGAGATATATGTGCAATTTGTATTCTGACTATTGAAATACCATTTTGATATATTTAAATGAAACAATTTTATTACATTATTTTGTTACCATAGATCGAGTTTTACGTGACGGTTAAAGCGCGCAATGATTCCGGAGCGATGCACGGTGATGTGGTTCAGATGGATGCCAATGTAAATGTCTACACAGGAGATAGTACCGAGTCGCAAGACGTTCAGAACCTCATATTTTACGCCATCAATTCAACTTTTATCAGGAATTACACGGTGAGTTTTGTTTTATTCCAATCGTAATTCAGTAGTTGGGTGAAAGACATTTCCAAAGCCATTGTGTATCTTGTGATGCTTAAAGCGCACAGTGATTCAGATGGATGCCAATATAAAGGTCTAAACAGGAAGAAAAAAAGAGTCGCGAGACGTTCAGAAACTCATATTTTACAGCATCGGGCCTGTTGTTTGCCGCAATGACTTTTAATTAGAAAAGTAATTGCAGATCAAACTTTCTTGCTTGCATTATAATTGCTCGTAATATCAATTTAACTAAACAGAACTCCCCTACATGTAGGCTATATACGTGGTTTTAGAAGATTTTTTTGCACGTTATAAATTGGCATTACTTATATCCTGACATCATTTAATGAATAAGATTCTAATCCGATATACATAATTACTAAACCTCGGTTGAGAGAGGTAACTTTTCGAATATGTTTTCAAAAGACATGCCTTTAAGTTACAAGTATTATCCCCAGGAATTGTTTTAAATTATTATTATTACAACTCATTTCGAGCTCTATAAATACAATCATCATACCAGTAAACTATACGAGGTGATATCCTACCTGGTTCTTCCTCTCATTATCCAAGTGTTCTCATCATCTTTCAGAGTACCTTTGATCTGACCTGCCCTGATTCAGCCACAACCATGACACCAGGCGAGAGGGCGATGTGCAACATTACCATCGATGTCATTGACCAGGACGTTGAATCGGAGGTGGAGGTCGTCACGACGCTCAACATCTCCTACGTCGGCATGGTGGTGAGGAGCTTAGCCGTCGTCGAAGTCGGTAGCAACATCGTGAGCGACCTCGGGAATCTGCTGTCCCAGACACCGATCTTCACCAGTCATGTCAATGAAAACAGCACCCAGAAGGATCGCGTCAAGCTCTCCCTAGGGCGTCTGCATAATAACGGTAAGAGTCGCTACAGTATACTTCGGGAGTCAAGTGCTAGTTTGAAGAAAGGGGGGGGGGGATAGCTTCATTTTACGAGATTGTGCGCTTAACCATCCATCCCAAGTATGCGAAGAATTGCTCAAGGCAAATTACTACCATGTCCCTGAATTTAGCCCAACTGTCCTGATATTTAATTGAATTGAATCAAAATGATAACTTTAAAAGCCCAAACAGTTACAAGACTGATTTGCACTGGGGCCGTGTGAAACAATGTAAATACATCGAATTAACATAAAAATGATGTTACATCAAATGACATATTTAAAACAAACAAGAAATAATCAAGATAAATATCTTTAAAAATAAGGATAGAATAGTATTGCCGAAAAAGTATATTTGTCCAAACAAAAATACTGTACATATACTTCAAATTAAAATAGGTAATACAAGTTGTTACTAGTGCATATAAACTGCCAGAAATGATATATTTAAAAAAATCAAATCAAATGTGGCTGGTCATAACCATGCAGATATCGACAACGCGGCTGCAAACGACCCGGATCACCAGATCGTCATCGGTGTCGAGATACAGCTTACGGATTCGGAGGAAGTGGTAGAAGGGTCTCAGCATATACTCTCAGCGGGGGTGGCCTTTGATGCGGCTTATGTATGGGTCTCGAACATGTATATCGAGGCCAGTCGAAGCGGCACCGAGCAACCCGACCTCTCGATCACCTACAGCATGATGGGGGATACGTCAAATCTTGTAGCCGGGTGAGTATCCTTTTTTATTATTTTGTTTATTTTATTAAGAACGAGGGAGGGTGAGGTAGAGGCTACAACCTCCCGAGAATTTTGAAATATCATTATTTGGGTAAACTAAGGTGTGCTGATATCTGTTGATGGAATGTGCAGAGGTGCAGGGCGGGCTTTAATGTCTTTTTAAAACAAGCTTGATGTTTGCAGACTACTGATAATTTGACATTCTCGGGAGTCTGCAGCCCCCAAGCCCCCACCCCCACTATTCTCTCTTCCTCTCTTCTCTCTCCCCCCCCCTTTTTGACCATTCGACGGAGGGGACGTGCTCCGGTAAATAAGCCTTTCCAATTTTTTTAATTCCAATTTTCCAGCGAAACAGTGACGTACAGAATAGGGTTGAACCACTCAGACGTGTCTTCAGCCGAGTGCAACAACGTTGAACTTCGTTTGTTGCTCCCACCATACATAGACTACCAATCAATAATAGAAGATGGTGCACATGATGTCAGTTACCCTATCGCTATTGACGCTTCAGCTGGGTTGACATTTCAAGTAAGTTTATGTCCAAGATAAGTTACTACATGTATAAGTAACAAATCGAATCAAAGATCACAATTAACTTGATGACCTTGTAAGTTGATGGCCATAAAAGAGCATGGAATGATTTTATTTCACCTATGTTCATGATGAGTGTGACAATTTAAAAAAAATCTTGATATATAAAGTTCTTCTCAGTCAGGACTTATTCATGTTTAAAGATTAATCAAACAAGTTCTAGGAAGGTGTCATTGTCACATTTCATGAACAGAGGTAAGAACAGTTCTGCCAACTATATTGGCAACAATCACCCTTGTAATACCCTAGTCGCAACACCAAACCGACTCCAAACAGACAAGTACTCGGTCATTCGAGGTAAAGGAATTTTGTGATGGGTCTGGTGTCGGGCCCGTTGTATAGTTCTCATTCTGTGCATAGTATATGTCTATACAGTGGGAAAGAATCTCAATACAGGTATAACTATTGATTTTTAAATACATTTGCCATGTGTTATCAAGAATATTAAGCATTCTGGAACTAAATCTATATCACACATGGCTAGGTATATAGAAATAGCGAAAATAATTCCACTGAAGAAAGGCAATTAACCAATATCCATCGTATTTTCGTATGGACTACAGCTGACAAAGGTTTACTTTACCGACATCATCGCATTCGATGTTGCATGTACAATCAGTTCAAGCTACGCATTCAAGGGGAAAACGAGTTGGAGCGCGAGCTCGCCTCTTCAAATCTCATACAGTACGTTTGACCGAAGCGGTGTCAGCATCACCGATGGTCCCACGGTCATCGCATTCGAAGAGGCCACATACTCGCTTACGGCTTCGTCACCGGTCTCGACCAGTAAGTGCATGTATTATTAATCATGAGTTTAATGCGTTAAAGGAATAGTACATTTCCGCGGTTATCAAATGTATTGCATTTGCACTTTAAAAATATGTATGCATTAAATTTGATTGCATTTCGAAAATGGCCTATGGTAGACTGTTTGTTAATGCTGATCTTCCGCTGTATTACTCTTTTTTTTCGTTGTAGTCATGTGTAGTTGAGATGTATCTATAGTTTTTTTTTCTTCAATCCTGTTAGCTCATTGTAACTACATGTATGTCGCAGGGACAGATATTCTTGTAGGCAGTGATTTAGTAATGAAAAGAATAATACACGTATCAACAAATTGTCAGCTTACAATAGATTCAGTGGTCGGAGTGGGCAAGGCTAGAAAACAATCCAGGGGGAGACATTGTTCTTTTGTATGCCAGACGGGTTTTCCGGTAGAACGACCCCCCCCCCCCCCCCTCCCCCAATCTACTACTTACATCACTTTACATCACTTACATCATTTATGTTCCCGTTTGGTAAATGCTGCAAGAGCACGATGATTGTCTCCTCTCACCTTTCCAATCAGGTTCTCTCCCGACTGCTGTATGTGCCTCACCCGTGGCTCTGGGTGTCAGAGACAGGATGGTGGTAAAGGACTGTCAGATACAAGCTTCTTCAGAACCAAACCCAGAGGCTGCAGCCGCAAATGCTCGTCTTAATGGAGTTGGTAAGACCCCGATCTGCATAATCGATCTTCTCACTGGTCTTTCTTTCTTTAAAGACATCATTCCAGATTCTGTCCGTTGTTTATATTTAATAAGCACCCCCACCCTTCCCTCCCTTACAGGCAGCACACACAGAGCGTGATGTCTCCATTGATTGCGCGATCTCCGAAAATGCACCCGTCGAGAGTATAATTATAATAATAATAATAATAATAATAATAATAATAATAATAATGATGATCAAAATGGTGCTTCTAAAGCGCTTACCACTGAAGTCTCTAAGCGCAATGGAAGGACTGTCTCTGTTTTAGCGTTGATAGTGTGTTATTTGCTCAGCGGATTGTGCACGCAACACGGAAACAGTCCCATCCATATATCTGAAGAGATATTTTACCAGGTTTCAAGAGTCACACCGACTCTGGTGAAGGCTTCAGTGCATGCATGTCTGTATTTAAAGTTATATTTCAATTTTTGCAGTATACCAAGCATTTCTTTAATCACTATAAATAGTTCACCTATTTCATCTTGACCCATTTGAAGGTTGGAAAACTGAAGCCCGAGCAGGAGATTATCTCTACGATCGTTTCCTCAAAATCGATTTGGGACGCAGGGTGGCGTTATCGCGTCTGGATACGCAAGGAGGAGCAAGAGCCGCCACCGCAACCGAGGTCGCATTCGAAGGCGACATCGGAAAGTTCGAAGTTCTCTACAGCACCGATGATGTGGTCTACCGGAGAGCACTGGCTACCGACGGCACGTTCGAGGTTTGTTTGATAGTGCCGCTGCACACGAGGCGTTATTTTGCTGACGTAGGTCTGCGTCAGCAACGACTGGCGTGGTCTTGACGCGCTATTTGAGAGTGCTACATACAAACACTGAATGCAAATGAACCGTGCAAACATTGCCTTGCATTATTAAAGTATTTACGTTACTGCCTTTAAATACTTGAATGGCTTTATTTCTATTGCGTTATTACCTACGCTTGTAAAACCGATGAAGGCAATTTGTACGATCATGATTTAACGCAGTGTTTGACGCTTCCAATAAATATGAAGGCTCGTGTTTTATTGTTGGTGCAATTGAATTGAATTGAATTAATTTGTTCACCACCATTGAAACCATTGAGATAAAAGATAGATATATTATACAGTTATTGACTGGCAGGGGGTGTAATATAACATTATTTGGACTGCTGAAGGGAGTTATATTTCCCAAGTGGTTATATTTTCACAAAGCGCGCAGCGCTGAGGGAAAATATCAAAGACGTTTAAATATAATATGGTCACGAGGGAAAACATAACTCCCTTCAAGTCCAAAGACTGTTATTTACCCCCTGCCAGTCAATAACTGTTATATTAGATAGCCTTGGGGTTTTTTTTTTTGGGGGGGTCCATATATTTTTTTCCCGAAATTGTTTTCATTTTTTTTCTCGGGACAACCAACATTTTAGAAAAAGAAGTGCAAAAAAAAAGAATTGACTGAAAAATAATATTTCATGATAATTCAAGAAAAAAAAAACCCTAACAAAAAATTCTTACCAAGAAAAGCATTTTTGGGGGAGAAAAAAAAAACTGGAAAAAAAGAAGAAAAAAAATGAAAAAATAATTTCAAGGGGAAAAAAAAGTCATGAAAAAAAAATGACCCTCGGTAATGGTGTAATGTGTGTAATTGGTGACATACAGTCCTCAAGAGGGCGACATGCATTGATCAAAAATATATTCATTTCACCAGCAGGTTATATTATATTTAAACAAAATAGTTACATGTATAAGTAAACTTTTTGTCAAGAGTAAAACATTAAATGACTTTTTACAATGAGTTTGTGATCGATGGTAAAATAGAGTAGGAAATAGCACATAATGCTAGTTGTGCCTGACTCTCGTTATCTAAATTATGAACATTCTGATAAACTAACATCGAAAATGCAAATAAAACTAAATGTAAGAAATTAGGAACCCTATATTTCGGAATTATAAACCTCCTGGTGTTGAAAATCTGTGTTTCGGAATTACGAACCTTCGGAAACATGAGTACCTCCAATCTAAGATTGTGCCCGTACGTTTCTTTTCTAGATAGGGCATAGAAACAACCGGAAGAACATTTTCCCCTGACAATGTTTTCTCTGGAATATTATTTCTCTTCTTGGCTTACCGCGACTGAAATAACAACTTTAGATAAATTTTATGAAGGAAGTTTTGTCAAATGTTTGTTAAGAATGTGTGTAATAAATCGTTCCGAAAAAACGGAATATATTACATTGATATTTCCCTGTTTCATATTTTTTTTCATCTCCACTCTTATTCGGATTTAAACAGTTTGACCATTCGTCATCTTCAACACCGGATTATAATCGAATATCTGAGCACCATCTTCAGTCGCCGGTCGAAGCTCGTTACGTCATCATTCGTCTCACCGAGTACGACTTCACCAATGCGGGTCACCTCTATAATGTACTCCGAACCGAGTTATACGGCTGTGGCCTGCAGGCCATACAAACTGGTAAGCAGTGGCATAGAAAGGTCTTGGTTTTTAGCGGGCACACGTATCATGGGGGGGGGGGGGGGGGGTTCAGGGTCGGCCTTACTCGATGGACGAAATGTGAATTTACAAGGCCATCGATTGTGGGTGCGGGGGCATGTGTGTTACATAGAGGCAAATTGTAATTTTGAAAATACCAACATTTCGGAGTTCGGAGTACATAACAGAACTTAAAGTCACCTTTAGTCATGCCATAGCTCTACATGTACACATTTTCTATTGCTATAACAAATATGTTGCCGTTGGAGACATTTTTATTGGACATGAGTCTACATGACGAGAATATTATTAAAAGGCGTATTGCTTTGTTTGCCATTGATGTTATTGTTTCTTAGTTAATCAAACTTTAATGCTTTCTTTTGAAGAAGATGAAAAGTCCATGCGATAGAATTAGTATTACAATGCTTTAATCGCAGATGTTTGCAAGGAGACGACAGTGTCCCCCTCTCTGGATGACACTCGCGGTGTATTAATCCATAGCACTGATCAGGATGCCTTCATCTGCGACACAAAGACTCGCAGAAAGAGCGGCCTGCAGAGGGATCTTGACAGTCAGACACTTGTCATTAACAATAAGTGAGACATTTCACGTTTATTATTAACATTTCATTTGAGACACCAGAAGGCAAGCTTTAGCTCAACTGATAGATCTATTAATCAGAGATGTGAAAATATTTTTTTTTCTTTTTTAAGCGATTTTACTTTTGGAAATACATGTTGAAAACTGATTTTAAAAAGTTTGTGTTATATAAAATGGTGGTATTTTATTCCTTTGAATTACTCCTCTATTTCGTAATTATTTTACTGCAATACGATTACTATCTGAATTAATGTAACTTTTCCCTTAAGTGTAAAACAAGAGATGTTTACCTTATACAATGTAGTTATGTTCAAGTTAATAAAGTAATCAACAGTTTTGAGGGCCAATCTACTAGATATTTGCCATGGATGAAATTAAATTGATAAACAAGAAAAGGCAAATTTGAAGGATATAAGACGGAACGTTTTTGAACAAATTTTTGTGTAATGAAAAGTGACTCTTTGAGCGTATCAACATACCTATGATTTAACTATACATGTATGCATTGTTATATGAAGAGACCTTTTTATTAATATATATACTCATGTTTATCTCCAGAACCTCTGGGCTCTGGTTATGAATTATTTATGCCGTAAAGGCATATCTATAGATAGAATCCACTCTGCATACATTAGCTGTTTCTATGTCTAGCAATCCTCTGACAAGCTTTTGAGTTGTCAAGGGAAACCTTTCTTCAAGAAGCATGCATATTAGTAAACTGGTCTTTTCTGATTTCATCAGCCACCTATGAAGCTTGTGATGATTTCCTCTGATCAAGTCAATATAATAACACTTCTTTCCTCTACATAGACTCCCAGACACTGTTTGTAGCATCAAGAGAGCCGCCCCTTCATCTCAGTGGTCAGGTAAGCATATCACATTTTCAAATCACATAGAGATACTTTTTCTACATAATAATGTATATGTGTCCCAATTTTCGGGAGGCACTCGTTTTCCAAAGGGGCGTTTTACCCGAGGTTCATAATTCCGGAAGTGAAATAGGGTTGATAATTCCGACGGTTCATAAGGTTCTTATATAAAATAGAGTTTATAATTTTTTTTTAAAGTTTCACGGTGCGAAATGAAAGATCAACAATAATGAACCACATTACTATGACGATATTACATTTTTGCAGTTCACGAATGCTTCTTTATCTTGCCGCTAAAAGGCTGTCCCTAACCAATCGGTAAATGTTCATGTCGTAACAATGTATAGTTTGACAGAATTTCAACTTCTTTTAACGCTTATCAAAAGTAGAAGACCATATCTATGACACAAATAAATGTTTAAAAACCAACATTCAAATATCTCTTTTATTGCAAACAGTCTTACCCGACCAAGTGCGACAAGTGATCGGTTACGCTGCGGCAGACGACACCCTCTACGCCATAGGGCGCGATTCGTCGGCCGTATACTACATGAAGAGTACAGATGACGGGTTGTCTTGGACACCCATTCCTCCCAGTGAGTGGCAGGCGGCCGTTATCACAACGAACGTAACCAAAGTGCCCCTGGAGTCTGCAGACGATCCTATCTTCAGTACGATTTTATCCGCGGATCCCGACCAGTTAGGTAAGATAGGGCCCGAGAGGCGATCATGACTTGAATGATAAGTGGCTGATCAATGATTCTTTAGGAGTGGAGAAGGGGGGGGGGGCAAAGTAAAAAGCTGTGACAAGATTAAGAAAAACTAATAAAAAGATTATCACATTTTAAGTACATTTTGAGGTCGAAAATTGCTGCCACAATGTTGTACATAAAGTGGGACCGCACTACTTGCGCCCTCTTAACAGCCAACAATGACTAAGCGGTACATGTTGATCCCCATGGTCCCCTTTTTATTATGTTAATTGAGAGCTGATTTGATGAGATAACCACCTGCCAGTGACCACGTAGGGAGGTCTAATCCCTCCTGGTCAAACTAGTGCAAATATGCTTTAAAGTATGTTTAGCCCTTTTTTATGCCTAATTTGATTTTGGCACCATGCTTCCTGGAACCACCCAATAAACGGCAGTGTATACATATTGTTTTTAAATAATACCTAATCAAACAAACCGACACAAAAGAGAAAATTCAAATTCAGGTAGAAATATGCTCTCTTAAAGAAAAACAAAATCTGCACAAATGAGAGAGAGAAAAAACAGACTAAATCCGACCGTACTAGCATTCCCGTTATTCACATCATCTACTTTTTTCCACATTTGTAGCAGTGTCATATATTTGAAAGATTCTTATGGAGAAGAAAATGATTGATGACTGTCACACATCTCTCTAGATGTATGCAAATTAACAGTGTCACTGGATGGGGGGGGGGGGGGTAGGGGGTAGGGTGTGAAGGGGATCCTATCATCTTGTCACTCTTGTTTCATTTCTCTCTTTGTTTCACATTTTCTTTTCTTTTAAATATTTTTCACCATGCAATGGGTGGGGGAAAGTGATCTCTATCTATGATACTGTCTACTTATGACTTTAATTAAGCATACCAAACTGATTATTTATTGTTTTTCCTTCTTTTGCAGTTCGCTTTGATGGTATTTACTCTGATGATGGCACCACCCAAACCAAATGGGTTGGGTGGAACCAGTGTTGTCAGAAGGACTGCTATCTGGAGGGCAACACCATCTGTTAGTCGAGAGACTATGGACACATCATCATCTACAGACATCATCACATCAATGTCTTAAAATCTACATCTACCATTTCTTACCCTTGTCTGCATCTTGTATTTCAATTATATATCAGATCTCGTGCTGTGCCAGAGAATTTTGTGAGAAGCAGCAAGTCTCATTAAATAATTTATGTTGGTTAGTTTTTTAAGAGTTCCTAAAATGTCTGAGGTATATAATTTGATATCTTCCCTGTATGTGTATACAATGCTATAAATGGTGGATTTTTCAACTACATACATGTTTAGGGGGGTATACAGAACGTAAATGCCCTAATAATGGCAAGATAAATACATTATGCCTGGATGATGAGCAGCATCAGTCAGTATGTGATACATCTGCAGGACGGGACTTATATTTTTAGTGCAATAAAGAAGTACCATATGGTACCACCCTCTTATGCATCTTTATTTTAGCTTCAATGTGCATTGGTAAGTGACTGTATGAAAGCACAGATATGTTTCAACCCTTTTATTCTCACATTCAACATTAAAATGAAATTGTGTTTGCGGTAAGAAGAGACTTTGTAAATATGCTAAATACACTAGAAAGCCAAATGATCAAGTACCAACTTGGCTTCAAAGCTGTTGTATTCTTTGTTGTATTTTAATGGCCAGATGAACTTTGTGTTCTTTACAAAAAGATTCATTAGTTTTTGTTTTTTAATGTGTTACATCATTGTTTTTATTTTGACTCAAGTATCTACGTTTTGAATACAGTGACACTATAGGGCAGTATGTATATCAACCATTCTAAATGGCAGAGTACAGAATGTCACAAAATCACAGCTATATTTTTAGAAACAGAGAAAATGCATACATAGTGTTCCAGCTGTAATATATGTACATAATTGTAAGATTAGCTTTAATATCTGATAACAAAATGGTAGAAACATTAAGACATTTTCATCAAACTGTGACACTGAATAAAAACAATCAAATGGACACGGTCTTGCAAAGAGTTTGGCATTTTATTTACAAATAGTGCTGAGCATATAAAGTATATATGTATATAAACATCTATCAGACTTCGAGCCAAGTTAACACATTATGTTTAAGATGAACAAAAACACATAAAAAGAGTAAAAAGCATATAGATTAAATCATGATAAGATAATTATTAAAGATGTGTATAGAGATTGGTTGGAATAGAATTGTACATATTGTTGTTTGTATGTAAATCCAATGTAGACTGATATGTACCACTGTCTTTCATTCTACCTATTTGATTACAACACCTTGGAATTATGTCTTTCAATTTTTTAGATAATATTCTAAAAGATCTTTCAAATGGAATTTAGAAGGGACAAAAAAGAAAGATGGAACAAAACAGATTATTCACTGTGGTACTTTCAAACCTTTGCAGACTAATTATTGCTAATCACATTGCCAAGATGCTTTGTCTGGCAAATTGATTTTAAAAAGTAAATCTTTTTTTGCAAGAGTTATTAATCTGCAATGCAGTGTATTTTAAAAGTAAAATAATGGGACATGCAGCTTGAATGATGAGAAACAAAAATCATTAATGTGTTTCTTCATATCAAGAGCTCCTTTTACGTTTAATGAAACATAAGATGAACTGATATAATGCAAAAATGTAACCTGAAATCATATAAAATTGCTGTGATATACATCTACAGGTGCATGCATATATGAGCTACACAAATTGTATGAATGTTCTGTATGACACCTTTCCAATTTTACCTTTAACATTTGAAAAACATATCAAATTTCCCCTCAAACATTTCTAGATACATGTATGTTGAACAGAATAATGTTCTTATGTATTTATTTCTGCAATGTTGTACTAGAAGGAATGAACTAGGTTAATACACTGTCTTTGAAAATGAAAAGAAAACTAAAAGATTTTACTTTTGGAAGACCACTTTAACATACATGTATAATTCATTTGTTGTAATCCAATCAAACAAAATATTAAGAGCAAGATGGATGAGGCAAAATGTAGTGAAGACCAAAACAAGACTTTTTCCTTCTTCATTTTGTAATCCAACAATATGGATTTCTTCGGTATAAATGGTGATAAATCAACCTAACTTTAAAATCACATTTGCTCAATCTTGCATTTAAAAAAGGACCAGAATGCACAATCGACGGAAATACTTTATAACAGATTTCGTACAACTCTTTCTAGTTTCTACAGGTACACAGAGATGTATTAAGAGTCAAAGTCAAAGTTAAATATATCTTTTGTAAATATAAATTTGATTATTATGATACTATGTCAGAAATCTACATTTTATGTACAATAGCTACTAGTAAAGAGTGCCTAACAATAAAACGAGAACAAATGTAGTGAAGCCACTCCTTTGTACACAACAATCTTTTCTTTCTGTCTTTGAGTTACATTCCAAGCAAGTAATGAGATCTGAGAGTAAGGATTATTAATTGACAGCATTCATGGAATTTGTATTAATTATGATGGGCTGAATAGTCTATTGAAGGCAATAAAAGCATTTACTACTATTACTACATACAGAGTTAAGGGGAGACTAGAGAGTGAGAGAGAGGAAAAAAAGCAAGGGCGAAAAAGACAAAGAGTGAGAAAGAGGAAGAGAGAGAGAGAGAGAGAGAGGTGAAGAGAAACAGAGACACACACTAAAGAGGCACATAGAGAGAGAGAGAAGAGAAGAGAAAGAGTAATTTCATAGTATTATGTTCTGATGATTTGCCACAGATTCATACACCAATTCTACATGTAAAGATTCAACTCTGTCAGAAATCTCAAGTAATTCATTAGTCTCAGTAAATTGCATGTATGCATATTGTATCTACATGTCTGTAATTTTCATCTATGATTTGAAACAATGCAGACCTTCAATAATAAACAATGAGTTGAAAAGCAAAATAGCATCGTAATAGATCAAATTTTTAATCAGTGATATTACAAGTACAGTGCTGTAAAGATCTTGTATATGATGCTGTTACAGTGCAGTATTAAACGATTGTGTAACTAATGTTACTTTACAGAATGCTCCATTGCAATGACCTACATGTAGCTGTTTCATACTACCTCTACTTGTGTGAATGTGACACACTAAATAGCATTCAATAGCCTCTTTATACTTCATGTATCCTCAAACATAATGATCAGAAGCGTTGCATCAATCCAATTCAAAATGTTTCTTTGGGAACAAGAGACACAGAAAATAAAAAAACAGACCAGTTTTATACAACCTGTGATCAATCTCAGCTTCCATAAATCTATGTCACAGCCAATCAAATGCAATGCTTTCAGTGGCTTATATCAGTTATTGTATCTTGGTATGCATGACAAGTTTTCTGAAACATGGGCCAGGAGAGGAAGGTCGTCAGCTCTCCAAGGTTCTCCAGAATTGCAACCTGACCTTGAGAAGGACTTGATCTCAAAAGCTCTCACTGCAAGAGGCATCACTGTCAGAATCATTAGCCTTACCTCCACCGCTCTCCTGAATCATAAATTAAAAAACAAAAGATGTTTGAATAACGCAATTACAGAGACTCAAGGGCAATTTCAATACATTACTGGATTGCTTTTAGAAATAATGTTCTGATTCAGTGATATGTCTCTGTAATGTTCACACATTTCAAAAGCTTATGCACAAGGCTAAAAAAATTGCCTTATTTTTATATTTGAAGGTCTATGCAACCTCGCTGTATTTACCATGTAGTGTATTAATCAAAAGTAATCCAAGCACTTCACATATAAAATATTTCTATATGTATCTAATACTACATAGCCAATCTTTAGGAGCAATCAGGTTGGATATCTTGCCCATGCATTTCTACTGGAGAGGAGAGGGAGGATGGATTGGAAGAATGAATCTTTTCTTACCTCTTTCTCTTCATCACTATCATCTGATGATTCTAGTCTGCTTGCTGCTCCCTCCTCTTCATCACTATCATCTTCCCTAGTTACCTGAGATGGAATCTCCTCTCCCTATCAACAACAAAATGAGGAAATGAGTAAATAATAAAGATTATATACCTCACTTAAGTAATCCAGCAATCTGATTGGTCGAAATTGCATTCATAAACTTTAACTGTTCCCGAAAATTCCCGGTAACCATGGTTAAAAAACAGTTCAAAATCCCAATAACCATGGTTATTGGGAAAATAGGTCAGTCTCCATGGTTACCCCATAGGTTTACATGTTAAAAAATGGTCTGAGCGAGCGAGGATGTGCGAAGAATTGGTCGGTAATTTCAATACAATTGAATCTCGATCGATCTTACCGACAATTTTATCTTGCATTGTTGACATGAAGACGAAAATAAACTTCCAAAAACAAAAAAAACAACATCTGCCGATAGATCTTGATCTAAGTTCGTGCCAATATGCATTGCAAAAGTAAAAGAAGGGCCCGTTTAATGGAGCAGCGGCGAAGCATCGACCACGCGAAGCCGTTTTCAATTCATTTTAATGTATATATTGAAGAAAACTACTGTGCATGGTGACATAGCGCGCTGGCCGAGCGGTTTGAGGCGCTGACTGTACTCTCATCACCATTTGTACGCAAGAGTTCGAATCCCATCTTCGACAAAAGTTTTTTTTTTTTTTTTGGCATATAAAAGTATTAATGACTGCTTTAATATTCGAGAAATAGTTGTTTTTATACGCTCTCGGAAAGGTTACAATTGGGCTATTCCCCTCGGCACGCCTCGGGTAATAGCACAATTCTAACCTTCCCTTGAGCGTATAAAAACAACTATTTCTCTCAAAGCAGTCATTAATACTATATTGCAACATTTTTTAACTATCATGGCTTTCACAAATCCTTCACAAATATTGTTATGAGTCTTGAACATAATTGAAGTAAGCCTTTAACAAAGTCAGCATAAGCTATCATTTGTTTTGAATGGAATGTCATATTGCTACAAGGATTCTATGTATGAAAAACATGATATCATACACTCTGGTAGATGAAGGAATATAATACATACAATTTCATGTTAACATCTCTATCACATATCAAGCAAAATGTCCACTCCCAGATGCTGAAAAATGAAAATCATTTCAGATCTTCAATGCTCATGCAATTGCAACTCTAAGAGCTCTGAAACTGTCAATTCTATACAATGAAAATCATTAAAATCTTTAAAATGTCAGAAATTGGGAAGTTTTACATGAAATATTAGACAGACTCGATATAGTCTATTTTACAAAAAATGAAAATCACCTCACATTATTTACAACCCTGCAATTGGCAACACTTCTCTCACCTTGAGATCTCTATTCTTGAGGTTTCCTACCCAGAATGCCTCATGACAGTTATGTAAGGTGAGCATGACTTTGACCCTATAGACGAACTGCTCCAGGAGGCGCTTCATTTGAGGCACATGAGTGGTCAGTGCAATGTCCTTGGCCACCTGCGGTCAAAAATCGTTGTCACATTGATTAATCGTTTTAAAACTCTCACGCAGACAAACACAGACAAAAACCTAAAAAACTAGTTCCATAAATCAGAAATTTATTTTCCAGCTTTTCCAGAACTTTGTCAAAATCCTATTAATGTTTAATGTGCCAAAATTGGATAGCAAACTAGAAAGTAAACTAAAATCAGAATATCTCCCACACTGTCGATGTTACTCATGTAATGAAGTGCCAAAAAAAAGGACTGATGAATGAACTATAGCACAGAATTGGCCATGTATGCAACAATTTATTAAACCAATTAGTGAATCCAGTTTTACTACCAGTGCAAGTTTACAACTTGTGTTTTGGCAGCTTAAGGGTTAATGTGCCCACTTTATGTTTCCTCATTTTATTATGACGTTCCTCACCGTTACAGGGTCATTACGTTTCCCAAACGTTGTGTTCCTCAGTCCATATTCTCCATCTTTCCTATGCTAACCTCATGCTGATTTTCCTAAAGCAAGTTTATGTTTATGTTTACTAGAGTTAAAGCAAAGAAAAACTAGTAACCCCCCCCCCCCCCTCTCCATTAGCGGATTGATTTGAGGGCATTTTGGGGCATACCCTCTGAACGATAAAAAAAACTTGACAATGAAATTGAAAAATGACCTTCGAGTGTCTAGATATATAGTGTAGATAATTGTTTATGTTTACTAGGTTTAGGGCAAAGAAAAGCCAGCATACACCCCCCTCCCTTAACTGATTAATTGGGGGCACCCCCTCTCTCTGAATGATAACCCAGAGAAGGACATAGATAGTGACCTTTGAGTGGCTACAGATGTGTTGGAGATATCTGGTGCTTTGCTGAAGCATCTTAAGCAGGGCTTGGACATCATCCTTCTCAGTCCTGAAGAGTTTATCAAGCAGAGGCATGCCGTGTCTCAGGAAGATATCCAGGAACATCCGACCATACTGGAAAGACAAGGACAATCAAACATGTGATATCATACAAAACAAAGAGAGAAGCAAATCATGCAGGAGGAGCGATAGCTCAGTCAGTAGAGCAGTGGTCTCGTAATCCGGTGACCCGGGTTCGAAACCAAGTCGATGCGCTCGTGCCCTTTGGTTAGGCATTAATCTTCACTACCAGGTCCCTCGGAGAGGACCTAAAGCTGTCGGCCGTCTGGTTGCTTACTTACAAGCATTAATGCTTTCTGAGCAGTCAGGTAAATAACCATCAACCCGTCAAACCATCAGTGATTGGTTACCATTCCATACTAATATTCATCATTACAGCATACAGCATTTTAAGCCAACTACTTGCATATTCTCAAAATCGATCATGCACATTTCAGCTTCTTTGACATGCATCTTAATGACCATGGATTGTGAGCAATGGCATCAAATACTTAAGTTTAACTTTAAGTTCCATTGAAATCCCCTTTCTATCCATCATAATTATAAGAGGTGATATAAAAGTTCATATTCAAATTCCTCTTCACAAGACTAGAGATGATTTGTTCTGAGTCCTTACCTTGAGAAGCGTCTTGATGTTGTTCCTAAGGTCAAACGTCTTGATAGTGTTGACCAGAGCCGAGTACACCTTGACCGCCAATCTCCAGCGGTCAAAGGTCTCACCTTGGACATCAGGTGATGCCCTCATGGAAGGCTGGAACTGCTGGGCACAGGACACCAACTCCTTCAGCATCACATGGTAGTAACAGCTCAGGGTGTTCCTGACCAAGCAATCATTAGCAAATCAAAAGTAGATATTAGTAAGTATAAGGGTAGTGGGGAGATGCAGCGAAACCTGTCTATAAAAACATCTACAGGTCTGTCTAAACCTGTCTATAAAGACCTCTACAGGTCTGTCTAAGCCTACCTATAAACACCTCTAAAGGGAGACAAGAACTTTGGTCGTTAAAAAGCAGAAGGCTTTAATGTACTGGTTACTTTAGGACAGGTTTCTATGAGAAACACTGTTCCAGGGAAACAAAAGCTATATAGGGTTAACCCTCACTCTATAAATATCTTTGATGAAATAGATCCGAGAGCTAATATTGCTGCAGCGCATCTTGGATCACCCTGTAGGTGCCTGTACAGAAGAGAGCACACGTCACATTCTTGTCCGAAGTATCAAGCTGTGAGAGGACTTCCATACTCTAATCCTAATCCTAATCTAAAAGCCTATTGCACCCTAAACATAACCCATTATCCTAGGCAAAATAAATCCCGGAGCAATTTTTGCTACAGCGAATGTGTGTACCTGTTGAGGGTAGGGAAGAGAGCGGATGCTATGTTCTTATCTGAAGGATCAAGTTCAGGTAGAGCTTCTGTACACAACATCTCAATGGCGCTCAGTGAGTCTTCGCAGTGATGAAGATATATCCTGCAACAACAACAAAAACAAAATGGCTGCTTGTCAGAGCTACCTTGATAAGATGTTCTAGCATTCAAGAAAAAAGTAATGTCTTGCCAAAGGATATTGGTGCCATGGCAGGGATTTAGACCTAATAATATTAAAGCTTTAGTCCTGGGATTTATCCACTACAAGAGGACATGATAACTAGCATTAATTATAGAAATTATGTGCTTGTGTAAATATGGGAAATATTGGAAATAAATTAGAGGAAACAAAATAAAAATAGAAGAAACACCAATAGAAATGAGGAAAGATATGCACTCTAAACTAGTAATGTCATACTCCCATCAGGTTTCTGATGATCTCTAACTCCAAAAAATGAGGAGGAAGAGGATTATATTACAAACATATTACAAAAATGATTCCGCTATAAACTCTAGAAATTTCAGAGACATTTGTACATTTACAAATTTACAAACTAAGACTATACATAATCATACAATCATTATTCCTTTCAATTCAAATGTTAGCTCGATGCCTGGCGAAAAATAATAATTATATGTGATAGGTCAAATAATTTTATGTCCAGAGCTGTTTAGTCTAGCCACACTTTTCTTAAAGTGGGGTTAGTGGTGTTTTGTTTGATCATTTGTACTTACTCAATGACTGTCTGGAGAAGCTCGTTGTGTTTGGCACCTTTCTCTCTTACACTGTCTTCATCCAACCAATCTCTTTTCAATAAAGATTCAGCAAGGGTTGCTATGGTTACAACATCGGGAGAAAGCATAGAACCAAAAATTAGTTTCTGAATTTTAAAAATGAAAGGATTGTCTTACTATTAAAGGACTAGTTCTTAGAAAGATATATTCAGCATAGTTGCAGAGTGAATCAATGAATGAATTTAAAGAAAACCTCTAGTTTTTGTTCCTATCATTACAAATCAAACAGTAAATTTTGTATTGCCTGGGCTGAAGGTCCTTAAGATTTTTTACCCCTAACCCCACCTGGCATCCTCAATCCTTCCCTCTCTCCAATCTATGCAGTGATATTACCCCCCATAATGTTACTGTACCCAGATTTGAATGGGATTCTCTCATTTCTGACCCGTTCATATATATTCATTTGCAGGATATAAGTTGGTCTAATGGTCAGTGGTCCATCTGTTTGAGACTGAGCCAAGGCCTTGGCTTGTGATATTTGAGGTCATTCCCAACACATTAATAATCAGATCTCATCAATTGCACATCGTTCAAAACCCAAATACACAAAAAAGCCTCAAAACCCCCAAAACATCCCAAGTTTAAGAGCAACTGCCCCCTGTTTCTTCATCATCTGCCCTTCCAAGAACGAAAAGGGTTATCTTACCTATCTTCTTGTTGGCAGCCGGTGTAGAACCCTTGGTGTTGATACTGACCATGACTTTCATGATAGTCACACCGGTGGCAAGATTAGGCACCGTCCCGGAGAAGTTCTCAATGTAATGAGCAGCATGTCTAGTAGCAAGAAATAAATTAAGTTTATAAATATTAGGGGTCCATTTAAAATGAAGCATTTAAAGTGCATCATTAAAATCAATTTTAAATAAGACACCGTTCATAAACACCCTGTTAGTAATGATGAAGGAAATTTCATTTTGATTTTATTTACTGGTAACACATTAAATATAAATATTTGTAACAACCCATATTCCGGTTATAGCTACATGTTTCTCATGCTTATTTCTCAATGGTTTAATATGCATTTAAAACAGGTTTAGAATAAAAAGGTAAATCACTGAAAGAGGTGGACTACCTGCATTTTGCACAGATGATAACAATCCTTCTTTTTCATGAAAAAGTTTACTAGTCTCTTTGTATCTCTCTCAAACATGCTCTCACAATATTTACATCAATTATATTGCTTAGCCCTCCTCATCGATTCACTTCCTTACTTGAGAGATTGCTGGAAGGTGAACGAGGTTTTGCCCGCATCAGCAATACGAGAGCTCAGGGTGGCCATGGCTTCCTCAAAGATAGACTGATTCTCAGACGATACAAAGCCACTCCTGATTATAAAACAGAGAGGAAAGGGTTATCATCATCATTCATTGGCAGTAACATTACATATTACTTACTGGGAGGGAGGGAGGTAGAAAGGAGGGAGGGAAGGAGGGAGTGGAGGAAGGGGGAATAGAGAGGGAGAGAGACAGAGAGAGAGAGAGACAGAGAGAGAGAGAGAGAGAGAGAAGAGAGACGAGGGATTTGGGAGAGGGAGGAGAGGGAAAAAGGGGAACAGGGAAATAAGGGAACAGGAGGAGTCAAGAAGATGTAAAGAGTAGAAGAGAGGAATTAAATAACCACAAAGGGCAAATATAGAATAGTATACCGTTCTATAATTTTTGACAAATCCAATAACATATTTAATTGAACAGAAAGGAAGTCATTACCAAGAGAAGATAGAAAGAAGAGCTTTGAGTAAGAGATGCAGACATCTTCCCATCTGATGAGCCTCTTCTGTGTTCCAACCTGGACCATCAATCATCCCATCATTCTCAGCCATTAAAGCCTGTTAGGAAGAGAGTGTCGGAATGTTTCATTAAAGAGCAAGTTCACTCCAAAAATGACTTACTTTCAATAGAGGCAGAAAAATCAGACAAACCAATCACAAAAACTTGGTCTTTAACTTCAAGTTAATCTTATAAAAGGATTAACATGATGTGCTGTATATTTGAGCTAAGAAGAGTTAGTTCTTTCTTTTAGAAAACAGTACATGGACTGCAATGTCTTTTACCGTAGAATATAATTCGGCCCAATCAAACAATAATTGAAATATTTTAACTCACTGTTCGGCTTTCTTCTTGGCAGTTAAACATAAGTTAAAGATACAGAAGGAGTTATGATGCAATGTTTATTCTCTGTTTTAAATATTTAAGAAAAATTATTATTCAGACTCACATCAACATTATTCAAAATAAATGTGTTTTTTTTACTAAAAAAGTAATATTTTTTTCATTTAAGTGACTTCATCTCAGAAAAAGAATATCTCCTTGCTAGGGCTTATGAACTGATATTTTCAAAATTTCTCCCCCCCCCCCCCCCGAAAAAAAAAAAATTATGACAGAGAGCTTATTACCATGATCAAGACTGAGCTTATAACAAAGTCAAGTCAAACTATTTTATTTGGAATAAGACGAGTCTTGTCATAGATTTGACTTTCCCTCATTCCTATACAAGTAGTCCAGAACCAGCCATTCCTGTTAGCAATAGGTTTCTACAGCAATACATGTATGCTGGATTCTGACCTGAAAGAAACCGCTGGTTGCTTCTAGATGTTGGCACAGTGAGGGCAGCATTTTGATGGCCTTCTTAGCCACCTGTCGTGGGGTCAGCTGGTCCAGGTGCGAGAAACCAATAGTCTTGTCCCATTTGACCTTTCATATCAAAGTGAACATTAAAATAAGGGAAATTTTATATGAATACACAGTGCAAATAATTGTTCCCATTTCTGGAATTCAGTTACACAATATATCCAATTTATTTTCCAGGATAATTTAAAGTATCGTTCAAACTCATGCAAAGTATTGGTAAGCAATTTTGAACTAGATGGAACTTCGACTGCGCGCAGTCGAAAGTGATGCCTCCGCCATAGAGCCATTTCATAAACCAAAACAGAGCAATTTTTCAAATTCAAGTTGATTCTAATCCATCAACAGGTTCTTGTGATTACAAGCTATTTTTCATAAACATGTTTGACCCTTTGATCTTTGACCTTAGACCTCATGACCCTAAAATCTAATCAGTTTGTTGGCTCTGCAAGATACATACATGACCCAAGTCTGGCGGGAATTCATCAATTGGTTCCTGAGATAAGGCGATCACAAGCTATTTTTGCATACATAATGAGCCCTGTGACCTTTGACCTTGGATCTCGTGACCCCCAAATCTA